TCATTAATATGCAGCTGTGTTAACAGCTTTCTCTCCTAAACCAACAGCTCTGCCCTCATCAGTATGCATTAATTTTAGCCTAGCTTTTGCGAGGGGTGAAGGCTACACATTTTCGTTATGCTGCATATATGCTAATTCAGTAAGTTCAGTGCAGCAATTTGTAAATGTCAGCATCTAGTGTCTGCAGTAACCTCAACTTATATTCATATGATGTATATGCATAGACAGTGGGGTTCAAAAGTATGGGATCACAAAAAAAAAAAACACTAATTCAAAAAAGTCTAAATATAAATGGAATCAGTACATAAATGCATAATATTAGGGTGTACTCACACTAGCCAGTTTGAACCGTGCCCGAGCGCGTTTGACCACCAAAGCGCGGTTCGTTTGACTAGTGTGAGTGCTCCGAACCGTGCCGGGCGCGGCTCGATTAGCCGGCCCTGGCCCGCTTGGGAGAGGTGGGCCAGAGCACGGTTCAGTTGGACTCGGGCGCGGTTCGCATGCAGTGTGAGCGCTAACCGTGCTTGGAGCACGGAACAGGATGCGTGAAGTTATAGTTTTAGGAACTGTAGTCCGTAATCAAAGCTACAAAAGTCCGTGCTGCACTTCAGCTGGTAAGTTACCTTGCAAACCTCCTCATACGAGCAGAACGATTACGTGAAAATTTTCGCGCCACTAAGGCGACACATCTGTTTAACAACAGGCTGTGAGAGGGCTGTGGACCACCGTGGACCAAACGACACAAAATTATCTACAAATAAAACAGAGCGATGGACTCCATAGTGTTCAGAGAGCGTGCTCCGGCACGAATGCTGAAACCCTATGTGAGTGCAGGCCAGAGGGGGAGTGGGGAGGGGACAATCGTACTCAGGCCCGGTTCATGGCAACCGTGCCTAGTGTGAGTACACCCTTAAAGATGAACGAGAAACAATGAGTGCTCTTTGCCATCCCGGCTATTTAACTACAGCAAACGGGCAAATACCGGTCTATCTGGGTTCCTGAAACCATTCAGTCACGGAGTCATTATGGTGAACACCACTGTATGTAAACGGAGACATATAATCAATTATAGGACAGTTTCTCACTGCTAGAATGAGCTTCTCGTTCAACTTGCCTCGGTCAGACTCAGCACTGAAGAGTGACTCGCTCCACTGACTTCACTACTATTGGTTGTCGCTGGCGAAAATCGCCCTTCATTTGCATAAAGTAAAAAATTTCGACAGACACGCCCCATCCAGTCGACAACGGTCGCCGGAAGTCGCCCGCTCACCATTGAAAATGAATGGTATCGTGTCGCTTGGTCGCGTGTAGTGTGAATGCAGCTTTAGACGGAGCCGACCGTAATGAAGACACTGGTGGAGCCGAACAAGGTCTAACCGGTCTTGGAGCACAAGGCGGACTAGCGGCCGAGGCGAAGCTAGGGTGCCGGAAGACTGAGGTCACACCGAAGGGAAGCCAGAGCCAGAGGGGTTGAGGGATGAGTCGCAGACGAAGGCCCAGAAGTCCATGGCGAAGGCAGAGCGACGAATGACGAAGGTGACGCAGGAGGGACGGGGAAGCCTGGTGGAGCCGTAGGGATGACAGTCCCAGCTGGAGCTGAGGGGAAGAGGTAGACTTGTAGTCAAGACCGCCTAAACCGAGACCAAGACACTACCAAGACCAGAGGGTATCAAGACCAAGACAGACCAAGTCGAGACCAAGTCCGAGACCAAAACCGGTCTCGAGACATACATCACTAGGAAGAGGAGCCACGGTTGAGCCGACAGCTTGATGGGTAGAGGTGGAGTTGCAGGCTCTGAACTTCTAGGTAGAGAATTAGGTCGGCAGTCCAGGGTCGAGTTGACAAACAATCAGCCCGAGGCGGATACACAATGCACCGAGCAGCCAACCTAGGAAGAGATGAAGGGCTGATGAGAGGCAGTGAGGAAGGGGCTGAAGGACTGGGTAGTGCAGAGTGAGGGTTAATTAACGACTGACATGGAACAGGCTCTCAGGAACGGTCTCGTTGGCCGACACGGAACAGACTGAATTTTTTAGGAACGACTCTCTAGGCCGACTCGGAAAAGGCAGAGGAGGTAGGAGTGGAAGGCAGGGCGGGAACATCAAAGACATCATTAACAGTGCTGGGGCAAATAAGTAAGGGTTAATGCCCGACGAGGTGTCCATTGTCAGGTTTTAATGGACGACGGCGAGAAACGAGATTTACTTAGATTTCCACGACGCATGCGCGAGAATTGCGATCTGCTTTACACCACTTCAGATCGCAATTCTCGCGCATGCGTCGTGGAAATCTAAGGAAATCTCGTTTCTGGCCTACAAGGAAGAAAAGAAATAGTCGAATAAACTCGTTATTTTTGTTTGTTTTTTCGCACAAAAAGTATTCGCGACGCTTGATAAACATATAGTTGAGCCACGGTAGTCACTTGGGATATTTAAACATTTTCTTCATTGACTTTCTGGGCCGTCGAGAGGCAGTCCTTTAGGAGCCAATGTGGTAGTTATACAGCTCTCAAATTTAATCAAAAATATCTTCATTTGTGTTCCGAAGACGAACGAAGGTCTTACGGGGTTGGTACAGCATGGGAGTGAGTAATTAATGACTTAATTTTCATTTTTGGGTGAACTAACCCTTTAACAGATACTTTGACTGCCTGTTGCTATGGTTACTCACAGCTGTTGTAGGCAGCGCATTTATTTATTCATTTCGAATGGTAAACAGGCAGTTTCACCAGAACTACTTTACTAGGTGTCCTCTGTCACTTTTTAACGGACACCCTGCAGCCAATCAGAATCGAGTATTCACCCAGACCATGGTATAGCAGGCAGTAAAACAGGCATTGTGCTCTTTTCATACTCCTCAAGCTACTACAGTACATAAGTGGTTCTGAGTTCAGCACACTTATTTCCGCATTGGTTGAAGGGATTGGGCTCCATCCCATTCCACTAGTATCCATTCTGCAACAGACGATGTTGTCGCCTCACACACCTGGTCAGACTCAGTGTTGGGCTCTGGTTCTGCGGAGATATAAGGATCAGGTGTTGGCGCTGTCTCTGATAACGCAGCAGGCTCAGGCTTTTTGTCTGCTGTGGGCTCTGCCTTTCTGTCTGCTGGATTGGTTGCGGTGAGTGACACAAAGTGCACGGAATGGACTGTTGTGGTTTGATCCTAAATCTCGCCGATGGTAAAGGGGGACCCACAGTGAAACAGGACCCATTCCACAAACGCCTGAAATCTCCCTCGTGGTCCGTCGCTCGTCATCATCGTAGTGTACTAGATGGGCAAAGTCTAAAAATGTGTGTCTCTTGAGGGAGCAGAGGAGGAGGATGCGAACTGATGCTAGATCCATGTGTTGGTCTGTCCTTCTGTCACACACGGTTGCAGAAATGAAGGGAAAAAGCTGGATCTAAATGCAGTTAGTGTTAGTGTTAGTGTTTAATAAGAAAAAAAAAGAAAAAAAAAAACAGGTAACAAAACAGAACAAACGGTAATACATGCAAGACCTGACGATGAACAGAACAAATGTAGAGTTTAAATACACAGAAACGAATTAACAAAATTATGTTGGATATAAATCAATAAGCAACTGTGGAAACATTAAAAAGCAAAGCAATGACACTGAATTAAACCCCACCCAAAACAGAAACAAACACAGATTTTAAAACAGCAGCTTAATATTTCTTGAAAACTTTGATTCATGATTTTTGTTTTTTTCAGGAATATTTGATGAATAGAAAGTTCAAAGAACAGTAGCCTATGTATTTGAAATAGAAAAATCTTGTAAAATTAGAAACATCTACACAGTCACTATGCATCTTTGCTGAATAAAAATGATTATTTTGTTTAAAAAAAATCATACTTACCTTAAACTTTTGAGCAGCAGTATACAAATGTAAAATATTTACTTCATGCCATCATGTGTTTAGCATTGGCATTCAGCATGAGTAGTTCATTTAAAAAAAAAAACTTTTTGCTGACTTTTTACTCATCCCCATGTCATCCAAGATATCTTTCAGTCGAAAAGAAATTAAGGTTTTTGGTGAAAACATTCCAGGATTTTCTCCATTTAATGGACTTCAATGGGAACCAAATGGTTCAAGGTCCAAATGAGAGTTTCAGTGCAGCTTCAAAGGGCTTTAAACGACACCAGACGATGAATAAGGGTCTTATCTAGCGAAATGATCGGTCATTTAAAAAATAAATAACAAAGTTTAAGTTTTATAAGCACAAATGCTCGCCTGGCTCTGTTCTGTGATGAGCGTTCGTGACTCTCCTGTTCGAACACGTTCATCAAAATGAACAAATCTTTTTTCGAGTCATGACTCGATGGGTCCTAGATAAGACCCTTATTCATCGTCTGCCGTCGATTAAAGCCCTTTGAAGCTCTCATTTGGACCTTGAACCATTTGGTTCCCAATGAAGTCCATTATACGGAGAAAAAATGCTGGAATGTTTTCATTAAAACCCTTAATTTCTTTTCGACTGAAGAAAGAAACACGTGGACATCTTGGATGACATGGGGGTGAGTAAATTATCAGCAAAAGTTTATTTAAAACTACTCCTACTCCTTTGATGGCAGTTGCCATCTAGTCGTATAGACACTCTGTAATAATGGAGCACTGGTAAAACATCTAATATAATGAACTATTTGTGATTGATATTTGTTCTTGCAAAATGCAAAAATGTTTAATGCATTAAACTAAATGAAACATTCGTTTTGAATGGCTTTTAATGCAAAAAGATGATTTTGTCCCCAGATGGTGCAGTCACAGCTAACTGGGTCATGTCAAGCAGCCAAACCTTGACCCCTTAGGTGGAGAGCATTTTTAATTGGCAAAGTTTTCTGATTCAAAAGACAAGAAAAGAAAAGCACAAGCTCAGTTTGTCAAATTTTTCACAGAGAAAGGTGCCATTTCTCAGAACAGTGATAGCTGTTAGGTTGTAAGGTTGATAATCCGTGAATTCAAAAAGAACTGAATAGCGAGTGATTTTGTCTTTCTAGGGTGCTGGGGTCATGTCTGTATATCTCTTCATGAAGCGCTACGCCGAGGAGGAGATGTACCGGCCCCACCCTGCGCTGTATCGCCCCCGTCTGTCTGAATGCAGCGACTACAGCGGCCAGTACCTGCACCCCGACTCGTGGCCTCCTCCTCAGCGCGGACGCAGCGGCTCCGAGGTGTCCAGCGACATCTCCATTCAGCTCAACCAGGCCCCACTGCCTCCGCCCAAAAGCAGCGGGCCCTCCAATCCGGCCTCTTCCTCGGGCCCCTCCTCCGGGGCCAGCTATCACCTCCCACCTGCTTCTTCCTCCTCTTCCTCTTCCTATCCTCACACCATCCACTCCTCCCATTCTGGTGGCCACGCCCCTCAGTCCCTCCCAATGGCCACGCCCCCATCCGCCGTCCCGCCCCCTCGCTACCACGCACACATGCGTATGAGCGCCTCTCCGTGTTAGAGATTCCTCCGTATGCGATACCTAAGCAGAAATATGTGCATAACATTAGGTAAGAGGATCACCGGGGCTTTTAGTACTCCAGAGACTACGGGAGAAAAATGGCAAAAAGGGTGCTAAGTTGAATAGAGGTTGGCGAGGAAGCACTTCACTTACAATTCTGTGCCTGAATGATGTTTTAACAGATTTTTAGAGCGAGAATAATAAGTGAGGGAATAGCATTTATACATATGGAAAGAATGTATGGAGGAGGAGGAGGACGAAAATAGGGAAAAGGTACAAAATAGTTGAGAACAGTTGTATCTAAATTTGTATGTAAAATGTTTAAATCTTATTGACAGCATTTTTCAACATATATCATCAGAATCATGAGGCTATTTCTCCATTTCTTGTTTATACAAAAGCAAAAAGACACGAATGTGCCCGAAAGGTGGCGGATTTCTTTTAATGGTGTGGCAGATTTATTTGCATCATTTCTGTACATAATGTATCAAAAAAACAGCAGTCATCTAGTGTAGTCCAACATATTTACCTGTGTTTTATCACGTGGGCAAAGGTGCAGGGGGCCCGATTGGTCCTTTACTATCAATTTGTAATGTTTTTAGATTTGTACATCAGGGTAGATGTTCTACAAAGCTGGCTGATTATGTTGTACGCTTGGCCCGCTTGTTTTCTTGTGCTCTCATGTTCAAAAAAAAAAAAAAAAAACAGAAAAAATTTTAGCAGTGATATAGCACGACACAAAAAGGAAACGTTTGAACATATTAAACATATTTACCTTCACCTAGAATGGAGGCTGACTCCTATATGAATGCCAGAGATCTACTCTCCTTCACTGTTCAGTCATGCAGCCGTTACTTCTCTTTTATCACTACAACTATTAATTGAAATGTTTATTATACAAAATGAATTGTAAACGTGTTATATTACAACCGAAGCTATTGTAAATCAGTCCTGTGCGTGTTGCATCAGTGTTTCAGAGATCGTGTTTTAGAGTAATATGGGTTAATGAAAAATAAAAACAGATATCATCACGAGGAAGCCTTCGGTAGCACAAAGCTACGGTGTTTAGTTTTCCACCTCGAGTGAACGGTTGTTCTGCCCCTTGTATCTTGCGCCATCTTCTGGTCAAGCATTAATAGTGCATCAAAACAAGCACTGAAGTCTTAGCTACAGTATATGGAATCTGTATTCAATTCATTGACTAAAATGAGGCAGATGAGTCAGCATGTCCATAACTGGTGCCTGCGGATTCTGCATCGACTGAGCAATGCAGTAAAGAGAATATGTACAGTATGATTATTACACCACCAAACCCCTTTCCCTAATAATACATGAACATTGACCGTTGTAGAAAAATATCCCTAAATAAGTAACAAATATTATCATAATTTTGTGTTATGCCCTATTTTCATGCACAAATGCTTGAAATGTTTTCCAGAGAGTTATATCTGATAGAGTTCATTATTGTGTGTAAATATTATAAACATAAATAGTTATAAAGAACAGGACTGGCTCCTGCTGGATAGTAAAGAAAAACATAGAATAGCCATTTATATTATAGCCATATTACAAGTGAAATATGCAGACGTGAAAGTATGACATATGGAAAATTAAAAGAGCGAGAGGAATGATTTTGTTTTAACCTAATATTTATTCAAGCAATGCTGATGGTACAAATTTAGTCTGCTTTTAAGTCTCAAGCGTGTAAATATCTGTTATTGTTTCTCGTCTGTTGGTAATAATTGCGTTATAATGATCTTTCTGTTCTCACTGTTACAGTTGACATTTTGACATTTGTTGTTGTTGCGGTCTACGCTGAGGGTCTGGCTTATAAATATATGTACCATTTTGCATGACATTTTTTTTTCGTCTTCTCACACTTTTCCTCATTTTTTTTTTCTTCTTTCTTTCATTTTTTTCATTCCTGTGGCTGTGGGGGGTTCTTTGTCTTGATTTGTCTCTCTTAAAGTCCCATTAAGCTACAGCTGCCTCTCTCATTTGACATGTCTTTTTCTCTTTTACCCCTCATTTCTCTCTTCTCTCTCTCAACCTTCCAGGCTTTAGTTTTTCAGTTTTCAGTTTTGCATGCCTTTGCCTTTGCCTTTCATTCCATAATGCCAAAGCAATTGTGCCTGATACTTAAGATGATGATGACAGTTATTATTATTATTACTATTATTATTATTAAAACTGTGGCATTTCTTCTTTGTAATCTGGAATTTGCTAAATAAAACTTAAGAAACTGAAAAAATGTACACAATAAATGACTTGTATTTTTGTGCACAATGCATTTTACTGTACATACTGTATGGGTGTACTTTAATGTGTTGTTTAAAAATGCAGGGCAAAATTGGAGATGATTATACCCAGCTTAAAGTTTCCATTATAGATACAATTTCATTATATTCTTGTAAAACATTTTGTGTATTTAAAAAACTGAAGAAGAAGAAGAAGAAGAAGAACATGTCCAGTTACATTTCTCCCCAAAATAAATACATTTAAAAATAAAGTGAAAAAACTAGATTTTGCCTGAAGGCATTGAAGCTTTTTACAAGATCATTACAAATATTTCGGTAATGCTTCCTTTTACAGTCCTGTTACCCATGTACATACTATGTATTTATTGTAGTAATTATAATTACTGGGTAATACTAACCCTGAACCTATCCCTGACCCATGGACTTGCGTTATATTAGCGAGTACTTTCTAGGTAAGTACACTGTAAGTATACTATAAGTACTGTATACTGTAAAAGGAAGCGGTTCCAATATTTCCATTGTGACAATTTTCTAATTATTTTGGACAGGAAAAAAAAATCAATAATTAGCTACATTTCAAGAACATTTTTAAATAGTATTTGATTATTTATTTTTTGTGTTACAGCAATAAGAATGAGCCGATGCTTAATTGATGATGTATTTATGTATTTAAGTTTATTTGAATAGGGACTAGTATGTCACATAAGCTCATGTTCCATACTACAACATTTGAGCCGAGGCTAATTCTCAATGTTAGTCCCTAGTGGGCCTTTACATAAAATTACACAATACATAGTTAAAATAAACATAATAAAACAATATAACAATTAACAATGATAACAATTTACATTAACTATTTATTTATTTTTAATTTTATTTACATACTTATTTCTTCTGATAGTATAGGGTGAAATATAACCAGGGCATGTTTCATGAGATTCGCCCTGCTAGTTTTTGAGATTTTAACATTTTTCACTAAAAATTCATTGAAAAATACGGATGAGTCTAAAGTTGTCTGTGTTTAAGGGTTTGTGCTGTTAATCACTTATTGATCACATGGCGAATTTCAGCCTGGTGGTTTTCGTAATGTGTACTGGTTTTCATTGTTGTTTGACAACTATATGTTTACATTCAAATCATTTTCATCTTGCTATATATTCCTCATGCAGATCGACGTAGTTTTGCATCAGAGAAACCTTTCTTAATATTCTTAGCAGTTTGAATAACACCCAAGAACGAGACCAATGCTAGCTGGTTTGATTAAAGAAATGTTGTCTGTGGACATTAACCCATTAGTAATGAATCAAGTGTTACAACATCCTTCTAAAGGAACTACCAATAATTTGGATCAGTATTCTGTTAAATTCTAGTTGAATTCTAGTTCATTGTTAGCTAATCATCACGACTACTATTTTTACTGAAGACTGTAAGAAATACTATATACAGGTTCATAATTAATATAAATAATGCTTAAAGGGATAATTCACTTTGAAATTAATGTTTGATATGTTTTAGCTTACCTCAAGGGCATCCAAGATGTAGGTGTCTTTGTTTCCGCAGTAGTTTAAATTTTTATATTTTTAGGTCAAACCGTTGTCTGTCAGTCATATAATGCAGGTCTATGGTCACCACCTCAAAGAGCAAGCATGGAGAAGTCCAAATTAAACATGATTTAATGACTCGTAAATGTAAGTACACATTGATGGCCTAAGACACAAAACGAGTGTTTGTGTGAGAAAACGAATATTTATATTGTTTTTACCTCATGTAACCACAGCCATGTCCAAGCGATCTGAGGGCGCGGGCGCTTTGGTCTACTCAAGCAACGGAAAGCACCCGAAACAAAGTCACCTACATCTTGGAAGCCCTTGAGGTAAGCTACAACATACCAAAGATTCAAAGTGAACTATCCCTTTAATAATATTAGGTATGGTGGTAACCCATTAGTAATGAATCAACAACATCCTTCTTAAGGAACTACTAATAATTTGGATCAGTATTCTAAATTGAAGATCATGGGAAAACACTAACGACTCAAGTGCTACCAAATCCATCGGAAGGAATTATTATTCAAAATCTTACAAAAATCTCAAAAGCTTACAATGACTTTTTTACTTTAGAAAACTGATCCAAATTATTATGCTGTAAAAAAAAAATATTGTTGGTTTAACTTAAAAACTGAAGTAACCTGGTTGCCTTAACATTTTAAGTTCATGGAAAAAACTAGTTAATACAATAAAGGAGATTGATTTAATCATGAGAAACTCAAAATATCATGTTATCTGAACCACATAAATTAAGTTGACTTGACAAAAGAAAAAATGTTGTGATTATAAATCATGAACACATTTTTTTTTCACAGTAGTTCCTTTAAAAAGATGTGGTAAAACTTGATTCATTACTAATGGGTTACCATTACCTTATATTATTATGCATTCTTAATATTAATTATTAATTATGAAACCTGAAGTATTTCTTACAGTCTTCATTGAGGTATCAAAAATAGAAGTCACATGAGCTAATAGAGCCAGCATTCTGATAGAACCCAGCGTCACGGCAATTAATGGGTGAACTAAAAACTAACTAACCCTTTAATAAATCTGCATGATCAAATAACAACTCAAGCATGTCTGCGGGGCAGGAACTTTGGGGCAAATGACTTAGTTGTGAAGGAATGAGTAAACGGTGGAGGAGTGTGTGAATTGATGGGTCAGTGCATAAGCAATGAGCACTTGCTAATGTTTGGCCCACAAGCTTTAGATTCAGGATCGACTTTCATGCATTCAATTTCCATTGATTCCTGCTTTCTCATGTCTAACTCTGATAGAATGGCCTTGGACGACCTTGGGAAATTTACCCAGAGTGCTCAATGCACCATGCTCCTATAAGGAAAGGCCCCCTGTTGTTTAATACGATCGCATTATTGCTGCAACAACAGCATCACTTGGAATTGCTTTGGTGGCATATACGCTGGTGACAGAACACCCACATGAATAAGGAACCACAGACTCTAATACATGTTCAGTGTGTTCAAACCATTTGAAGCACTACATAACTGAGTGTGGATTATCAGCGCTTCTTCCCTACCTGAAGATGTGTGGGCGAATAGTGTCTGTGTGTGTGTCTCTCTCTCCCTTTTTCTCTCTCAGAGGAAAGAACATTGAGGAACATCTGAGCAAATGAACACATGAAGCTGCATTATCTTCATCATTTTTCCAAGGAATAACAAAATAAATACTTCACAAGCTACATTTAATAGTCACACCACCATGCATGTGCTCCATTTCTGATCCATTTCACCAACAAGAATTATTAATCACCCTTGACCAACCAAAAATTAGAGGATTCTTGTTGGAGGAATATTGCAATGCTTGAAATGACATGAAGTATGTTTTATGAGGGGTCTCCAACTTGGGTAGATGAGATCAGACATCTTGCACCATCTTGCTAACTGTTTAAAGCAAACTGATTTTGATATTATTATTTTACTGTAAAAAATAATGCATTTGTTTCTTTTCTCATGGAGATTTCCTTATTCGGGAGTCCTGAAATCAATATTGACAGATTAACAGAAGTGTTAATTCTCCTTTATGTGAGTTACAAAACCAGTCACCATGTCAGTAGGTATTATAAGTGCATTTTAAGCTAATATGGTGTACAGTACAATTATTTATAACAATTGCTGATATCTTTGTTTTTAGACATGAATTTCAGCATGGATCTTTAATAGATCTTAGGGTAGATGCCATATTTATTTATTTTTCCAAATGAAAACGAGACAGCTGAAGGAAAAATGCTAATGAACATCTGGCCAAACATCATATAGTGCCTTCATTAGACATATTAAACTATAAGGTTCAGAGTAGATTAGATCAAGAGATGAAAATGGCTTGATGAAAAAAGTGTGTGTCAAGTAATTAAATAATAATAATAATAATTAAAACGTTAGTGCCATTTTTAAAATATCAGGCATATGCTCAAACAGCCACAAATCAGTCAATTCCTCATCTTCTGACAGAATCCATAACATTTGTTCTATTAGTTCGGGTTTGTCATCGTTCAGACATGTTCCTAGAGAACTGTGATTTGTCTCTTGATCAATATTAACCAAGTCCTGTCGGCTAACAATTCCTGCTTCACCATCGTTTATTCATATGAACACAACTGTCTCTTAACGCCCCCTCGTTCACCGCCTCTCCAGAACCGCCTCAAAGAATTACGACCAAAAAGCAACAGGGATACATGTCTAAACTGCAAAGGTAAGGCGAAAAACCATCAACCATTTACAATTTTACACGTCTGGTGATCTCTGAAATCCGTTTAGATTTATTTACAGACTACACAGTATCAGAAATGAATCGAGAAATTTAACGGACGCTGTCTGGTCGGTTTACTGACGTGTGGAAGCTTCAGTCGATTGTTTAGCGATACATTCGAGTCAGTTTTTGTATCATTTATGTTTAACGAACGTGTTGTATGTTGTTTCTATATACAATTGTTTGTGAATACTGTGAAATTTGTAGGCTAAGTCGTTTCACGAGCGTCTTGGAGCGCTCAAAGGAGACGCGCGCGTACTGAACGCTTGTAACGGTCTCGGGAGAGTCATCTGTCAGTCATTTTGATGGCTGGGGGAAATCAGTCATTGGTTTTATGTTGTATCATTCCCTTTAGCACCTAAACAACAAATCATTCATCGAATGGAGTTTGGCACTGGCACTGCAATATCACTACGTGTTGCACTAGTGCATGGCTGATTTACAACCAAGGGTTGTGATGTTAATTGACACTTTTACTTGAAAAATGTAGGTGATATACATGATTTATGCACGTACATTAAATAGCCTAATAGCAAATGTAAGTAGGCTACAAATCAGAACCATTGATGCTTCTCATTCATTCATTCATTCATTCATTCATTCATTCATTCATTCATTCATTCACACCAAAGATGCAAATGTCTCCTGGTGCTTATATTGTGTTTTTAATTAATTGGCCACTTTTAACTGCTCTAAATGCTTTATATGTGGCAACAGCAATAACGTAAGCAATGTGAACTGGCTGCATGTGAAGTTTAAATGAAATTACTGAAGAGGTTTGTATGTATTCCTCCTGTTGTATGAGATAAGCAAGGTCGAACCATTCCTGCAAGGCTTGAATCCTTTGTAGTCCTATCAGACATGACACATGGTTGCCATATTATGTGAATGTTTCAGCGATGGGAGGCCATTAGTGCCCAAGAGAAGTTCATTCAAATGTATCATTAAACCTATAGCTTTCTCTTCAACTTGTGTAATATGTGACCAGAGGATGACCTGCTGTTTAGAGCCTCAAAGTATTTTATATTATTTCAGTATTTTATATTAGAAGTAAAATATTACATTTAAAGTTATCAGTAATAATGATAATATTAATATAAAATAAGCATCATATTTAAGATGAGTGACAATTTTATTAGTATCTTTGCTGAGACTTAAAGTTATGTGTGCGAAAACTGCATGCATTTTTAATTAAATTACAATATAAATGAATATATACATTTAAAAATATTACAGGAAAAATTGTCCATAAAAATAATAATACTTATTATTATTAAATTCATTACATGCATAATATAGTGTGGGAAATTTTCAATAAAAGAGATCGAAAGTTTCGTGCATCTATTATTTTATCAATAAATTTACATTATAAATTAAATGATTGAATTTGGCATATAATAACAATAATAGTATTTATAGTAATAATAGTATTATTAATAATTAATTAATTCTTTATTGTTCTTACTATAATTCCATATTCCATTTTTTGTCACCAGGGTATATTCAACTTAATAAAAAAATAATTTTAAATTAATTTTAATTAAAAATTAATTTTAAATGAATGTAAGTTAAGTGTGCATGACAACCTTTCATTTGTATATTCCTGGAGGAATATACAAATTTTATTTTTATTTATTCATATTTTTGTGTTAACTTATTTTGTTCCTAAACACCGTGTAACTTCCTGTCTATGTGTCTGGCTGTCGTGTTTGTTACCATTTGGGTTCCTGTTTCTGAGAATGAGCAAGAGTGACACAAGACTCTGAACATAACAGAACAGAACTCTAAGTAACTGCCTATTAGAGTCTGAGCTCGTTATGGGGGAAACAGATCAGCTGTGCATGTCATTACCGCATCACCACACGGTAAGAAAAGAGTGTTGATCGAAAGCACACACCAGGTGCATTTCTGAACATCCATGACAGTCCAGAGTTTGGCAAATCACTAGGTGTGTTATGATGAATATCGCCCCCCCCCCAACCCCCACCCCACACATACACATACACTAGCATCACCTCACTCACCAACATCACACACACCATCCTGTTCTGTTCCCGACTTCAGAATGCGCTGTTGCCATGGTGACGGAATGGCGCACGCTCTGTCTTGCTTTCTCTCTATTCTCTTTTTCTTTATATATCCCTTGGTCTTCCCGCGGATGTATGGGCGATGTAACCATCTAGGTTCACTGCTCGTCTGGGTGAAATACACGTAAACCGTACTGGTGTCATGATAATGATCATTTAATGGCACTTACACACTTTCGAGCTGTTGTTTTTCTCCAGCATGTACCTTAAACATGTTTTGTCTCTCTGTTCTCTTTTTTTGTTGTTGTCTCTCCTCAGGAGGAGAAGCAGTAGGATTCCTGCCATGAAATCTCTCTAAGAGGAGAAAAGCAGCGAAACCTAGAAAATCTACACCCACCCACGGGCAGGAGACAGGGGGAGAGAGAAAGAAAGAAAGAAAAGAGAGAGAGAGAGAGAGTGAGTAGAGGGGTGCGTGAAAGAGAGGGGAAAGAAAAAGCGAGGGACAACAGTCGATGGATGCTGCTTGGACGCTCTGGTCGGCACAATATTCAGTGACAACGATTGGAGAGCTGCAGGGATGGATGGGAAGGGAAGACACATTCCTCCAGGTAATCGGATCTCATTAATGGCCGCCAGTGCTGTGCTGAGACCACCGTGTCTAATGCTTGTCATCATGTTTAATGAAATGCTCTTGAGTGAGTCTCAATGTGTTCCACTGTATGACAGCATCATTTTCAGCTTATTGTTGTCTTACCGGGAAACTTTTTTTGCAGACATCTTAAGATGTTCCACAAGAGTTTATAGTTCTTGCATTATGCTTGGTTTGAGTTCACTGTGTATTTTTTTACTCAGCTCTCTATCTGGATTTCTTGATGCCAATTGTGGAGCAGTGAAATATTTTTGTATAATGGCGCTAAATTGTGTTGTTCACCCTTGTTCACAGAAACATATCGGTGCTACTTTCAGATCACAAAGACATATTGTATATATATATATATATATATATATATATAATATATATATATTGTACAGAAACAATATATATAGATATATATATTAGGGCTGTCAAACGATTAATCGCGATTAATCGCATCCAAAATAAAAGTTTGTGTTTACATAATATATGTGGTTGCACTGTGTATAATTATTATATATACACACACACTTGCATGTATATTTAAGAAAAAAAATATTTATATATAAAATATTTATATATAATATAAATTATATATAAATCTATATACAGTATATACATGAAAATATTTCTTAAATATATACAAGCATGTGTGTGTGTGTATTTATATATATATATATATAATAATTATACACAGTGCACCCACATATATTATGTAAACACAAACTTTTATTTTGGATGCGATTAATCACGATTAATCGTTTGACAGCCCTAATATGTATGTGTGTGTGCGTGTATATGTGTGTGTGTATACTGTATATGTGTTTGTGTATATGTACGATTTGTCTAAACCCACGTGACGGTTATGTTTAGGGGCGGGGTCAGGGGTAGGTCATTCGTACGAATTCATACGAATTGGCTAATTCGTAAAATATGTACGATTTAGCAAAATCGTACTAATTCGTACGAGTGAGGTCGTACGAATTGTTACGAATTAGCCACCTCGTAAAATTCGTACGAATTCCCGTGAGATCGGGTAGGCGTAGCCTACACTGTAAATTTCTTTGCACTTGAGAGTTCATTAACTTGGTGACAATGGCAAACGCACAACGTTCAATATTACACTTTTTCAAGAAATTACGGAAAGATGAGCCTAAAAAAGGAGAAAAAGTGGCATCTACATCTGAACCTTCTTCACCTTTCCATGAGGAGACAGCGAGTGAAGCTGTCACAAGAGGTTTCCCATTTCCAGGACAGGCACTTCATCACTGGACTAGTAGTGAGACTTCCACGACACAAACTGTCGGAATATACAACTTAAACAGAGAAAACAACATGTCATTTATGGTCATACAGATAAAATAAGACATTCGAAACTGTAAAGGGTCTATTTTTATCTGTGTACACTCACAGAAAAAACAAATCATTGCTCTTTTGTAAAATAAAGAAAAACAGAACTGCCCTCTCAGTTTCCTTTCCATTAAGTTTGTGGAGCGCGTCACAAAAATGAACCGAAACTCAGTGGCTACTAGCAAGCTCTTGCGAGTGCAAGTTTTTGAAATCGTTCTCCATGTAAACTACAAAAACGTGAATCTCTGAAGACGATGAAGTCATGCACAAGGGGATTACATGGTCAGTCTATAGTTTGTCATCGCCATATAATGGCCTGGCAGGAGAACACAGGGTTTTTATTCGTTTTCGCGGATCCGTGTGAATGGGGATCGTTTTGGCAATGGCGTCGTCTGTACGCGAAAAACTCAAAGGAAATATTTCTCCGTTTTAAGCATGTCGTTGTTGTGTAAAAGTACTCTTAAAATGTCAATGAACAATTTTTTCTTTTTCATTTTGAACAAAACAAGAAGACGATTTGATAGTATGTAGTTAAGAAATGATGGCCATGTATAATTATTCTTATTGTCGTCATTGTTACTGAAATAAGCATTGTATTAAACATAAAATATCGGTCACATGATTGTACTCATACTTTATATAGTAATGCAGTCAGCTGACATATTTAGCTTTATTAATAACAAACAATCTAATGTTCTTCAAGAAAGCAGTGGACCATAGCCCTAAATATGTTTTGTCCAGTTCAACATGCTTGAATTGCTCCATATAAAAGATGTATCCATGCAAAGAAATCTCAATTACAACTGTCTCGTGACTGTTCATAGCTGCCTGGCAACTATACATTCCCAATGGGACTATGAGTAGTTTGGTTATGAGCTAAAAGATATGACCCTTCTGGCCTCTGCATTGTATTGTGATATTTGGCTCTTAAAGTTATACTATATTCTGAAATGTGCATCCAACGTGGCGTTTGATCGTGATCTTAGTAACATATATTTGGGCACACTGATGACAATTTGTGCATCTGGGTTCAAAATGTCCTCAGCAACTGATCTTCCAACACTTCAGGATCACACACTCATCTCATCTGCTTCTTCCTCTAACCTTGGGCTCTGATTTCAATCTTTTTATGTGTTTTTATTCATACCCATCTTTTTCCACTTAAACTCAGGTTCCTGTTCACACTCTCGTATTCCCTCGTTTGACCGAGCTGTATTTTTGTTTATGACTCCAGCCATGGTATGGTGCGAGCGGGGAATTCAGGTGCTTCTCACCACTGTGGGAGCATTCGCAGCCTTCGCCTTGATGACCGTGGCCATTGGCACGGACTACTGGCTGTATGCTCGGGCCTTTATCTGCAACAGCACCGCCAACTCCTCTCAGGATGACCCACACAACAAGGACAAGAAGGATCCTGGAGCTCTCACCCACTCCGGCCTCTGGAGGATTTGCTGCCTGGAAGGTAAGTGAACAGCTGTGTTTGTGTGTGGGGGCGAAGGTATGGATTGGGTCATGTGTGGATGTATGAGAGGGGGAAATGATGCATGAAGGAGGTCCCCACCTGTGCAGTTTGCATAAGTGATTCATGAAGGGAAAATGGTTGGATTTGAGCTTGTGTTATACAGTCTGGATGGCCTAACATTTCATGTTTTTGCATCTCTGTTTTGATCAATGCCACTTAATATACATTATTTGCATGGGCAGGTCAAGTGCCCTAAGGCAATGTTTTTATTAGGTACATTTTATTTATTACCATAACTGGACCACATGCTTGGGGTCATTAACTCTTTCCCCGCCACTGACGGAATATTCCGGCTTTCCATGTGTTCACTGCAATATAGTAGGAGGCGCTATTACGCATCTTCTGAAAGAGTAAAGAACCTTTGGATCAAAACACAGGGAAAAAAAAGAGCAGAAATAAGCGATAAAAGCATTGCAATTTTCATAATTTATGAAACTTATCCACATTCCCAAGTGTTGATGGAAAATGATGCATGAAGCTTGAGTAAAATGTTTTGTTGTTGTTGTTTAAAAGCAGAGGATCTCTTCTTTTTTGACATATTGCATGTTCAGATATTCATGCAACAATATATTCTGGGGGCCATGACATTTTTTGTAAAAATGATCAAAAAACCTGGTGGGGATGGAGTTAAGATTGTTTAATGTTTTAGAAAAAAGCCTCTTATGCTTATGAAGGCTACATTTATTTGATATAAAACATTTAAATATAAAAATATGATATAAAATAAAACTCGGTAAAAACACTAATTGCAATATTGTGAACTACTATTACAATTTAAAAAAATATTACTGTTTTAGTATATTTTTAAAAAAAAAGCTTCAACAATTTTTCAAGATTACAGTCTACCAATGTGTCAACTTGCACAAAAATTTTGGCCGTCTGCTTCCACCAACATGGAGACATTGTTAGCTTCCAAAGGATCTTTTTCTTCCTGACTGGAAATTACTTTTATTGGTATAACCTAATGCAGGTTGATTCACTTATACTATATATATATATTGAAAAAATGCTTGTGATATATAGTAATGTGCTACAGAAATAAAAACCAGTCAGAACCCTAACACAAACTGATTTTACTGTCTAGCTCTAGGGTTACTGTAAAGTTATCAACGTCATTGTGGTAAGCGTTGCCTCCAGATCCATTTAGTCACTGAGCTCTGCAATGTGGGGTATTCACGTTAAGCTAGTTGTTTTAACAGTACGCAGTACCTCCTTTGCTCTAGCCAGGTCTCAAGAGAGGTTTTAAACAAACATGGGCTGTATTTTTTTCCACATTTGCATTAGAAACCTGAAGAGTACATGTCGATGGCTATGATTATGTGATGAGTCATTGCAGGTCAAAGGTGCCTGCAGTGCTCATTGCATTTGCAGAATAATCAAACAGACAAAACAGTCATTTTGACTTACTATATTACTCACTCAATTTGTTCCCTGCGTTATATAGCGTAAACTAGTCTGCTTTTTGAGGAAAAGGTTTATTGATAGGGTTCATTACAAAATTACATTGTCCACTTTATATGTTTTTGTTATTATTAAGGGATATTTTATATATTTACCTTTGGATAGGACAGTCAAGGAGAGACAGGGACTGTGGAAAGGACCACAAGCCGGTACTCAAGCTCTGGTTGCCGAAGCGTTACTGTCAGAGCACTACCCCCACATGGCTCCGATTTTCACTATATATGTTTTAATATTTTTATCTTGTACGCACAGGAGAACTTCTCACAAAAAAATCTCTGCCCAATTAACAACACGTGTGTAAGCACATGAATTTGTTATAATCCTGTAAAAATACACTGTAGTACACTGTAAAAATTAATACGCTTTATCTAATCAATAAAATTGTGGCAAAAGATTACAAGCAATATTATTAATTAAGTTGAACAAATTAGAATTGAGTAATAATTAATCAAATTAATTTCTTAAAAGTTAACCATGTAAAATGAGTAAAGTTTACACCCAAAAATTTAACAAAAATATCTGAATAACAGACAGACGTCAAATATTAATTAAGAACTATTTATATGTTCTTGCCAACATTGAAGACACCTGATGTTTTACTGAAGGAGAAAACCGTAATTTTAAAACAATCCTAAAACAAACACTGATCACCATAATGGAGACTTAAATGTATGTTTTACTCATTTTACATGGTTAACTTTTAATGAATTGATTTGCTTAATTATTACTCAATTCTAATTTGTTAAATTGAATTAATAATATTGTTTGTAATCTGTTGCCACAATTTTTTTGATTACATAAAGCATATTCATTTTTACAGTCTAAATGACCATGTGCACAAGGTTAGTCATTTGCATAAAACACGCCCAAATCATTTCCATATAAGGGCTTTCCGCACAACCTTTCATTCACTACCTTTTGTCGTTCTCTGCAGTCATTTTTTTATTCAGATCCAGATTACAGACCTCCGATTAGCCAGCTGTACATACACGTAAATCTGCGTTATTCCGAGAAATAACAGGGTTTGTTGGGTCGGATTGCTTTCTCACCTCAACCGAACCACCCCAGAGTTCGTTATCAATCGGGACAAAACCGTCTCGTTCAGGTGATCTCTGCTGAACAAACCGAACTAAGGGATAACACCAGGTTTCGAGACAAATGCACCGAATGAGTCAGGTGTGCAAAATAATAACCTTGGTAGTAAATTAAGACAGAAAGTACTGGAAGACACTGGGAATATGCAGTGCACCAACATGTTGACTAAAATGAATGGTTTAAATCACACATCAATTTTTATTTAAAGTGCTACTTTATTTAGTTCAGAAACCAGAAAATATGGTGACACTTTTGAAGGATCTCTCTCTCGCATTCTCTTTAGGATTGAAGAGAGGAGTGTGTTCCCAGATTAATCATTTCCCAGATGATGCTGATTATGACCAGGATGCTGCAGAGTACCTTTTACGTGAGTCAAGAGTGTTTATTTGTGCATGTTTTTGGCATATAAGATGTTTGGTACACTGTAAACCCGAATAAGTTGGCATAAGTCTAAACATTTTAGGCAATCAGTCACATCACATTTTTAAGGTAAAGCTGCAGTCCGGCGTTTTTCCTCTTTGTCGCCATCTCTGTTCGAAATCTGCAATTGCAGTCATTCGCGGAATTATCAACTTTATGTGAGTTGTACTGCAACACCCTCAACATGGCATGGCGCGGATGAACACAATGTGAACACATTCAGAAATACAGATTATTCTTTTTGGAAGTATGACCAACATAATAATTTTCAGCGGAAAATGTCATCTGAACTAGTAAGAAACATCCACTTTTGTTCTGGTTCTGCCATTGGAGTGAATTGGGCTGATTAAATCTAACAATCGCTTATAAGTTATCGTATCACGCAATTATGCGTGTCACGCAATCTTTAGCATTTTACATGGTGAATCTGTTGTCAATGGTGATTGTCGTTTGATCCTTTCTGGATCCGCCATCAAATCTATAAGTTTAATTATAGTGCTGTGAGAAAAGTCTATAAATCTCCACCTCCAACATCCTCACACGAAATAAAGCCTACTAGCCGAGACTCCTTCTTTAATTGTACAGATATGACGTAATGATGCAAAGACATGCTCAAATCTCCCGCGGAAATCCACCAGTACCACTGGAATTAAAAACATTATTACACGCTTACCGCTTTGAATCGAGCTAAGGCAAGCAGACAGTTTTTAACCCCCAAAAAAGCTACGGACTGCAGCTTTAAGAAATTTTAAGTTTAAGTATTAAGTAAGCAGTGTGAAAGTATGCTTGTGTGAAATATTTGAGTAAGACAACACCAAATGAGACAGACACGTCAACAGAGAGCGCTTGCTGAAGAACAGAAAGCGGATGCTTGTGTCTGCCGGCGTCGCTTTGTAAGCTTCCACGTCACACGTTATGTCATGATGAAACACCAATCATGATTGGGCTAGTATCATTCATGCTTCAGAGGCTGGGGGCTATCCCCAATAGGGTTGGGTATCGTTTGAATTTGAACGATTCTGATTCCGATTCCGATTCCTTGTTTCGATTCCGGTTCCTAACGATTCTCGATTCTGATTTTTTTAAGAGGCAGGGTCAAAAAAGTTAAACTAACCTGGCTAACCAACGGTCTTTCTGAAGGAAATACTCCTTTTGTCACAAATTTAGCATTTTGCCGAGATTTCGTTATTTTTAGAAAAGTGAAGCCACACTTTGGACCGCCGACGTAAGCTAGTCATGTTCGACTCGCGCGGTTATGCCAACACTTCCGGTAGACGCTTCTTCGTTGGTGTTGTTCAGCGGTTTCTTCTTCCGCTCGGCGGACTGTGAATATCGAAACTAGGAATCGAAATTTTAACTTTTGAACGATTCCGGGAAAAACGAAAAGTTAGTCCCATTTCCAATCGATACTCGATTCTCGATACCCAACCCTAATCCCCAATGTGTCATATCGGCACAGTTCGAGTCCCATCCAAAGGGAACTGGCTAGCTTCGTCCAGCTAATTCAATAAATGCTACTGTGCTAATTGGTAACACAATACTTTGATAGCATTTAGCATAGTATAGCTCTGAGTAGAAATTGTTGTACAAATGAGTACAATATAAAATATTTAACATATATTTATTCTCAAACTAAACTCATGCTTGTCACAATTAATTATTTTGAGCATTTGGGTTTACAGTGTATGGGGAAAAAAAAAAATTTGAACATTCATTTGTGCCATTTTTTTCTCTTATCAGGTGTAGTCAGGGCCTCCAGTATATTTCCTATCCTCAGTGCCATATTATTGCTGCTAGGTGGAGTTTGTGTGGCATCTAGTCGGTTCTACAAGACCAAAAGACACATCATTTTGGGAGCAGGCATTTTGTTTGTAGTCGCAGGTAACATTTCTCATTATGACAGCATCCTAGTTTAGAAATTTGTGATGAGGTGAATTCATAAAACTTTTGTGACACTTTTGTGTGTCAGATTTCTACGGAGCCCCTATAGGTGACTAGATGGTCGAAAAAAATACAAAATGGGAGGAATGTTGCGTTCTCAATGCTTATGCGTTCCCGAGCAAGTTTGCATTTCTTGGGGGAACTCAAAACAATTGCCTGAGAACACAAAAGCATTAGAAAATATTTTTTCTTCCCATGTCCCTTTTGGGGCTCCATAGATTTCAGTGTCTTACTTTGTGTCTTTTATTTTTAAAAGGTTCAAATATTTTTAACAAAAAGTGAATTCCCTCCAGATTCTTTGAGTCTTTGCTTTGTTTTAAAAATCAATCTGTTGACCTAACCCCCTCCCATTTTGTCTTGAATTGATACAGGCCTGAGCAACATTATAGGTGTCATCGTATACATCTCTGCAGCTCTCAGTGACATCTCCCCCAAAAAGGACGAGGACAAGAAGTGGCACTACTCCTACGGCTGGTCCTTCTACTTTGGCGGCCTGTCGTTCATTCTGGCGGAAGTTGTAGGCGTGCTTGCTGTCAACATTTACATCGAGCGCAACAAAGAACTGCGCTGCCGCTCGCGCACTGACCTCTTCCGCAGCACGACCTCTGCTGTGTTACGCTTGCCAGGATACCGGTTCCGCCGGCGCTCCTCCCGGTCCAGCTCGCGCTCCACAGCGGAGCCGACCCGCTCCCGCGAACAGTCCCCGACCTCTGCCATCGATCCAAAGAACTTCGGCCCGCCCCTGGCCGCCGGCCCACCGCCGTTTTCAGTAGCCACGCTCCCCAATCCACATACACACGCCGGAGGAGGAATGGGAGATATATCGATGTACACGCTGGGGAGGAAAGGGGAGCCACCCATGTACGGCACAGTCGACCGTGCCACACTCTACCAGCTGCACAATTACTTTCCGACAAAGGAGGGAGACGGTGGAGCGCTCATGACGGGAACGCTGCCTTCTCGTTCCAAGTCGAACCTGGCCGCGTCGGCCAACGCCACCCTCAATACCTCGTCTTCATCCGGCCCCCAGCAGCCGCCGCTATCCGCCGGCTCCTCCGCCACCATGGAGAGGGATCGAGGGCTGGGAACCTTGGATCGACTTGGAAAAGGAGACAGTTCAAACACTAACACTCTCAACAGGAGAACAACACCTGTGTAACAAAAGGCTCGAGGAGGGAGGGAAGAGAGCGACGGGAAAAACAAGCGATTACACGAACTGCAAGTAAGGTGAGAAGTAAGAGAATGTGAGAGACAAAAAGAGCAAGAAAGGGCTGAGAAACGAAATAAGGTCCGCTCACAAGACGACAAAGAAGTGAACAAGAAGGCAATACATCCTCTTTTTTTCTCTCCATTTCTGTTTTTGAACATGGTGACTTGAGTAACAGAATTCCATCCGCACTTCTTATTGATTCATGTTGAAATACTCGATGTGTGTGATGGTGATATTTCGGTTCTTCAAGCTCTTTTTATTCCAGTGCTTTATCATCAGGTTATTCCTGTAACTTATTTGGCATTCCAATATAGTTGTTGTTGTTGATTTTTTATTAATTATTATTATGGTAATTGTTATTGTTGAGTTAACTTAAACATTATACATTTTTATCAACCTATTTTTTTTTTTTGCACAAGTATCCATTTTAATTTATTTCCGAATCCTTTCGAATGATGAACTAAACTGTGATTTTTTTTCTTGCACATGTTGACACAATATTTCACGATGTCATTCAGTGTCAAGCATGTGTTAATTCTGCTAGAGTGACGACTATTACTATTATGACTTTTTTTTAGTTTTTACAAAGATTAATAATACTTAGATCTGTGGAATTTTTCATTGTAACCGTAAGTGTACAAGTAGTTAAGTCTTCATATAAATATATTTGATTTATTTATCATATTAACAGTCTTAATATTGTTACGATGGGATAACAAATATAATGAACTGCTTTTGAGACAAAAGAAAGAGACAGAATACAGAAGTGAAAGGCATTCATTCCAGGGGAGCAATACGTATACCTAAAAACCTCACCAGAAAAGACAAAAAAATCGATTAAATACATAGTATATTATGAATATAAATATATATATAAAAATGTGTGTGCGTGTGTGTGGGAAAAAAACAACTTTTTGGTAAAATAAAATATGATATATTCTATGAATGTCTAAAACTCAGATCTGTGTGCATACTGTTAGCAGTTTTGACTGCAGCATTATTTTCATGTTTATTTGTAACTTTGTATGCATGATTCATATCCAATATATGATATATTCATAATGCTCTGCCTTTTGGCTTTGTGTCCATTGCCTGAATGTGTTCATGCGAATTAGGATGACAGGGAAAACCCAGGGGGCTAAAGAGGGATTTGATACTCCACAGTTTATAAACATACATTTCTACAGAGGAGGCTTCCAGAGGAGTCATGAGCGAGGATACACAGGTGTATTCTTTGCGAAAGAGTTTTATCGACCAAATGTGATTCACGTATCAATTCTCCTCCCCCTTCACAATCACAATGTTCACAATCCTTTTAATGTATACTTTACCTTTGCAGTTTATATAAACCACACATCTCGCATATTTCAGGGTCTCTTGCTATATTATTATTTATTAAGAATTTCGAAATTAAACAAACTTCAACAACATAATTGACAACAACAAATCCTTTGAGCGCTGCTGATGATGCTGTGAAGTGATTCGCGAGTGACCAAGTATTCCAATGTATAAAAAACAGCTTTCAATCTATTCCTCAGTCCTCCTTTTCTTTACTTGCAGCCTTCCCTCGGATCCTACTGGGGGTGGAGCGAAGACGCGAGGAAAGGTAACGAGGATACACAAATAAGAAATGAGAAGCACCCATAGTAAAGGACAACCTTGATGTTAGCAATAGCATTTGGCTAAGCTAACAAAGCAATACTAATGGAATGCAAAGAAGTGGATTTTCAGCATTCTGGAGTCACTTTCTCTGGAAAGGCTCCCTTTGAATTTGGCCAAAATTAAGTATCTCATAAGGCCTTAAAATGCTGTATAGGTAGTCAGCCCAGTCCCCTCACAAGCCTTCAGGAGACATGCATTTTTTCACACACACAAATAGAGTAATATGAAAGAAAGTAACGCATTAATGCATGCGCCTTGCTCCAGGGAAGGACATGACTGAAAGAAACAATTCTCTAGTGTGTCAGTTCACTTTTATATAAAAAAGCAGACTGAGGGGGCCTCGTTTATATGTGCCCTGCGTTTGTCCATTCACTCCCACACGGATATTTAGTCTTAGGCTTCCTACATATATTTCAGAGAAGTGTCAGGCAATAAAATGTCATCAATCTGAGTTACAGTTTTAGTCAGCACCAACAAAGCTCCTGTCCAACCCACAAACAGCAATAAAATACTCTTCAATGAAACATGATGTTCAGGATCAAACTTAATCACACAATAATAATAGCTATAAAAAATAGTTATAAAACTAGAATTTTACTACCGTAGCCGAGAGAGCTCAACGGGCTGCAACTGAAGAAAACACCTGCAAATAAAAAAAACACCCGCAAATAAAGAAAACATCTTTCAGTTACTTTGGAGTGAGCAGTGCACTTGTGTGACCGTTTGGAATGCACTTGATGAAGAAAACAACCCGCAATGGGAACCGGGACCATAATAGAGGCAAGGTGGGCCTGGATCGTGAAGCGTCGGCAACCAAGGTGGAGCAGGATCTGCAGACGACCAGGGCAAAGCAGGATGAGGCGGAGACCATGGCGGAGCAGGAAGTGCTCCGGCACTGAAGACCCTTCGGGCAGCCACAGCGGAGCAGGCAGTGCGGCGACCAGGGAGGAGACAACACTTACCTCAGGTGGCCAGGGAGGACCAAATACTTCAAGTGGCCAGGGCGGACCATGCAGTTCAGGTGGCCATGGTGGCATGGCCTCCATGGTCCCATCAGGGGACCTACTGCCCCTCCCCAAACTTTTATTGGGGGCAGCTATGGGGTTATGGACCGGGACAGGCCCCGGTTCAGGAACAGACACCGGCTCGGCCATCCTATCTGGAGATACTGGCTCGAAAGATGTGGCGTGCACAGTCTCTGGATCGGCAGAGGTGATGAGAACAGGCTCGGAGGCGGCCATCTTGTCCGGAGACACTGGCTTGGCAGACGTGGTGTGAACAGTCTCTGGATCGGCAAACGTGACAAGAACAGGCTCGGTGGCAGCCGTCTTGTCTGGAGACACTGGCTCGGCAGACGTGACGAGAACAGTCTCTGGATCGGCAGACGTGACGAGAACAGTCTCTGGATCGGCAGACGTGACGAGAACAGTCTCTGGCTCGGCAGACGTGACAAGAACAGTCTCTGGCTGGGCAGACGTGACAAGAACAGTCTCTGGCTGGGCAGACGTGACGTGAACAGTGATCACGTGATGTGATCAGGCTCGGCGTCGGCCGTCTTGTCCGGAGACACTGGCTCGGCAAACGTGATGAGAACAGTCTCTGGCTGGGCAGACGTGACAAGAACAGGCTCGGTGGCAGCCGTCTTGTCTGGAGACACTGGCTCGGCAGACGTGGCGTGAACAGTCTCTGGATCGACAGACGTGATGAGAACAGTCTCTGGCTGGGCAGACATGACGTGAACAGGCTCGGTGGCAGCCGTCTTGTCTGGAGACACTGGCTCGGCAGACGTGACGAGAACAGTCTCTGGCTGGGCAGACGTGACGTGAACAGGCTCGGCGACGGCCGTCTTGTCCGGGGGCTCAGGCTCGGCAGACGTGGCGTGAACAGTCTCTGGATCGGCAGATGTGACGAGAACAGTCTCTGGCTGGGCAGACATGACGTGAACAGGCTCGGTGGCAGCCGTGACGTGAACAGGGTCGGCGACGGCCGTCTTGTCCGGGGGCTCAGGCTCGGCAGACGTGGCGTGAACAGTCTCTGGATCGGCAAACGTTACGAGAACAGTCTCTGGCTGGGCAGACGTGACAAGAACAGGCTCGGTGGCAGCCGTCTTGTCTTGAGACACTGGCTCGGCAGACGTGGCGTGAACAGTCTCTGGATCGGCAGATGTGACGAGAACAGTCTCTGGCTGGGCAGACATGACGTGAACAGGCTCGGTGGCAGCCGTGACGTGAACAGGGTCGGCGACGGCCGTCTTGTCCGGGGGCTCAGGCTCGGCAGACGTGGCGTGAACAGTCTCTGGATCGGCAGATGTGACGAGAACAGTCTCTGGCTGGGCAGACATGACGTGAACAGGCTCGGTGGCAGCCGTGACGTGAACAGGGTCGGCGACGGCCGTCTTGTCCGGGGGCTCAGGCTCGGCAGACGTGGCGTGAACAGTCTCTGGATCGGCAAACGTTACGAGAACAGTCTCTGGCTGGGCAGACGTGACAAGAACAGGCTCGGTGGCAGCCGTCTTGTCTGGAGACACTGGCTCGGCAGACGTGGCGTGAACAGTCTCTGGATCGGCAGATGTGACGAGAACAGTCTCTGGCTGGGCAGACATGACGTGAACAGGCTCGGTGGCAGCCGTGACGTGAACAGGGTCGGCGACGGCCGTCTTGTCCGGGGGCTCAGGCTCGGCAGACGTGGCGTGAACAGTCTCTGGATTGGCAAACGTTACGAGAACAGTCTCTGGCTGGGCAGACGTGACAAGAACAGGCTCGGTGGCAGCCGTCTTGTCTGGAGACACTGGCTCGGCAGACGTGACGAAAACAGTCTCTGGATCGGCAGACGTGACGAAAACAGTCTCTGGATCGGCAGACGTGACGAGAACAGTCTCTGGCTGGGCAGACGTGACGTGAACAGGGTCGGCGGCGGCCGTCTTGTCCGGAGGCTCAGGCTCGGCATACTGTTTTTGGCCTACTTTATAAGTATGCGATTTCGGATGCAGACATTGTGTTCAGCACAGACCTTATTTCAGATATTTAACCAAAAAGTCAATTAAAAAAAAAGACAATTAAAATGTGGACCCTGAGGTTTGGCCTACAAAAATACACCATACCTTCAGGATTTACAACTCCTCTCCCATGGCCACATTGGATAGTATTGGGATTGTATGTGCACTTCAGAATCTGGGAAGAAGTAGTTGGTTGTAGTTTGTGTATTAGGTTTGAGGTCATCTATATGCTAAAAGTTGAACTTGTGGCAGATTTGCACATGTAAAGCTTTCTTTTCTAGAAAACCAGGTCAAAAATATTGTTGATACATTCTGCATCATGTGTTTGTTAGAAATGTTTATGCAATAAAAAATGATCTGAAAAAAAATTTACTTTCTCTTTACACTACCTGCTTCCGACTAGCTTTAGCAAGTAGCAATTAATGATTCACAACTCTGATGTAACCTATAGATGCTACTAGCTATTTAAAGAAATACGTCATCAAATATTTTCATGGGGTCTTTAGGATCAGGTGTCCTATCCAATACCGTTAGTGATCATTAGCTGGCTGAAAGTGTACAATATGTGTCAAATGTATGTGCAGAGTTTTTAGAGGTCAAAAAGGGCAGAGTTTAAAGATAGTCGGACATAAACAAGCTGTAACTCATTAGAAGATTCAGTTGCTGTGCCCTGAAGATTTATCTAGGTCACACTGTGACTGAAAGTAAAGATACCTGATATGTATAACCAAAGCTAAACTTATATACAACACCCACTCCATAATGGTGTCTGTCATAGTTAGATGTTAATAAAATCAGCTATACTGATGGTCACTATTTCTACGAGAGGTTTGCGTGGCTCGGTAAGACAGGGGAACTGCACTTCCAATCTATGTTTGTGTTGCTTGCGTCCTCTAGAGCGCGATTGGCCATGCTCTAAATTTAGAGGAAACAGGAGGGAGGAAATTGGATGAGTGGGATGAACAGGGAGATGGAAATCTGGAAGGAGGTCAAAAATAAAATGACATGTGACAAAAAAGAAACAAGGTATGATGGTATGGCTAATGTTTTATTCTTTATATCACATTGTCATTCATCCAAGTCAGAAGAAAGGTTGAGTTCACTCAATGATTGGCACGCTCAGTAATTCATCAAGAGAGCATGCTAAATATCCGAAACGGATGGATGGAAATAGGCAATAGAATCTCGGCTTCAGCATGAATGTCACTTCACATATATGACAAATACTAAAGTGCATGGATTGATGCAAATGTGCAAAAACAAGGGTTTAGGATAAGAATCAGTGCATACAAAGGTCTGCACCACAAAATTATAGAAGTGTACACCTGAGAGCATAAAGATGAACTACGTAGTGACTGACTATCAAGTTCATATAAATAATACAAATAATAAAATATACTTGCACCGAGAAGCGAATAAGAAACTGTGTCATGTCATGGACGCTATAGGAACGTTTCCATTTTACCTGGTGTCTGATACACTTGTGTGCACATGCCAATCTGATTGGCCGAACGTGAGGACACAGTGATGCAGCATACTGCGTCACTGAAACTATAAATAGACACCTGAAATCAGCATCATCAGATTCTTATTGTCTGAAGAAGTTGCACTGGCATGACCAGGGCATGGAAATGTGACACGGTGTCTCATTCCCTTCTCAAGGAAACTATGCTACATACGTAACCTGAGACGTTTCCCTTCGGGAGTGGAACTTCATAGTGGTATTGAAGCTTAAATACCAACGCTGCCACGATATGGGATAGTACCTGCCCAACAAGGATGTGTATCTACACGGACAGTTTTTGAGCGTAGACTGAGTACTGAATCAACCCTGAAGGACCCAAGGGTTAAAGCTGCCATCTGCAACATTTTTTTTTGATCATATTCAGTGAAATCGACACTATAATCCGACAGAACAACATAAATAAGCATACCTCCAGATAATCCATGGTGTTGATGAATGCTGATGAGACGGTTGTGTTCACAGAAAACCTGGTGCGCATACACTCGAGCACGAACTCTGTGGGAGGGTATTCGTTGATAGTGGGGGAGGGCCATATGAGTTGTAAACATTCAAAATGTTGCCAAAGTCCACTAAATCAGCCATAGTTGCCGACGGCAGCTTTAAATTCCCATTTAGAACCTGATGAATGTGTGCGGAGAGGACCAACTTGCCACAACACAGACATCTTGTAAGGATGCACTCCTAATAGGAGCTTTGGAAGGTGCAACACTCCTAGAGGAGTGGGCCAGAGGAATTCGTTCCTTGAACACCACCAATTGTCGCTCTGCCTTCTGGTATCTGTCCACGATGACAATAATTGCATCGACAAACAAGTCAGAAGGTAAAATAGATGCATTCAGGAGAAATGCTTTATCCCTCCCCTTAATCCATGTGAAGTTTTTAAGCAACAGATGCCGCTCTGTTGCAACTATAAAAGCCATCGAATGACCAATGGTACGGACCGTCTGCTTGGTTGCATAGAGGGCAAGATCTGTGGCCCAAGGAAGCTCTTTTACCACCTCAGCTAATTGCTATAATCCTAGTCTTTGAGTTGGTCAGCCTGGAACGTCAGCAGAACTGACCTGCTGCCTAACCCACAAGACTGGACGTTACCCTACAGGGCTTTGAGGGTAAAGCTTCCACCTTCCACATCATCCTGTACTCAGGGCCGATGGAAGACAATCCAATTCGTCACATATTGACCCCTACTGTTGACTTAAGGTGTAATGAATTAATACAATTTACTCACCATTTAAAATTGCTTTGGCTGCTGCGAACTCTTAAATTCATTAACTTATCATGGCGTAAAAAGGCCCATCCCCACACACTAAAGCAGAATCCAAAACAAGGACTGGTGGGACGTTGTCCTGCTCCACTTCACGCTGAGTGAAAGGATAATTTTAGAATGAGGAGATACTAATTTATATGCCACTTTATTCAACAAGAAGAGCAGCTCGTTCTGCGCCTCATATGTCATTACGCGATTTCTACGTCATTGCACATGCGCAGCTCTTTCAGTTTTTCAGTTTTCAATCCGATCAAGTGTTTACATGTCCTCTCGATCGGATTAGAAAATGAATAAATCTCCCCTTTCAATTCGATAGAAATTTCATTTGGATCGAGCTCAATCGTTCGTGACTCTGCTATTCAAACTCGTTCATCAAAATCTTTTCCCGAGTCAACTCGTTCATTTCGTTCGTTGTTGAACCAAATGACACGAAAAAAGATTTGTTCATTTTGATAAACAAGGTCAAACAGGAGAGTCACGAATGCACATCACAGAACAGAGCAAGGCGACCATTTAAGCTTATAAAGCTTTAGAGCGTGAAGACCCTTATTCATCATCTGGAATCGTTTAAAGCCCTTTGAACAGTTTGCAGTTTGCACTGAAACTTTCTTTTGGACCTTGAACAGTTTGGTTTCCATTGAAGTCCATTATATGGAGAAAAATCCTGGAATCTTTTCATCAAAACCTTAATTTCTTTTCGACTGAAGAAAGAAAGACATGGGGGTGAGTAAATTATCAGCATTATCTCCTTTTAAGATTATACTTGTATATCTGTGAAATATTGAGACATTGCATGCATAATATCACCAATAGTACAGTATTTAGTGAGTACTAGTGAGTACTATTAACCTAATTTGATGACGCTAGATGTTAAAATGTATGGATAACATGACCATAACACTGCAATGCTTATGTTCTTCTGTACATAGCTATAACATTGTTATTTTGAATATGTGATCATTTAAAGATTGTTATTTCTATTCTATATAGATCCACTACTGTTTAAATGTTGCAGCAAAATACTACCCATTTAGGAGATATACTGTACGTCTCTGACCGGACATCTTGTGACTGCTCACTTTCCCCCAGAACCTAACGTAGTTTTCATTACAACATGAGTATAACAACCTCAAGCAGCTCATTGAACGTGGCAGATTGAGGAAGCTGCTCTGCCGAAGCACCCGCCTGCCTGTCTGCATTCAGAAGGACTCAAGGACCTTGCATGCTCCTCACCCAACACATTTCGCGTGAGTCGTCCCCCTTAATATAGCGTGCATGCACATCTCCTAAACTTTAGACTTGACATTTTTTCTAATTCCTGGTCTAAAGACAAACCACACAAACAATTTTTCAATGCAAACCAAACAACGCAAGCTCAGAAAACATGCAGCTTCTGAAGACAAATAAGCTGATAATGCTCACTTCAGACATCTATTCATGGTTTCAGTGACATACTGCACTGTGTCGCTATACAATCTCACATTCGGCCAATAAGATTGTTGTGTTTAGACACATGCTGGCTCACGTGGAACCGTTCCCATATTGTCAATGCCATTACGCACCATCGAAAGTTCCAGCATAGTCTATAATCTTCATCAAATTAATCGTAGAATCAAAACAAAAAATGATAGCAATGTAAATAACAGAACTTAAAAAGACATTCATTAATTTGGAACAATTTTCCTAGTTTTGCAAGCAGTGGCGGTTCTACTTTGAATTACACCCAGGGCGAGACCCCCTTCGAGCCCACCCCCCCAAACCAAACACACAAAAAAAAAAACCAACACAACAATAAAATCACATTCCGTTCATTTGAAAAACACTGTTAATAAAATCCAGTTATTTTGCTAGATGAATCTAACTTTAAAGGGAGGAAGTAACCATTAGCTCATTGGTTATTGCCTTGAATTATATGCATGGCACACTTTTAGTTATGACTTGTTAAACTATACTTTGTCACGAAATGGAGTTTTTAAAAGTAAAAGGGTCAGAGAGACTTGGGCCTATTTAGTAACACAATACTTATCTCTTAAATAATTTTGAACAGCTCTCATATTAACAACTATCCAAACTGTTATAGACCTAAAATAGCTTTTGTAGCCCTATGTCACTCTTAAAATGTCTTAAAAAGAGAAAAGGACAGAATCAGAGATTATTTAGAAAATAGAAAATTGTACTTTGCATATTATAGGCTATACTGTAAAAACACTTATAAAGTTGATCATTATGTAAATTATTTTCATTTCATGAATATATAGTGACCAACATGATCACATACACAGAATCTTGTTCAAAAACCCTAATACACAATGAAATCAATTCATTAAGTTAATAACATTAAAGATTTGTTTTTAAGGAGTGTCTTTTATCTAAACTTAAAAAAGGTTAAAAAAGATTTTAAAAAAAATTTAAACCTCATATTTCAGCATTCAATCATCTCTATAAAAAGAATGAGTCAATAAAGATACATCCTTTATAATGCACAGTAGCTTATCTTTTATTATTATTAATAGTAAAATTCGGTCCGATTTTCCCATGGCTGTCGTTGCTATACAACCATGCACTACGCTCTCCACAATGACAAAGAAGTTTTAGTAGCTAATGTATTTCCACCACAGAAGCTCTGCTAAAAGATTTATTTACGGAGAAGAGAAAAAAAACACCAAAGTGTTTGGGTGCACGTGCACTCCCAATACTGAAAAGTTTATGAGCGCGCCACCCGTGCGCCTAATCGCCTATTTGAAATAATGACCTAAAGCGCGCAAAAGACGCGATACGTGAACTAATCAAGAGATATCGCTTCTGTGCACGGCATCTTCTCAGCAAACAGGGGCGCCATTGCCAATAATTGAATCGAAATGATACAAATAGAAAACCTTCGCGGCACAGAGGATTTTTTTTAACTGCTCGTGCCGCCCCCCATGTGACGAAGAGATGCCGCCCCGGGCGACTGCCCGGTTCGCCCGTGCCTAGAACCGCTACTGTTTGCAAGAGGGGAAAAAAAACACAGAGAGGCAAATTTTCTGTTGAAAAATCCAAATAATTAAAATAAATATTCTTTTGTTTTATAAAACAACACATTCTCATCCCAAGATGTCATATAACTGACGCTTTTGACCATACGTTAACATCTGACGTTTTAGGGTACCCTTTAACGTCAGTTAATGACGCTATCCTAGGGCGTCATCCAACTGATGCTTTACCTTTAGCGTCAGTTAGATGACGAGGGTAGGTTTAGGTCTGGGGTAGGGTTAGGGTTAGATAACGTCATCTGAAGGGTAAACTAAAACGTCGGATGTTGACGTATGGTCAAAAGCGTCAGTTACTGTAGATGACGTCTTGGGATGAGAATGGGCTCTATAAAAAGGTCATATTAATACATTTGAATGAAAACACTCAGTTTGATTTTTAAACCAATGTATTCCTAGTTCAGATTGTTGCATTATCCAGCCCAACTCAGTAGGACAGCTATTTCTGTCATGCACCAGAGCCAACAATGAAAGTTTCTCATTATTATGAAATGCTTTCCTCTAACACTTTCAATAACCGATTCTAGATCAGCATCAATGTCAGCGTTCACAATGGGAAACAGCAGGAGCAGCAGAAGTGGATGTGGAGGCTTTTAATTAATGCTTTTGATTTGAGTTCATCTCTTGCTGTCATCAAGAGACCACCTTCAGATGAAAAGGGCTGGTCAAAACCGGAGATGAATCAACTGGGCCTTTCATTACTGTCAGCTGGCAGACTAAACCACAGATATAACAGAAAATGAGACTTTCAATATGGCTGGAAGCACCATCATGCAACACTAAACTGCCCTCTGTGCATTTGACTACATATTTCTACAGTTTACGCTGGTATGTATATTTTTCTCATTTCAATTTCTCAGTATATCTGCAAATCAGCCATAACATATAAAGTTCCAGTAAATAATCATTATTTTATTTATGATTTATTGACAATGCAGCAGTTTTGTCCACTACTAAAAAAATAAAAAATAAATAAGTAAAAGAAAAAGTGAGCGATCATGCTGTTTTTCAAATATGCAATGGGAGATTCCATGTGGTTGCTTCACGTCAAAGGCATTGCTGTTAATAAACAATCAGTGTCGACCGGCAGCAGAATAAATTCACTGATGTATCTCAAGCAGCTTTGTTGTGGGTTTCAAGTGGTTCTCTTATTTCCTTCACCATGGGTACAAAAAAATAACATGGAGGCATAGAAGCTGATTTCCATGAAGGAGAAAAGGTAGGTGTTTTGGGTATGTACTTTGCCAAGACTTGGTCAAAGATTGTAAATGTCTTTAGAAACATAAATATAATACAAAACATACATAAATTAGCTTAATTTCGGTTACTACAATTGTAAAGTTACAATCCATTTCACTTTGCCTCTGGTCTGGAAACCCAATCATGCCAAATAAGGCATTTACACTACAATTATATTTGAGCAAAATTCCAAAATTATAGTCCTAGATTTTAAATATTATATTATGATCTTCAGAAAAGGTTAAATGAAACAGTATCCAAATAAAGTATCCAAGGTCTTCTTCTCTAAACAGCCCATCTGGTATATAAAGCTAATCAAAATATACAGCATCAAATGTTATGCTATATTATATTTGTCATAGAATATTATATCATTTACAAACAAACTAATAAAAGGAATAGTTAAAAAAATGAAATATTCCACATGAGTTTTACACAAAAGATGGTACAACATATAATCTGCAAAAATGTCTGGGTCACCTCCTGTTACGTTTCCAGCACCATACTCTCCTGTGCCAACTCATCTATAATCACATTGCCAACCACTGTTTGGTTGTGTGTGTTTGTATGTGTGTGTGTGTACAGTTCATGAACCCCTTTTTCCCAGATTCACCAGGATGCATGGGACTGTTGTTATACGTTCCACATTATCAGTAAGATTCAGTGCAATCTGAATGAGAAGCACACTTCAGCCTCCACACCACTAGATGTCACTGTTCTTCTTAGGTAGGCACCTTTTCCATGGACTGTATGGAAGAGCAAGGACCAAGAAGAAGACCCCAGCAACAACAGCCAGAGCCCCTGCACAGCCCACACACGTCACTGACCATGACATTTCATGGCGTAGAGGTATGGATTGGTCACTTGCTAAGAATAAAAGCACTGATTGGTGGAAAATTATGAGGCAGAGGAAGATTAGGACACCTGTTGAGAGACAGAGGGGGAAAAATCAGATGTGTGAGAGCTTATGTTTCTTGGCTTTTATCAGGAGTTTGGAATTGCCTTGTCTTTTCTGAATGACCCTGCCACAGCATTTGTGTTAGCATATATTGTCGGCTAGTTCTGCTCTTGCTCTCAATGTTACTGTTTCCAAAGCTATCTCTGTTATATTTGTTGTAATCTTGAACTTTTTTGGCCAAACAGTTTCTTGTGCCTCATTTAAAAAAAAGTTAGACATAGCTCCATGGAGGACACAAATGTCCACGGCAAAAAACGGTCATAGAGCACAATTTAAGTTTGGTATCATTTTAAAGAAGACCCTTGGTAGATTATTGCTGAAGTAATAAAAAATGAATCCTTAAAAAGGTTGTTTAGGTTTAAGTTTATCAAAATTTTTATGAACATTATTTTTTATGAAATATATTTTATAAAACAAGTTGAACTCAAAACCGGCTAGAAAATCAAAGCCATTAATATAAATATGTTCTGTTCCTTACAAATTTGAGGTTGATATCTCAAAAAAAAAAAAAAAATAGCTTTCAGCTTTATTATGCCGACGCAGAAAAAAAAAGTTTTAATGGGTTTCAATGGGGCCATTTTTGTCCTAAAGGTGCTGAGTGGGAGTGTTTTGTGTCTCGTGTGCAAAAGAAAATGTATTTTTAAGGATATAGTGGTGAAATAGTAAAATTACAATAAAAATACACACCTGCGCCACATTTTATGCAGTTACAGTAGCATTAACACAAGCAAAGTGATAAAAAAAAACTAAACTGAAAAGACCAAAAATATCCCTAAGGAGGCACAAGGGTTAAAAAATATATATATATAATTTGGCTATTCATTTGCACGACTTTTGACAACTGAAGACAACTTTTTGACTTTTAACTGAAGACAACTTTTGAAAATGGGTTTCAAAGTACAAGTTTTAAAGATACCATTATTGTCTCCATGTAAACTCCAAAAACATGAATTTGTGAAAACGGTGACATCATGCACATGCGTATGACCGACACGTAATACGAGCACGTTCTCATCCCAAGGCGTCATATACGACGCTTTTGCCAAAGCGTAGACATCCAATGCACATGGCACCCTTTAGCGTCAAATGAGACGCTTCGGTTATGGTAGGTTTAGGTCTGGGGTAGTGTTAGGGTTAGACCACTAGGAGGCGCCTTCTGCCCCATATATATCTGCGTCTTATTTGAAGCTATAGGGTGCCATGTGGGTTGGATGTCTACGCTTTGCAAAAGCGTCGTATATGACGCCTTGGGATGAGAACGTGCTCGTCTATGTTCGGTCTATAGGCATGTAGTTTTTCCTTCACTACATGACATCGCCAACTATTTGCTAGTAGCCAGACCTTCTGCCATCAGTCTGACTCTATCGCAGCTTTCATTAACAGCTTCCATCTCACTGACAAGAAAAGCAACTAATCACAGTTCGTTTTGTTCCGCGTCGTGGTTAGGATCGTGAAAATGTAACGACACACACGTCTCCTGTGTCGGAAATCCTGTAGAATTCATTCAACCAATCAGATGATGACTTCGAAACTCCTGAAGTTTTTCCAGTAAGGTGTGTATGCATCAGACATTCAACCAACAGTCTGTGGGTGTGTGATGTCTGAGGCTGACACTAACTACTATACTGCCAGCTTGCATAATACAGCGTTTTCATGTTGTGAAACGAAAAACTTTACGTTTTTAGTGCATCATTGTCATGTAAACGTATCCTTTGCTCATACAGTTTATTTCTTTTTACAGTTTATGTGAAGTATGGTATCAGCAACGCCAAGGTCACTATAATTCCCAGGAAATACACATATTGGTAAGTTTAAATGCACTGAAAGTGTTTTTTTTTTATGATTGAAAAAAAAAAAGCATGGTAAGCAGGTAAAAAGCATGTGTTTTATGTAGTTAAAGGATGTTAGCCAATAGCATAATAATGTTACCTGACAGTATGAAGCAAGCTGAGGCTGGCTTCAAGAAGAACTGAACACCTTTGCCTACTGCCATGATAATGCACATAGCTCCCATCACCATCAGGAAAAGACTAATGATAGCTAACACAGCCGATGCTACTGTCAGATCTGAAAAAGGAAAAAGAAGGTTTAAATCAGCAATAGCAATAATTATGATGGCATAATGCACACATCTGCTGAGCGGAATTAACTGACAGAGAATGGTTTGATTTAAAGGTGCAATCTATGTGTTTTTGTCATCATGTTTAGATGGTTAGGCTGAGGTTTTTCCTGTAGCTGTCCATTTCAAGACACTTGTGTACTGAAAGAGTAGGCAATTTTAATGAAATAACTTAAAAATAATAATCATTAACCTTTTTAATTGGCACAATATTGCCTTTGCATATGATGCAGATGTTCTTATAAAATTGGGTAACAGTTTACGATAAGGTTCCAATAGTTAATGCATTAACAGAGCAATACATTTGTTACAGTATCTCTGTTAACGTTAGTTAATAAAAAATAGTTCTGGTCATGTTAGATCATGTCCACTTTATAATATTAACATATACAGCTTTTGAATTTAAGAATGGATTAGTAAATGTTGAAATTAACACTAAGAATAATCATTTCATTCATGTTAACTACTATTGTCAACAATTTAAACCTTATTGAAAAGTGGTTAGGATACTGTTGGAAATGTAATCATTAATTCCCTTCATATTATTATTCATGCTATTTTTTGTTGCTCATACAACATTTAAGTATCATACGTTGGTAAAAAAATGTATAAATGGGGTCAGCGCTCAGTGACGACATAAAGAAAGACACATTAGTGCTATGGGATCTAAAGACGAAGAGGGGGATGTGCGATGACTCACCCTTTTCTGGCGTTTTCTGAAATAGGACAATGTTTTCTCCAGTGGTGTAGAACTTAAAGAAGGTGCAATTGGATTCTATAATGGGATCCAGGAAGGTGATGTTATTCTAACCGATCATTCATAATGCTTTCACTCCAGTTGAGACATAATGCAACATTTTCTCTTACCTCCATGTGCATGCGTAGGCCCACAGATCTCCTGCTTTGGGTCCATATCTGACAGCCCGAATGTCTTGGTACAGCATTTCCATAAGCCATAATGTGCTACCAGACAAGTCTGATTGTTGTCGAAGTTCTTGGGTGGTGTAAGTTCCACCCAGAACTCTGTGCCCACCCCTAGCACAGTGAGCATAATGCCGGTTACAGCCAAGAATAACGTCAGCTTGATTTTGCCCTCTTGGCTTTCGCTGATTCCATCTCCAGAATTGGAGTGTGTTCTATGTCGGCGCTTGCGCCCGCCGCCCCGTGATCCCAAAAACCCTTCCAGCGCAGGTTGGTGTACCCCAGCAGATGCATTCCCTGTCCTTACCTCTTCATCCTGCACGATGAACGTGGACCACATGATTGATTTGCAGCTTCAGAGATCCAAATAAGTGAATGAGAGGCAGCAGCTTATTTTGAAAGGATATTTAAGTCTTCTTAGATGATTGAGGACAAAATAATCAGATGGGAGGTCAAACAAATATAGTTAGTGCTGGAAAAGTCTGAGTTAGATTGATCCTGCAAGATAAATCTAGGTCAGTCTAATGTGTTTCATATGTAGAGGTGTGACAGGCTTTGTCAGAGGAAGATGCAGCGGAGGATGTTAATTATGGAGGCGTTAAGGCCAGATAGACAGCTGAAGGAAGCTGGGAGCTGCAGGCATTGCCCATTCACACAATTGAGTGCTAATACAGCTTGAAGATGGGAATGATGATGAGGAGGTGATGAAGTCAGGGGTTGGTCAGACTGGTTACTCTAAAAATTAAGAATATGATTAAAACAGAAAGTCAAACTTAAGCAGTTTCAAGAAATGTTCATCATGATGACTAGTACCACCAGCTAACCCACGATATATAAGACATTATTTTTGTTCAAACAATGGAAACTTGTGGTAACCAAAACTATTTGGTAAACATCATTCTTCAAAATGTCTTATATTCTGTTCTGCATATATATTTATATATTCATGTTTGTGTTTCTTTGTTTATCTTCTAGTCTGTTAATTAGTTCAGTTCTCCTCCGTTCTCTCCCTGTTTGTCTCCATGGTTTCTAATTGATTGGGTTCCTCGGTTTAGGTGTGTTCCTCTATTTAGTTTCTCCCTCTGTCTGCAGTGTACAGTATATAGGCTAAGCCCTCATTTTGCATTAGTTCTTTGTTGCAGTATTAGTTAGAATAGTTAAGAATAGTTAGGCACACCTGGGTAAAAGGCGCATTTGACTTTGTTCTATTTTAAACCACTAGATTCAGCTGAGCACTTTTCTTAAAGTGCCCCTATTATGGATTTTTGAAAAAAATTACCTTTCATGTGGTGTGTAACATAGTTCTAAGTGAATGAAAACATACTGCAAAGTTTTAAATCTGAAAGTGCACCATATATGAAGTTATTGTCTTTCAAATTCGACTCCGAGTCAATGAAATTAATCGTTTTTCAAACCCGTTTCGTTGTGACGTCAAAATGTAACATTAGCATATTGCCAACCCAGTTATTGCGTGCACAGACACCAGGGAAAACTTACTCGGTTACCTAACTTAACCTCGGTTCTCTCTAGAAGAGGGAACGAGTTTTGCCTAATTTTAGCCTAGACCACGGGAAAGATTAATCTTCTCGAAATATTGAAGCCAAAAAAATGATCCTTAATTTTGTATTCATTGTCAACACAGTGCAGCAGCTAGCAGACCTAGAACGGGCATTCTAGCGCACTCATTGGCTGCTCTGCGGGATTTGCACAGCCTACCAGCGAGCCCGGTGTGACGTCACGTTCCTATGCACCCTAGTCCGCCAAAATAGGTGTAGCTTAGCGTATATAAGCAGGGCTCGGAGGCTATTTCTCGTATTTTCATCTCTTCAGTGAAGCTCCCGCTTCGCTGGATCTAAGATGCCTCGCCGCCGTCGAACAGCGACAAGCCAGCTAGGATTGTGACTGAAGAAGCTGGCCGTCTTCACCACCTTCAGCCTTCCGAAGCAAGCTTTGCTATCTGGTGACGTATCTTTTTTATTGCAAACCTAAGCATCTAAAAGAGCCAAGCGTATTTTTAAAGATGCCTCGCACCAACTGTGGCTCGTGCAGAGCCCCGCTCAGCGCAGGAGACCACCACGGGATCTGCGCTCTCTGCCTGGGCCAGGAACACGCTGCTCTTGCCCTCTCTTCCGGAGGATGTGAGCACTATTGAGGAGCTTCCGATGTCAACCCTGCGGGCTCGACTCGAAGCTTTCCAGGATGAAGCTGTATCTCCGCCCTTTGCTGGACCACGCAGAAAGAAGAATTGCTGCTCTCAAAGGCCGCCGGAAGCTGTGGTGATGCGACGTGCACGTCGGAGTCCCTCCCTCGAGTCTTGCCCTCGCCTTCTCAGCCTCCCCTCACCGACGCGCAAGCGCCGGCTAAGGCCTGCGATGCCCTCGAGTCTGAGTGTGACGCGGGAAGACCCGCAGCAGGAGCTGTATGCACTGTTATTGATACAGTTTCCACATGTTCACAGCAATAAATTAGTAAAATAATCGGTTTGTTGATGGACATACATTTGTTAATGCTGATGGTGTGGAATTACAGTTGCAACATCTCATAATATACCTCAAACTGAGTAAAGTTAGTTTATCACTGAGAAACATCGTCCTTGCGACGGAGGTTCGGGTTGAATAACTAGTTCCCTTTCAGTCGATAACGTCGGACGTAGTCGATGGTCAACTGAATGGGGATTGCGTCAGAGAGCCAATGTTCTTCAGGTACTATTGAACGAGCCAATGGAATTGTAGTGCGTGATTCGCATCACACAGTCCACCCCCATTTATATGTTCAGCATGCTGAGCCAGATTTTGTGGATGGCTCATGTTCTCATTGCGGGAATATGACTTTCGCAGTGTTGAGATCGAGACTCGCCTTCATCCTCTAGGTGCAAGTCCCCATTACCATGCCCTACCTCTGGGTGCTGTGTGGGATGGGTAAAGGGAGGATAGTGATGGATGTCTCACCAGGTAACCATTCCCTGTAGGCTCCTCAATCCTCCATCACACCGCAGCCGTTAGAATTCCTGTTGAGCATGCTGGTCCCCTCTGTAATGGACCGATCAGCTGTTTCAATGGGGGTTCCCCCAGAGGATAAGATGGCAGCATCGTAGGGTGAGCTGACCTCTGGAGATGACAACTCAGCTGTGTTATCTTCCTTTGGGAGTGTAACATTGCCCGAGCCAGATCCAGAAACGTCAGCTATGCTGAAACGGGCCACCGAGGCTGCCGGGCTCAAGGGAAACTCCACCGTGCTCCGTTTAGTCTCGGTTGGAGGATTGGTACCTTGGGGTGGACCGCACTGGTTCTCAGCTCGCCGCCCCAGTACCTTTCTTTTCCGAAATACATGGAGAGCTTATCAGGCTCTCCTTTTCCCCCTCACTACCCTTGATGGAGGAACTGTGAAGGGCTGTGAGGTTTTCCTCCATTGGAGTGGTCTGTCATGACACAGGTACACCTGTGTCTGGTGGCGGCTGCCTTTTGCCCCCCAACTTTGAACTAGCTAGACGGTCGTCAGGAATTCGAATCCCTATCAGTTACGGCTACTCGTCACTAGCTAACGCATTTGCATAGTGCTTGCATAATGTTCTACTTCTATGTTGTCTGCTCGCGTGACGCAGAGCATGACCCGCCCTTCAAAGTTTGGGCAAAGGGCAAAGCTTGAAATAGTTCTGCAAATCAACTCTGGGACACCATTACCTAAAACTGTGTCTATTAATGCAGATTATCTGTTGTTCTTACTACTTTGAGTAAGGATTAAGGATTGAGCAAGATTTGTTTTACAAACGTTTGTTACATCAGTCATTCACGTCATCAGTCATTCACATGCTCGGCTAACCTATGTGCTGTTATTGACGTAGTTTCCGCATGTTCACCGCAATAAATTAGAAATAGAAACATCGGTTTGTTGATGGACATACATTTGTAAATTCTGCTTGAGGAATTACAGCTGCAACATCTCCTAATGTACGTCAAACTGAGTAGCATATCTCTGAGAATCGTCTTGCTCAAGTCCTTACGATGGAGGTTCGGGTTGAATAACCAGTTCTTCCAATTTCATCTTCGGACTCGGAATGATATTTAGAGTGAGGAGTCACGTGCCGATTTGGGCGGGGTCTGAGCCGGTCGGCCATGATGGTAGGAGGATGGTAGTAGGATGGTCGATGGTAGTAGGATGGTCGGTTGCCAGGGGCAACGCCTTCAGAACGTCACAGAGGCGCGACTAAACATTCCGGAAATTGTGAAAGAGAGACAGCGCAGCTTAGTATTTGTTTACATTTTACATTTTAGCGATACGCCACAGTTTCTTTGGAAAATTTGGAGAAGGAAGAGAAATGAAAGGGGTTCTATATCGGGAGAGACTAAATGGCAATGCTAGCCAGCTTTATTTAGAGAAACTGCTTGTCAATAAACTGACAGCAGCAACAGAGAGCAAACCATGGTTTCAAAAGGAACACATTTCAGCACAGTTCGCCTTTTATTCAACACAAACAAATGAAATTAATACTCTGTTATTCAACTAGAGTTGTTTAATTTGTTAGATATATCTGTACCGCGAAATGTTTTAAAAAGACACTTTTTTAATGATTTGACTCACCTTGACAGGGGAATATCTGATCTGTCCACTTAACGTTGCACGGCAGGTGAAAATGCATGTACAGTATCTGATTCTTATCAGATTTATTTCCACATATGAATGAGGTCAACATCAAGTATGACTGAACTCTAACAGTTTAACGTTACAGGTTTGGGGGTTTCTAAGTCTTGCACCCAGCCGCAGCAGAATTGTTTATAAGCTTCTAATGACTTAAAGCTTCTGAACTCTTGCATTGTAATGTATTGGCAGTAACGGGGTCTTTGGGTCTTTCGTCCATTCTATAGCAGGTCGTACGGGTCCATGTTGATATCAAGTAGTTTGTCTCAGCAATGTGTTGTTATTTAGTCTCTCCTTATAGAGCCCCTTTCCTTTTGCTTCCCCCTTCTTCATTTATTCCCAAGAAACTGTGCCTTATCACAAAAAATGCAAACTAATATCAAGCTGCTCTCTTTCTCTGTCGCTATTTCTCTCGGCCTTACGGTCGAATCCTTCCCACAATGCAAAGCGTAGTGATGCGCATCACATTCTCATTCTCAATAGTAATGTTGCTGTATGAGCTGAAGTTCAGTTGTGGTAATGGTGTTTTGTTTCGACGGACGCTGTAAGCGGTTGACCAATAAGAACAGATTGTGCAATCTGGCCAATCAGAGCAGAGTAGCTTGTGGAAAGGAGGGATTTTTCATCTGACAAATCATTTGAGAATCATTTAAAAAAGTGGAAATGTGCAATGTATATTAAGAGAAAATTAAAGTGTTTTTTGACCTTTAATGCATGTTAACCTGTTGTAGGAGGCATCCAAAACTAAATTAGGAATCTTTAAAATAGGGGCACTTAAAAAAGGCTTAATTGTGTTTGTAGTATAACAAAGTTAATCTTATTTAAATTTATTTGAATGGTTTTTGAACCATATATGCTGCAATAAAGCTAATTTCTGTGTATGTTCTATGTTTATAATGCAATATCATCTATCTAAAAATATTCAAAGTAGTTATTTGTTGACTTCAATAAATTAGCTTGCAGACAGCACTAACCAAACTATTTGAAAGAAAACCAGGACATAATACTTCCTAAAGATATATAGAGAAAAAAACATTAAACATGACTTGATGATCAATCATTCTTGGGTACATTAGTAGCTAATAAAGAAAGCACATAAGCTCCAAACTGACAAGAATCAAATGTAACTTTACAGTGTTGACAAAGCAAACATGTAGCCTACTTCTACAGTGAATCACAACAGCACAAACAAGCAGCTGACCTGTCGAGTGTCGAATAATACGTGCAGGCCGGTTTGCAGAGGGGTTTTCTTTGAGACGGAGAGAATGTACGTAAGAGGGGTTTAAAGAGGGAGGACTTCGAAATGGCACACCACTAGTTGGGTGGGTGGGGGTTGTTTGCGTCTGAAAAAGATCACGCCCATGTCCGGGTATGATATCAATGATTTTTTTTAGGTTTGCTGGGACCAGGTTCCGTGTCTGTCTGTCAATTGTTACTTCATGGCTTCCCTGCTGACTCCGTCTGAGAGATTTCAGTGTGCGTCTCCATGCCAGTGTGATGGTTGTATCTCCTTGCATGAGTACGAGTGTGAGCATTTCTTGATTCTATTTTAGAAAGCCACCTGTTAATGATATTAAAAAGCATGGCACTCAGCCCACTGAAGAGTTGAGGTTACAGCATGTATGTCTATGGGTGTTTGTGAGGGTAATTCTGGGAAAATGAGGCCTTGAATCCTGAAGCAGTGTCAGTATTTCAGGCTTTTAAGTTTACTTTTGGTTAAGACTGTGGAAGAGTTACTACTTTTACTACAGTTTCTATACAACAAAATATTAAAGTAATTTTATTATTATTTTATTATTTATTTTAATTATTTAGACTTTATTTGTTATGGAATTTATTTGTATTGTTATTGACTTGTTCGTTTACTATGTTTTCTATTTGATATATATGTTTATTTTATTACTTCACTAAAATACGTTTTTTATAAAGACTTTATTTTAGGAATAATTTAGAGGAATTAATTGTATCATTAAATGTGGGTGTTGCAATTCCAGTCAGACCTTCAAGTTTGCTAAAAAAAATAACTATTTATATTAATATATTTAATTGTATTTAATTGTATTTCTATTTTAATTAAATTAAATTAAATTATTTTGCTAAAGCCATAATTAAATTTAATGTAATGTATATAATCTAAAATTGGGTGTTATATTGGATGTAATATCATTACATTTGGGCGTTATAAAATTGGAGTCAGACCTTCAAGTTTGCTAAAACAATGATTACATACAGTACAGTAACTATTTGGCTAATATTCAATAGCCCATAAGTAATTTTATTTGATGAAAGATTACAAAGAAACTAATAAACTATTTATAATAAGACCATGAACACATATTAAAAAAGTGTCAATTTCACCAAATGGTAATGGAGAACAGGGCAACAGATTTGCTTACCAAGAACGCAAACAGAAACGTCCTTGATTTCACAATGCAAGATTTCACTGACAACTAGCTAAGTGGTTAAGGTTGCTATTTACAGATGCTATTTAAATGTGAGTTATGTGTATTAGCCAAATTTAAAGTCCCCCTTTGATGTCATGGGGGCATGTCAAGTGAATTATGACCGTTGACGTGCACCTACTGTACTGTGTCCTATAGGTGAAATATTTATATGAGAATTTTACGAAGCGTTCTTCAAGTGAAAGTAAAATGTGTATTTGTCTTTTTTACTATGTCTAGAACTATTCTGGTTAATTTTATGTATTCCCAGGCAGTTAAGTCATGGGGTTATGAGACAGTGATGTCATTTTAATCAGGCAACAACACACACTGTGGGTAATTCAGTTGTCACGCATATTATGTACTATTCTGTACACTAGAGTCCAACCATTTACAGATGATATTTAAGTTAAATAAAAAGACAATACAATTTCCCTCAATTTACTTACTATTATTTTGGCTCTCAAATAGCTCATACCAAACATGTTAAACTCTGGACGTCCCATGTTTATGCAGAGAAGACTATCAGTATAAAAAGTCATAATTTTCACTGTTTTGAAAATGTTTTGCCCAATTTAAATCTGAATTAGATAAAATATTTCTTTTTTATATATATTTTTACATATATTTTATATTATTGTTTATATATATATATATATATCAGCATGTCATATGAATAATGTTTCATGGGCTTTTTTTTTTTTCAAACGTCAAAAAATAGCGTAGCACACGTTTACAAGCCAGCTCTTTATAGTAACGTTAGCCTATTGGCTGCGGTTTTACATGATGGATATGCTAATTCAATTCAATGTTTGTGTGGTAGATAATAGCCATATCGTCAATATTATAATATCAAGCTACCATAGATGAACCTGCAAATTTGAAAAATCGATTTGCATTATAGCCTGAGGTAAGACACTTTCACCAGAAAAAATAAGTAACAAACATGACTATCAGCCTGCAGACATAGGATAGTTATCCTGACCGATTATTTTGTCCGTCTAATAATGTATTATTTACTTGCAAGAATGTAGCCCCTACCAAACTCAGTAATCAGTATACTACCACGTCTTGAGCTGGCGCGACGACCCAGCTCTACAGGGATGCTTGAGTGTGTTAAGCGCCCTCAAAAGAAAGCAATGCAGTCTACACTGGATGCAGCGAGGGGCGAAGCTACACAACACATTGCCAACAGTAAACTGATTGCCCGCGCGCTCTGTTTCTGATGCACTTCACATTTAGGCGGGGGAAGATTGATGCACCAGACCGGAGTCGGGGAACTTGGTTACGTTTTTGTGGAGTAGTATTACAAATTAATGTTTTAAAATTGTACTAGTACAAAAATATGTATGTGGACCAATATTGATCCTCGTCCAGCCTTTTATTTTGCCATTCTCCGTTTTTCTCTTTCTACTGTCCTCTGACAAACCTTTGGCTTCTTGGTTTTACTGCTTCAGCCATGAGGTAAAAAAAAAAAAACGCTCGTTGGGTGCTCACGTCGGAATTTGAGGAAGTGGGGGAAGTGATGTATGCCGTAAAGCAGGTGAATTTTGTAGTTCTTTTTGTGCCCGGGTTCCTACCCGCTCCAGAAGTTACATAGTGCCAGTAAAAGCGAAACAGACACTCTCAGGCTGTGGCAGACCTGACATATAACCTATTGTAAGTAGATGTACCATCTCAAGTGTTTTGGAAAAATATTATAAAGGTTAAAAAAGTTGCATAGTGCTGCTTTAAGTTCGGATCTAAGCTCAAAAAGGGGGGTGACAGTTAGTAAAACGACAGCCTCGCAGTCACCGTTCACGTAAATGGTAAATGGTAAATGGACTGCATTTATATAGCGCCTTCATAGACCTAATGGCCACCAAAGCGCTTTACATTTGCCTCACATTCACCCATTCATACACTCATTCACACACCGACGGCGGTGTCAGCCATGCAAGGCGCCAGCCAGCTCGTCGGGAGCAGCTGGGGTTAGGTGTCTTGCTCATGGAAACCTCGACACTTGGTCAGGTGGAACCGAGGATTGAACCACCAACCTTTCGGTTCGTGGACAACCCACATGAACCACTGAGCCACTGCCGCCCCTACGTGCATCATTGCTTCTTTTTTTCAATGCTATTTACAGTATACAGGTGACTAACATCATCTGTTTTGAGAAAAATAACAAATAGGTTTGTGTTGATGTAAAGGTGACAGGTGAACTATTCTTTTAAATACGTGCCTTTGAGAAGATTGCAACTTCAACATGCTTGCAGTCCAATCTTTATTCAGTGCTTTCAATGGATCTATGATGTACTGACATGGGTGGTCCTCATTTGTATTATGTAGCCTTATCAGAACGACAAGAACAGAGAGGCAGCGAAAAAGAGACAGTGTGCTGCAGTCTTATGTGCTCAGCATGGCGATGGCTCTGGTTTGTGCACTCACTAACCTCTACTTTACCAACACTGACCTTTAGGTGGCGCCAGCAAGCAGAGGTGTCTCAACACGTCTCCAGAAATCCAATCAGCCTATTAAACATAGATATAATAGAAAAAAATGCCTATTTTTATATTAGCTGTCATGCCAAAAAATGCCTATTTTTATAATCCTTTATAACAGCGGTCTCAAATGACGTGTGCCACTAGGTTGACCGTTTCCACAGGGACAAATATACAGGAAGTGATTTTAAGAGCTTAAATTTGAAGTACTGTTCAAAAGTCAGTGAAAGTATTTTTTTTGTATATACTTTTATTCAGCAAGGATGCCTTAAAATCTATTTTGAAGTAGGCTAAACTATATATATATATATATATATATATATATATATATTTCTACACTGTAAAAATATTTTCAAGATTTGTTATCATAACATATTTTCTTTTGTCAAATCAACTTCATAATAATTTATTTAGTTGAGATAACTTATTATTTTGAGTTTCTGATGGTTAAATTAATCTACTTCATTGTATTAACTCACTTTTTCCAGTTCAATCAACTTAAAATTTTAAAGCAACCCAGGTTACTTACTTTTTTAAGTTAAACCAACAATATTTTTTTACAGTGTGTATATATATATATATATATATATATATATATATATATATATATATTTCTATTTCTTTTCAAAGTATCCCAAAATTTCCACACACATACACAAAAACGTTAAGCAGCACAAATTGACATATTAAAATTATTTCTGAGGATCATGTGACTTTGAAGACTAGAGTAATGATGCTGAAAATTCAACTTTGACATTACAGGCGTTATAGCAGACTCAAGAGATGGATATGGAAGTTAACAGGAGTTTATTGACAACACAGAGTGGGAACAGAATACATGTACGTGATATGAACAATGATAATTTGTCCAGACACTGGAGACACAGAAGAGACGAATATTTTATATAACATTCCGGTTTTGAACAAGTTATTGGCTGCATGTAAACATAGTCACTGTTTTAGAAGACAGACCCTCTCACGTTTGATGGAAATATTGTCGAAAATTGGCAAAATTTCGGTGCGTCTCACAGGTGTCCCTCATTACACACCACAGGCCTCCCGTCACTCAGCCTCGTCCTGCTCGCCACAGTGCAGTTTCAAATATTGTTTCATAATTGCGCACATTTAATGCAATTCCACTTTCAATTTCATTGTGAAAGCAAAAAGAACTGGATTCTTTTTCACTCAATTCATAAATTTGCCATTGATTGTGGACAGTGAGCAAAAAGGTTAATAACCTACCCTGCCTGCACATAATGCCCCACTGCCTCCACATGTGCCATCCAAGAGTGTCCGTGTGAGTATTAGGCTTTGTCCTGACGCATAGGAGAGAAAGAGATAAAGAGATTACTGCCTAGCTTCATACAATGAAAAACTCTGTTGTCTGATTTGCTGCATGTCTAGTCATTCTCCTTCATGTCATTCTCTCTATAATCTTCGCGAGTAGAGCGAGTGATTATAGGTACTGTAAGAGTCAATCGGGGAGTCACCATAGCTCTTACTAAACAAAGGAGAGTGACCTACGGAGTGATCAGTACAGGAGCTGTTAATTAAGTATCAATTACATCTGAAAGTGGATGATTACACAACATCAGCAACCGAAGCCATTCACCTGATCCCGAACCTTCAACAGGCAGCAGTTCGATCCGAAATCTCAAACGTAATTGGATAATTTGCTGAAGAAACGATACCAAAAATTATACGGAGAAACACTAATGAATCGCTCTCACTAATAGCAACATTTCACCATACGCTAAAGCCAGGTTAAAATATTCGGTAACACTTTAGAATACGGTTCCTTTGTTAATGAATAACTGCACAAGAACTAATGAGTAACACAATATTAACAATCTAGTAACTATTATTAACTAACAAGAAACTCTGATTAACGAACTAGTAAGTAATAGCGCACAGACGAAAGTGGTAGTTCACTATTAAGTAATCAATAACTACTATTTTTTTTAATACTTCCCAGAGAACTACTGAAAAAGTTTATTAACAATCTAGTAACTACTATTAACTAAAATAAATTCTTATTAACGAATTAGTAAGTAATAGCTCACAGATGAAAGTGTTACTAGATACTTCTGTGGGAATTACTAATTATTTGGATCCGTATTATAAAGTGAAGATTATTGGAACTAACTTGTAATTACTCAAGTGTTACTACATGATCTAGTCATGATTTGTGCAACCGTTTGAGATTTTTGGTAACTTTAGTATACTTTTAGAAAATGTCTAAATGTCTTTAGTAACACTTGAGTCAACACAGCCAACATTCAGTTATTGCTGTCATCGCCATTGATACCCCTTTCAACGTTTTATTTCCCAGGGTGCATTTTCCAAAGCTGCACGCTATTCCCAATCTAATAGAAGGTTCTTTATTTTAACTCCAGAGTGCCTGTGAGGAGGATGTTGGCAGACCACTTTCACTAGACACATGGGACTCTGGTGTCTAGCAACTTCACTCTTCATCAGTGTGTGCAAGGTACTCGCTCATCCAATTTAAAGTAGTGACCAAGCCCATATCCAAAGTTAAGATGCGCTATGTGTAAATGTGCAGATGCCTCACTTGGACAGGCGCCAATCTGGAGCATTATTAGCGATCTGTAGGCTATTTGAGACGGTCTCAGCAGTCTTTGAGGCAGATTAGAACCAGCAGATCCTCTGGTGGTGTTGTTTAGGGGTTGTGGCATGTTTTTTGCATTGTCTATTTTTGCTTAAATTAATTTCTTAAATTAACTTTGATGATTAAAATTTGGAACGATTTAGCTACAGTATACTTTTCTACACTGTGTCTCTGTCTTGCTGTTCAATGCTGAATATACAGTATCTCTTTCTTTCACTTTTTAGACCAACTGGCATCGGATGTGTGTACTGTATGTGTGACTAGCTTTAGGACTGATGCTCATTATGTCATGGATGGTTGCCAGCGTCCATTTTCACATTGAAATTTCATCATTACAAATGACATACAGTGAAAAAACAAATGTGAAATTAAGAACAATGAGGGTTTTTTCACTTCCTAAAAGAAACCAAGATTGGTTTCTATTTACGTCTGCTGAAGTTAGCAGCTCTATGGGTGTGCAAGTAAGTTTGTTCACGGGTCACCTGAGAAGAATCTATTACCAGGATGTCATAACCAGGCTGTGTAGGGTCAGCTGTGACTAAGTCTAAGTTTGGCACCTTGGCCAACACAATTAGTTTGAAGCAAGGTGGAGATTTGGATTGTGAAACATACTTAGGTACAATTATGGGGCAGCATGAGATCAGTCAGTGATTTGGATTTTCCCTATATACATATGTATTACTGCATTTTGTAACCACGGCAAAGGTTTAAACTTAATGCCACAGATGAGATATTACAAGTAAGGGATAATGTACATCCTGCCAGTAGTTATCTTTGAATAAACCCAGACATGGTGATCAGGTCTTGCATCAGCCTGAAGGGGTTTATTCTGAAATAACAACCAGCTTGATGTACAGTACATCATATCATCCTGCTTATTACATGGCTACTTGCCACATAAATAAATAATTAGACACAAAATATTGAATCGAAATTTTATTAGAGAGCAGTTGCTAGCAAGCGGCAAGTTCAAACTAGGCGGACATTTAAGGGCTATGATACAATCATACCACTTTTTACACAGCATTTTGCCACATAAATAATTATGGGGGTAAGAGATATTGATTTGAGATTAAACTGGCAACTGCATTTGAATGAAACGAGAGAGCGAGTATTGGATGACATAATTGGGTAAATAACTGTACACAAAATATTGATTTCGACTGAGTTTTAAAGGTCCCATGACATGGGGTTATTGTATTATTTTATAATGTTTCCTGGGTTGCCGTTATAATGCCCTTATAATTGAACGCTCTGTTTGAAGAGCCCGTTCTCATCCTTTGGCGTCATATAGGTGACGCCATATGCCATTTCGTTAAAATACAATGCACATGGCACCCTTTAGCATCAATATAACGCGCAAAACCCAAGGCGTCATATAGGTGACTGGCATCCTTTAGCGTCAATATGAGACGCAGAACCTACCTAAACCAACCCATAACAGTGCGTGTTATATTGGATAATGGCCATGTGCGTAGTATTTCGACGAAATGTCATATGGCGTCACCTTTATGATGCCAAAGGATGAGAATGTGTTGGTTTGAAGGGGCGTGTCTGCTTTGTGATTCAGTGTAACCAGCCACTGTTGTGATTGGCTGACATGCTTGCATATGAAATAGCTACGTATTACATGTGAATCTCTTTCGAATACTTTCACTACAGCTATTATACGTTTTTCCGCAGCTATCGAGATTAACGAATCGATCATTTGTTTCGATCTTTACTTTACAGTTTTCGTTTTATTCGATCATCATTTACCATTGAGCAAGCAGAGGTCAGTCTGTTGGTGTCGAGAATGAAGATTGTATCATTGCAACGCAGTTTCTGCACTCTCTCTAATGCTTTCACCAATGCAAAAACAATAATGTAGCCTACATACAGTAAGAGCTTTGTTGTGCAGTGTAATGTGCATCATTGATTTCATAACGAGTTGTCCAAATAAACTCGCGCTGTGTGAAATTGGTTCTTGGTAGCTCGATGGATTTCTTTTCAGGCGTTCACCGAGGCCAGCTCTGTTTTGGCCCAAGTTGAGGAAATGTTTGGACCATGCAAAACTATGGGAAGTTGTGTAAATAAAATAAACCTATTGTTTCTTCGGATGAAGGAACTAAAAATACTTTTGTGTTCATTTTTACATCCAAAATCCAAGCCGTGATATCTCTCGAGGAAAAACTTAAATGGCACTCACGCGTTCATAGAGTTGCCTTGCCCACTAACTTTTTTTATTACACATCAATATATTATGTTAAAATTCAACTAAACCACATTTTGAAGGGTCTGTCATTGAATTAGATAAGAATATAGCACTTCCAACTTTATTAACTTGTGTAGAAGAATAATTGTGTACCTTTAACCTAACCTAAACTTCATGTCATTTAATAGCTCACCAAATGCAAAACTTCCACAAATAAAGCAAACGTACAGTGCTACTGTACGTTTGCTTTATTTGTGGAAGTTTTGCATTTTTACACCAGTAAACTTCAGTGAGGCTGTGTTATCTGTTTTCAGCAGTTGTTATCGGGAGAAACGCTGTATGTAGTGATTGACCAATCAGAATCAAGTATTCCACAGAGACGTGCTATATATATATATATATATATATATTAAAACTATTTAAAGTCATGTTGTTTAATTGAAATAAAGTTATTTAAATATATACATATTAGAAGAAAGGAAGCCTTAAACGTAAACAAAAATTACAGATATTTCCCTGGCAATTATAGTATAGCCTACTAAAATTACACAAAAAAAATCAATAAAATTAATTTAAAGATGAGATATAATCAAGATTAGATATTACAACAACAACAAAAATAGTTTAAAGCACTGTAGCAGTGTAAAAAACAACTAAAAGTGTATTAAAATATTTGTGTTAATAAATAAATCTAAAATAAAATAAACCTATTTGGAAGGGAACATTGAAACAGAGACATGTTGCCTTTGGAACTAATTGAAATAAAAAAAATAATATGAAGTTGAAGCACTAAAATTATAAATAATTTAAATAGAAAAAAAATTTAAAAAGCACAAGATTAAACATAAAATGAATGAATATAGATGTAAAGCTATAAATACTAAAACTAAACTGCATTTTTGATATGGTATTAAATCATTTAATTTCTGATTAACTTTAAATTGCCTTTAATTCCCAGTCTTGTCACACAACAGATCAGTGTTTAGGAATAGGTAATTAGGCAAGTGTGTTTGTTGCTGTTTAGTATTTTACAAGAAAATACAATCAAAAGAACCATTAAACTTGTGGGACCATTGGCCCCTTTGTACCCTATAATTACCCTGAGTTTATGACTGTTGAATAACTGGTTTTCGCCTTCTATAACCATATGCTCTCGATCTCTCAACCACAAGGAGAATTAGTGTGCTGCTTTTTAAAGCTTCTCTAGTTTAAGCATGTAATCTATCACATGGGTCATTATTCAGATTCGTATCTATATCTGTGACACTAAAACAAAAGTTTTACCCAAACACAATGTTAATATAAACATCACAGTGCAAGGCTAAGACAATTTAGGGTATTAATCTCAAAACAAGAGTGAAAATCCTTGATAAATCCTTGAAAAATCCACCAGAAATCTTTGTTTAACAACACACATCAAAGCCGCGAAATTAAAAGAGGAGTGATAGAAAACGAGAGGGAGGGATGGATGGGGAGGGAGTGGAGAGAGTTAAAATTATCTTCCCTAAAGCAAATCCCTCTCAATCTGATCAGTGTGTTCGGAATAGTCTAACTTGCCTCAACTCTGTGACTGACTGCAGGTGAGGGAGCTTTTCTTTTCTTTCTCCAAAATAAATAAATAAAAACATAAAACTCATATTTATGGCAACTATCTGATGGAGGTGATTCAAAATGACATCAGCAGGTATGGTCCCAATTCTTTATCAGTCAGTGTCGTTTAGAGACTGTGATATAATTGAGACGTTTAATTGAAGGATTGGACTGCAGATATTTTACTTAGCAGATGTAGTGAGTAAAACATTTGTTAATCAAGAATAGCCATATTCGTTTTCGCTCTTGAAAACATATATATCGTCCTTTATGTTTTTTTTTTTTCTTAGAGAAAAGTTTCATGAGGTTTTGGACGTTGTGAAATATTTAGATGTTGATTATATTGGCCAAAAATAGTTTGGAAATGTCTTCTAGTAGAAGAATGTATATTTGTTATGTCATATGTCATGCCTATCAAATACACAGTGTTTATTCATATTTGAATTCTTAATAATAATTGAATGAATTGTCTTTTACAGGACTTTTCAGTATTTTTCAGTAGTGATGGTATGATTATGTGTTTTCCTCACTGAGCTGTTTGAGGCTTGCAATTACATCATAGTTCGGTTTAGTCTTTTCACACTCAATTTTCTCACTCGATATACACACAACTGCCATTTGCCTTATGTAGCCTGAATATGTAAGGATTTTTTGTGAATATAAAACCATTGTAGTTACTGGATGTGTTAGACTTATCAACAAAGGACACTGTCCCTCAGTAAGTAAGTACTTTGACCTGATACATTAGGTGAACAAATCTCAACATGTCTGTCTTCTTAAGGACACCATGTCACAAACTCTGAGCAATGCCCTATGATTTTATTTTACACTACTGTTCATGTTAAAGTGTAATTAGACGAGAGTAATGCTTACAAGCAGAGTAATATGGTTACATGGATGCTCCATGGAAGGTGTTAAGAAAGGTTTCTTAGACTCGAGGGAGTTTGGAGTTGTCTCGCATTTGATATAACCAGAATAGCAGTCTTTTATGCCCCTAGTAAACAGCCAGGCTGTCTTGTAGAATAGTATGGTTGATTTGACCTGTGCTTCAGATAATATTCACCTTTTCTGAACTTTGTCGAAGCTAACCTGAAGCCAAATAACCATTACAGTCTTGCAGATGTCAACTCTTTTTGCTCTCTCTAATGTTTCTTGTTTTAAAACATCCATTTCGTCATTTATTTTCATTTTTTAAAACTAATGGCTTGCTGTGGCTAGATGCCATTTCTGTTTCTTGCTATTTTGTATTAGTTTTTGGGGTTACACTTTATTTCGATAGTCACTTTAGACGTTCTACTAATTATAAGTAACTTTTCAACTACATGTCAAGTAACTCTCTTTAGAGTATTAGTATATTATATTATATATTATTATTATATATGTTAGGTTATGGTTAGGTGTTAGGCTTTGGGTTAGGAGAAGAAGTTTACTTGTAGTCGCCAAGTTACTTATAGTCAGTTGAATGCCTGTTGGGGGACCAACAACATAAAGTGTTAGCAGATATTAAGCAGACAGTCTACTAATACTCTAATGACAGTTAGTTGACATGTAGTTGACAAGTTACTTGTAGTTAGTAGAATGTCCAAAGTGGACTATCGAAATAAAGTGTTTCCGTTTTTGGTCCAAAGTAACTTAATTGCAGAAACGAAAGTTTCCAGAGCGAAGTACAGTAAAATCGTTACTCTTGATGATTCACCTTTCTTTGGAATTTGAACTTGTGTTGGTGCACTTTTACCATTAATCAGTCCGGAACCTTAACCTTTAGCCTATCTCCAAATGCTTACATGCACTCAATGTCCATTTCTGTGAAGATTAAAAAAAAAAACTATAACAAACTATGTCCTAAAAGATTTGTGAATTCATTTAAAAAGGTGAAAAGACTGCAATGACGCTTTGGTTGGGGTTTGTTGAAAGATTGCATTTCAATGAAGAAGAAGCTGATCATGTATACAAGTGCGTCCATGACATCTGTTTGTGACATGATACTGACAGATTTAAGGAGCTTAGCAGCAGTTTACTTCCCTTCATCTAATTACAGTCTTAATTAGCCAACATAGTATGAATGATTCAACAGATTCATTTAAGTATCCATACAATTAGGTTGAGATACAGCAGGACGGGTGATCGAGCGATTCCTGAGACAAAGTAAATGTATCTGCTTGGTGATGGCTCATGTTAAGGTTCTGTCAGTAGTTTCCTTCTTAAAATAGGCCTACATGTAATAATTCCAAGTGACTGAATGTGTAAGTGCATGTAAAAAAAACAATTCACAAATACAAAGAAAGTTTGATGCCTTACAAAAATAGGAATTTTCTCTTCCTTATATCATCACTGCCTCCATTATCAAAGCAGCACACATTTCACTAAAATTTACTGATTAAATCTATTTTGAATTTTGAATTTTTTATTTTTTGAATATATGTCTGAAAAAAGTTCACTTGCATTTAATCCGTACCGTTTTTTCTTTTAAAGTTGGTGCATGTTCAGATGGGCATCTTTGTCTGTAGCAACAGTGTTTCTGCATTTTGCCCCATAAACTTTGAGTTAAGAGACTGTGAAAAATTCGGTGTGAAAAGCCCCTAAGAAACACGCCTGGTGGAGGTCTGGTGGGCCGTAATTAAACAGTTGACTAGTCTGTAAATCCTAAGCTGACAGGCAAAGTGTCCTTTGCAGTCTCCTTGATCTCTCACATTCTCACTCACTCTGTCTCAGTCACACAAGGATGCCATGAGACTGCTGGCCACATGTAGGTAGAGTGCTTCTGAATTGGCTCACAAGCACTAGACTACAACCAAACCAATCCACCATGGCCTTTAATCCTTAGATCCTATTAGACAGTTAACCTTGGGGACGCAATGGTGAGAACCCCCTTCCTGTGTCTTAATAGATCCTTAGGCCGATTCTTTCAGATCTAAACCCTGGATTTTTAACCCTCTTCTGTCAAAAATGACAGACAATTTTTTTTTCAATGGGATGACACTTGGTTTGGTCGCATTATGTAAAACTCTTATGTAAAATCTTTTGGTGGTGTTTACTACAATCAGCCACTCTGCAAGAAAAAAGTGCACAGCAATAAAGGGGTAACACTCTAAATTGTCAAGAGTGCAAAATATACACATCCAAGAAAAGAACTCTTTTTTTTACTCTCATCAGATGGCACTAATCTACCTTTAAAATTTGGATTTGAAACATTTATTTTAACAATACTGTAAATAATAAATAATAATTATCAGATGCCGACAGAGTACACAGCTTTATTACTTGAGTAAAAGTACAGATATCCCTTGCTAAATTGTACTCGCTTGCTAAATAGTGCGACCTCACTCGTACGAATTAGTACGATTTTTGCTAAATCGTACATATTTTACGAATTGGCCAATTCGTACGAATGACTTACCCCTGACCCCACCCCTAAACATTACCATCACGTGGGTTTAGACCAATCGTACGAATTTGTACGAATGAGGTCGTTGGAATTAGTACGAATTAGCCACTTTTGAATCACTTGTACGAATTCGTACGAATTGATCGCGCGATAGCGTAGCACAGTCAGATGTCTACTTAAGTAAAAGTACCAAAGTACTTGTTTTTAAAAGTACTTCAGTATCAAGAGTACATTTTCTAAATATTGCATTACTACTGTCACAGTGCTCACATTTATGGACAGAAACGTCCTACATGGAGTTATGAAAAATGTTAATGTTAATACCTTGGAGAATGTAAAAGGAAGTCATTTTACCATGTTTCTTTATGTAACAAGAAAATGTCAGAAAATTTTTGAATTTTCGGTTTCATATCTTATCTAAATCTGACCATAAAGTTGACTTTGGTGGAAAGCTGAAGGTGATTGCTGATAGGCTGTCCCAATCATTGGCACCTGCATGATCCAATCACGTTTGAGAGGGAAACAACAAATTTTTCTTTTTTAGAAGTAGTAACATGTACTAGTTATGGATAGAAATGCAGTGAAGTAAAGAGAGCAATATTTCCCTCTCAAATGTACTTGAGCAAAGTCATGAGTACTCCCCAAAAATGATACTCGAGTAAAGTACAGATCCCTCAAAATTCTACTGTAATCAAGTACAGTAAATGTACTTCGTTACTGTCCGTTACTGTGTTATTTTCAATGGGGGAAAGGCTAATAAAATACAAATATTATGCATAAATATTGTATAGTATCGTACAATCCAGTCAAAATTCTAAATAGTAATCAAAAATATTATTGAACAAAAATGTATTACATTGGTTTTCCTAGAATAAAAAAGGGTAACATTTCAAGGCTTCTGTCACTTTTGTCCAAGTGTGACCCCTAATCGAAGAGGACCCGAGGGTTAAAAAAGTTGCCCCTCTACTCATATATTCATAATTACTCACATCTGTCCGTCCGTCCGAGTCGATTCTTTCTTTTAGGAGACAATAGCTCTATTTATCGTAAACTTTCGACTTTACAACTTTGCGGACAGCTTGCATCCACTGACAGCTATTACACACTGCATGAAAGGATATATTTTGAGAAAAAAAACTTAAAAGTTGTCTTTTAGACAATGTTTGTGAAGTTAACAGTGTACAGAGCCCCCCAAGTCCCACTTTGGCAAAAAAAAAATAAAAAAAAATGACAAGTTACGATCTTGAGACCACGAGTTATAATTACTTTTTTTGGCCAAAGTGGGACTAGGGGGGCTCCGTAACAGTGAGCTGTGTCTCTGTATTTGTTTTGTTTGACAGTGTGTGAAGTTGAACTTCATATTGCCTCTGCTATTCTTCCCATGCATCCTTCATTAGCTACCTCTGGCTGTGGGCTTTTTTAAATTGCTTGGCTGCTCACATGATTTTGAAAGCCATCGTTCATCATTTGCATCAAGTTCAAGTAACAGTAATCTGATTACAATAGCCAAGGGTTTTTAGCATTCACCTCAGGGCTGGTTCAACAAGACCATGGTGTTGACTGATCGACTCAATAATTAGAACTGAGAAATATGGGATCCCACTACTGGACATGCTCTTTGTTTTATTAGAATGATTGTAAAAATGATTGAAATGAGTGAAATCTGTCTTCTAATCTGCAGGGATGCACTATGGCCTAACAGAATCCGGAAATTAAAGGATTACTCATAACTGCCAAACACTGGAGATCTGGTGTGCCAAAGATTTCGTCAGCCCGCCCAGGGTGAAAGAGCGGTCAACAGGTCTTACTTCTGCTCTGCTTGGTTGACAAGTACATTTATAAACTGGAATGCCTGAGTTTGGTGGATTTACAACCGTTCACAGTGGAAATAAACAAAAAGAAACAATGCATTTTCTGGACATTTCTTGTGGATTTCTAAATCTACTGATTGGTCTCCCATGACCCCTTTTCGTGGTGCGCATCCCACTGCTGCGAAGGAGAAATCGATGATGACGAAAAACACAAATTATGCCATCATGTCGCTGCCTTTCTCAGAACACATATACTGGGGAGGGATTTTTAAAGGACTGTATCTGCCCTCTCGCTCCCTCTTTCTTCTTCTTCTCCTATTTTCATCGCCCTCAGTTGCGTTTAGTAGCGTGCCGGGTTTGGAATATGACTGGGGAACGCAACCCAAACTTGTTTGCATCCCTATCCCTGCCGATGCAGATCCTGGTTGTTTCACACCAGGTGGAGCTTTACATGGGGACTCGCATGGGGACTCGCATGGAGCTTCACATGGAGCTTCACATGGACACGGTAATGGACATCATGGGCCAGTTAGCAGCCCGCCAAGTAGTCACAGCAGTAGTAGTAGCCGACATGGCATATCCGATGAGGCCAAATCCACCATCCTTCATCTGAGGGAGAGCCTTGTGCGACAGAAGGAGACCATCTTGGATCAGCGAGAGACCATTCGGGAACTGACAGCAAAACTGACTCTCTGCGAGAGCTTTGGGAGAGGACATCATGATGACAGCCATCATGGGCCTTCACATCACAACTCCCAGCATTCCTCACACCCCTTTGACAGCCACCATGGTGACCCACATTTCCCTTTAAACGGGCATCGCAGTGACCATCACAGAGGGAAGACTCCGTATCTGGGCAAACACGGAGGCTTCTCCCCAGAACAGACTGGAAAGACCCTGCAGGCCCTGAAGGAGAGGCTGGAAAATCTTCAGGTGGGTGGATTTACTGAATTGTAAAGCCTGTAATTTGATTTAAGCACATTAGATGGGGTTAGTGAGTTTACAAAAAAAAAAAAAAATCATATATTTAAATAATTTTAAATAATACAAATAACTGTTTTTGTTTTAATACATTTAAAAATGTAGTTTATTCCTGTGATCAAAGCTGAATTTTCAGCATCATTACTCCAGTCTTCAAAATTAGAAATAATTTTAAGCTGATTTGGTGGTCAAAAAAAACAACAACATTTCTTATTATTATCATCATTGAAAACAGTTGTGCTTCTTAATTTTTTTTGGGATTCTTTTTTTTCCGGATTCTTTGATAAATAAGGTACATTCTATGGAAGCTTGTTTCTGCCATAGAATGAAAAATATAAAAGGTAATTGCGACTTTTTATCTCACAATTCTGAGTTTTTTTTTCTCACAATTGCGAGTTTACTTCTCACAATTCTGACATTATTTCTCACAATTGCGAGATGGAAAGTCAGAATTGCGAGATATAAAGTCAGAATTGCGAGATATAAAGTCAGAATTGCGTGATATAAAGTTGGAATTGCAAGATATAAATTCAGAATTGCAAGATATAAAGTCAGAATTGCGTGATATAAAGTCGCAATTGCGAGATATAAAGTCAGAATTGCGAGTCATAAAGTCAGAATTGCGAGTCATAAAGTCAGAATTGCGAGTTATAAAGTCAGAATTGTGAGATATAAAGTCGCAATTGCGCGTTATAAAGTCAGAAATGCATGATATAAAGTCAGAATTGTGAGATTTAAACTATTCTGAAGGGAAAAAAGTGTTTTCCCCCCTTAGAATTGGCCTGATAACTCGCAATTTCGAGTTTATGTCTCTAAATTCTGAGAAAAGATGTCAGAATTTCGACATATAAACTCGCAATTATGTGTTATAAAGTCAGAATTGCGACTTTACATCACGCAATTCTGACTTTATATCACGCAATTCTGACTTTATATCTCGTAAATCTGACTTTATATCTCACAATTCTGACTTTATCACGCAATTCTGACTTTATAACTCGCAATTCTGACTTTATATCTCGCAATTCTGAGTTTACAACTCACAATTCCAACTTCACGCAATTCTGACTTTATATCTCGCAATTCTGACTTTATATCACGCAATTCTGACTTTATAACTCGCAATTCTGACTTTATATCTCGCAATTCTGAGTTTACAACTCACAATTCCAACTTCACGCAATTCTGACTTTATATCTCGCAATTCTGACTTTATATAACGCAATTCTGACTTTATAACTCGCAATTCTGACTTTATATCTCGCAATTCTGACTTTATATCTTGCAATTCTGACTTTATATCACGCAATTCTGACTTTATATCTCGCAATTCTGACTTTATAACTCGCAATTCTGACTTTATATCTCGCAATTCTGAGTTTACAACTCACAATTCCAACTTCACGCAATTCTGACTTTATATCTCGCAATTCTGACTTTATATCACGCAATTCTGACTTTATAACTCGCAATTCTGACTTTATATCTCGCAATTCTGAGTTTACAACTCACAATTCCAACTTCACGCAATTCTGACTTTATATCTCGCAATTCTGACTTTATATAACGCAATTCTGACTTTATAACTCGCAATTCTGACTTTATATCTCGCAATTCTGACTTTATATCTTGCAATTCTGACTTTATATCACGCAATTCTGACTTTATATCTCGCAATTCTGACTTTATTTCTCGCAATTCTGACTTTATATCTCACAATTCTGAGTTTACAACTCACAATTCCAACTTCACGCAATTCTGACTTTATATCTCGCAATTCTGACTATATCACGAAATTCTGACTATATCTCGCAATTCTGATTTTATAACTCGCAATTGCGACTTTATATCACGCAATTCTGACTTTTTATCTCACAATTCTGAGAAATAAAGTCATAATTGCGAGATATAAACTCGCAATTGTGAGAAAAAATTGTGAAATAAAAAGTCACAATTATTTATTATATTTTTATATTCAGTGGCGGAAACAAGCTTCCATAACATCCAGCCGGTTGTTATCGAAGAATAAGCCCCGACAGGGAGATCAGGACTTTTTTGTTTTTTTGTAACGTCTTGAAATCGTACCTGTTTATCATCTTATTATCCAATACAGTGTGCAAAACAATAAGCACAGCAACAATATTACTTTTTTAATACTGAAGTCCTCCGATTTACTTTTCAATATTCTACTATCACAAAATGATTGTATGAAACAGTCCGTGGCATGAGAAGAGAGACACGAAAGACTCGTCAGGCCTTAGATACGGATACCCGGGTGAGCTCTATGTTATTCCGTTTTGCTCTTGAAAACAGTTGTTATCGGGATTAACAGTTCTCGGAATCAAGCAGTCCAGCCGTGTAATAAATAGATTTAGCAATAGCATCACATCACAAAATTTCACATCACTTTAGAGCATTTTAATGCATCATCTCCAAATAAAAGTTTTAATTTCTTAAAAAAAAAATGAATATTAATAACACTGACCCTAAATCTTTTAACGATATAGTGTGGAGTGCATATATATATACAGTATATATATATATATATATATATATAATTTTATTTTTTTTTATTTTTTTTTTCCTCTTCTGTGAAAGTCATGGAAACTTTCTATTTACTATTACTTTCTAAAATTTCCTGATATTTTTCAACTGCTTGGATTTTTGTTTGCTGGAGTTATGCATGTCAAAACTTCTCAGGATGACATATGCTCATTTATAGGTCTGTAAAGTACACTTTGGTGGCTTCCTGTGCCAACAACAGATCATTGAAAACAGTCTTCCGTGTACACAGCCCAGCCAGGATTTACTTATTAAATTAGCCAGATCCCTACCCTTGAGAGAACACACAAGATGGAAAAACAAACTAGCTACAGTACAGAAACGCATCACAAGTATGGTTGCAATGCACTTAGAACTGTAAACAAGTCACCAAGTGACACTTTTATTGAATATAGTATTCAGTTAAACTAATGATATGCAATTAAACTCTCCCTATTTAATTGTTCTGTATAATCATTGCTGACAAGTTTTAGACATTTCGTCCAAGTTTTAACTTAACTCAGTTCTTTAGAACTCAGACACCTTCCTTTTATTTCCCAAAGTGACTTAGATATCACTCCAAGCTTTATTGGAGAGGAAGTGCACACACAGCACGCTGGTGATGGCACTCTACAATGTGCTAGTTACTGCCATCAGCAATTAACCCCATCTGCTTTGATGAGCCATTAAGCGCAGAATGCTGTGGCGCTGAGTAAAGCTGGATTTGCCACGACTTATCAAAGGAAAGAAGCTGACGGTGAAGGAAGGGCTGGCTTGTGATGTCATAACACTCATCTGTATTAATACTCTACCGGTCAAAAGTTTAGGGTCGGTAAGATGCTTTTTTTTTAAAAAGCAGTCGCTTATGTCACTAAGGCTGCGTTTATTTAAAACAACTGTTTTCCATTTTAATGCATTTCTAATTGTAATGTGTTTCTGTAATGGCAAAGCTGAATTTTTGAATTACTCCAGTCTTCAGTGTCACACGATCCTTCAGAAATCATTCTAAAATGCTAATTTGGTGCCAATGAAACATTTCTTGTGCTACTTAATACTTTTTTAGAACCCGTTTTAGGGTTCATGAACTGAGTTCAAAAGAAAGAAATATATTTTTTTTCTAACAATGTAAATTTCTTTAGTGTCGCTTTTTTAATCAATTTAATGCGTCATTGCTAAATAAAATAATTAATGTATTTAAAATAAAATCTTACTGACCCCAGATCTGTCAATGGTTGTGTGTATATTGAATGCGAATGATTAAAAAGTTAATTTTTTTCCACAATATACGTCTGTTGTTGAAAAAAACATGGTGTGCTATGTAGTATTTGGTTGAATTTTCATCTATAATTTTAGCCTTTGATTTATAAAATGAAACAGTTTAAAATATATGTAGATTTTTAATTATTATATTATATTATATTAGCCTATATTATATTATATTATATTATATTATATTATATTATATTATATTATATTATATTATATTATATTATATTATATTATATTATATTATATTTGCATGAGATTGTGAGTCAGTGTTGTGCGGTTACCCTATTTTCAAGAAACTGTACATTACAGCATTATATATTATTATCCTTGAATTGTAAACATTGTATTTACAATCTTTGCAAAACCGTGTACTGTTGTTTATTGTTTTCATTTTTGTTCTTATAGGCAAGAAATTCTTCCAGTTCCTATTCAAGTTCATTGAGAGACCTCCTACAGCGCAAAATCAACGCACTGGAAGAACAGCTCCATCATCACTATGACAGTCACTACGGCCACCATGAAAACCATCATGGATATGGTCATCATGAGGATCATCATGACCTTGATGACCACCATAATACCCACAGCAATAACCACCATGATGACCATCACGATGACCATCACGATAACCACGATGACCATCACGATAACCACGACAACCACCAGGCGAACCATCACGATGACCATCACTCCAGCAACCATCGTAACAACAACCATTATAATTATCACTATGAGCGTCACAGCGACCACCATGATGATCACCATGACAATCATCAAAACGGCCATGATGATCATCATGACAACCACCATAACAGCAACCACCATGAAGATCGTCATGATGACGGCCATCATGGCAATGGTCACCATGATGATGGACGCCATGGAAATGATGATAATGTCCACCATCCACAAACCTCTTTCAAGCCACCTGGGCCAAGAGCGCCTGTCCGTGGAGCCCTCAGTAAGCTAGATGCAGTGCTGAGTAACCTTCACCACAAGACTCCAGAACCAGGTGATGTGTCATTAAAAAGTAGAGTATAGGAAGAGAAGTGTTTGTGCAGAATCTTAGATTTTTATTTAACCATTCAAACTTAATGTCCATTCTTTGATGTATTGTAATGTTTTTGTAATTTTGTCCTAACCAAATATATATTGAAAAAAATGTGAGGGGAATACAGTATATGCATATCTATATATGTATACACACTACCAGTCAAAAGTTTGGAATAATTCATATTTTTTAATCGAAGAATCTTATGCTTACAAAGGCTGCGTATATTTGATCAAAAACACAGTTGAAACCGTAATATTGTGAAGTATTATTACAATTTAAAAGAACTGTATAAAAGAACTGTACTTACGATATTTTAAATTTAATTTATTCCTTTGATGGCAAAGCAGAATTTTCAGCATCATTTCTGGCTTCGTATTATTAATTTGTATTAGAAATGTCAAAATAATTCTTCTCAAATCTGGATTCAGATTTATGCTTTGTAGGGCATGCATATACAACTTAATTTGTCATGCAGGCTACAGTTGTTCACTATGGTTATTACATTATTTTGTTATACTATAGCTATAATTATTAATAATTATTATACATAATTTTAATTTTACAGTAACTGTAAATGATTCAGCAGTGTTCTCATTAAGAGAATGTATTTAAAAGCAGTAAAGATAATGACTTAAATATTGGTTAAATAAATAATTACTATAGTATACTATAGTAAAATATATACAAATAACACTCAATATATAAATTGTCATGATAGAATTTGAGCTGACCTGTGGCTTTTTAATGGTTTCCAAGATATCCAAGAGTCTGCAGTGGAAGTTAGTCAACATAAAGGCATCATGAAATAATACACAAGCTTATTCAGAGAAATAATGCTGTCTGCTTATGGTTTTTAAAGACATTAAACTTTATTTCCAAGCATTTATACTCTTCATCCGGGTCTTGTATTGTAATATTTATTGTATATTCAAATCGATTTCTGCAAATAATCCCAGATATATGTTCATTCTTAATATTTTCTACTTAATTACGTACATAAAGAAATATAATTTTGTCTTAGTCACCTGTTTTAACAGTAAGCCGTAGACACCCATTATAATGATTTCTCTACAGTATAATGCTTATCCTGCCTTAAACTATTCATGTTCCACTTGAACATTTGCTGCAAAGCAAGTGATTTTAGCTCAAAGTTTTGGTTGAAAGTCAATGATGCCCTCTGTCGTTACAGAATAGCAAGATGGCCGCTCGAACACTTCTGGTGGCTTAACTGCCTGACAGCTGTTTAGAACGCAATGAGCAATCCCAACACTATCTCACGACCAATTCGTACGAATTTGACGCATGATTAAAAAGTGTCTAATTCGTACTAATTCGTAGAACCTCACTCGTACTAATTCGTACGATTTGTCTAAACCCACGTGATGGTTAGGTTTAGGGGCGGGGTAAGGGGTAGGTCATTCGTACGAATTCATACGAATCGGCCAATTCGTAACATATGTACGATTTAGCAAAATCGCATTAATTCGTACGAGTGAGGTCGTATGAATTGTTACGAATTAGCCACTTTTTAATCATTCGTCGAATTCGTACGACTTGGTCGTGAGATCGGGTTGGCAATCCAGTCATTATACAGATCAGTGCGTATGTATTTAACCCAGGTTCCCTTAGAAGGAAAAGAGATGCTGCGTCTGTTGTAGACGCTACGGAAACATGCATTGGTGTCTGAAGCACATGTTAAAACATGCCAATTTTATTGGGTGAGGCAGTCATGTGACATCACAGTCCGGTCTCATCCCAAGGCGCCATCTAACTGACGCTTTTGACAATGCGTCAACATCCGACGCCCATGGCACCCTTTAGCGTCAATATGAGACGCAGATATATATGGCCCAGAAGGCGCCTCCTAGTGGTCTAACCCTAACACTACCCCAGACCTAAACCTACCCATAACCGAAGCGTGTTATATTGACGCTAGAACGGTCGGATTTAGACGCATTGTCAAAAGCGGCAATTAGATGACGCCCTAGGATGAGAATGCGTTGGACATCTCTGACTATAAAAGGGTGCCTGCGTTAGACGTTATCAACTTAATTTTGTTTGAAGGAATACGTGCCGACAGTGTGACAAGTATGGAAAGGCGATACTGCATTTCATTTTCTTCTCAGGAAACCAAGATTACATGCGTAACTCAAGATAATCCTATTGATGGAACTTAATGCTGCCTCAGATGCTGACGCTAACATTAAAGCATTAAATAACGAGACCAAAGAGTGGGTCACCAGTGCGCTCAGACTAGCAGGATCCGAGGGAACACTCTTACTTCCAAACTGGAGGAGTTGACCTTCTCCGATACACTTTTCCCACTGATTCACAAGGGAAGCTTGTTTTCTCACTTCTACTGTACATCCAATTACATAAACTGTGTTTGGAGGACTATCTGTGAGGAGGGAGCCATACAGATAGTGGGTGACGCATATGATGACCTAGTCTTTCTTCAACACCTTAAAAGCACTTAACCCTAAGCTGATAGTTGTTCCTTCCTTCTTGTCTGTGATTGTGAAAGCTCCCAGAGCTCTCTTTCATTTCTCGGGAGAACTTGCTCGATTCCTTACCATAGGCTTGAGTTTATGGCTTTTTGGCTTGGTTAGTTGGGGACACTTAATATTGTGCAATATTATTGACTTAAATACACTGGCGCTGTTGGATGAGAGCTGAACTTCATTTCAACTGAATAAAGACAGTTTACTGTTGTCATTTTAGAGCTGCTTTATAGCATAATTGCATTCTGTTTTTCGTCATTAAAACATTATTTTCCTGTTTATCACTGTAAGGCTGCATTAAAACAACCTTAATTGAATATGTATACATTAACACAGTCTAATCCCAAGACGTCATATAACTGACGTCTTGGGACGTCTTTTGACCATACGTCAACATCCGCCTTTTTAGGGTACCCTTAAACGTTGGTTACATGGCGATCCCGGGCCGCCATACAACTGACGCTTTACCTTGACGGGGTAGATTTAGGGGTAGGTTTAGGTCTGGAGTAGTGTTAAGATCCGATAACGTCATCTAACCGACGTTTAAGGGTACCCTAAAAAGGCGGATGTTGACGTATGGTCAAAAGACGTCCCAAGACGTCAGTTATATGACGTCTTGGGATGAGACTGCACTGTATATGTACATGCTGGGGAGGATGGAGGTAAATAAAAGAGTCAGGATCTGCGAATTCAGGCATGTAAAAATATGTGAAAATCTTTTATACTACAAGTATTAGAACACGATTGGATAGATGAGAAGGTAATACGTGACATAACAATTGAGTCTTCCCAGCAGAACTTACGCTAAAGCTTTCATTTCAGACACAGATGCTGCTCTGTGGCAACATTAGCAGTCACAGATTGGCCAATGACGTGCCGTCTGCTTCGTGGCACGGAGGTCTCAATCCCTCAACATGATCCAGGTCCTTGAGAAGGTCAGCCTGGTACGCCTGCAACACTGCCATTGTCTGCAGGGCTGCACTGGCCTGACCCACCGCTACTTAGGCCTTGCCCACCAGCCGCAAGGTGGTCTGACACGGCTTGGATGACAAAACCGAAGCCTTCAGTGAATCCTTGGCCCCTGCACATTCAAATAATTTGATGGTTTCTCCCACGATCTCAACAACTCCTCATGGAGATCGGAAAGAAATGGAAGACTTATGAGAGCCAATAGCCCCTTTTCCACCAAAGCATTTTGAGAGCCGGTTCGGAGCCGGTGCCTGCGCGCGAACCAGTTCTCGAAGTGACCGGTTCTCGACCAGGGGAACTGGTTCCAAAGCGGTACCAACTCTTTTCTGGACTAGAACCGTTCTTACACTATGTCATGCTTACGTCAGGGCTGGGGTGGGTTTAGATGTGTTCTAAACATCTTTTCTGACCATAATAAAGGATCGCAAAGCCAAGAGAAACATTTGCAGAAACACGATGGAGTCCGCCATTGTAATTGTTATGCTTGAAGTTGGCGCAAGCGTTTCTATTTTTGTATTTTTTTTTATTGAAGACATTATAAGAAAAGAAGAAAACAGTCACAATATACAACAAATAAATGGAAAGAAAAAAAGACACAAGACAGGGGTACATAACTTATCAGAAAAGATTACACATCAAACGAAAAGATTAAAACACTTACACATTTCAATTGTTTTTAAAGCCTTCTTGGTACACAAGTTACTTGTGAACCAACTTGCAAGCGTTTCTTGCTAAGACGTATGGCGACGTACACAGTGACGTAACGACGTCGTTCCCTGGGCGCTCTAGTCAGTGGAAAAACAAACAGGTTCTGAAGCGGTTCGCAAGTTGAACCAACTCCGAACCAACTTTGAACCAGCACCAGTTCCGAACCAATTCTTTTTTTGGTGGAAAAGGGGTAAATTGGGAATAGTCAGTCTGCACTGAATGACCTCCTGCTTTTCCAAAATCCAGTCTAGACTGAGTCTAGCCCTGGTACAGGACATCACTTCCAGCAACTCCTCATTCGAGGGGCCACAAGAGGATGTGGTAGATATAAAGTCCACCTTTAACTCCCTCCACATCTAACTCCTCAGATCTAGTAAGTAACATGCTTTCAAATTAATCAGAAGAGGCCACAGAGCGGGCTTCCTGATCCAGACTGAGAGTCTTGGAGCTAGCGGTTGAAATCCAAGAAAGAGATGCACACATCTCAAATGCCTAGCTCCACCTGTTACCTCCACGATCTGAGTCACCAAACCATGAGGCAAAGTTGCCTGGCTCCCTTCCCTCGTAAAGAGAGCCAGGCGGGAGTGGAGCTTCTTCACTGTGAAGGAATCACAGTAAAAACAGCCAGCTGCTTCAAGAAAAGGCAGTGTGTGCTCCACTCCTAAACAAATTAAATATATATTGTGTGATCGTCACCCATAATGAAGTTTCCTTGTCCTCCTAATAATCATTGAGACAGACAATACATAGACTTACTACACACAGAGCTTTTCTTGAAGACAAAGAAGCTGATGAAGTCTAACGCAGTCAACCTTTTATAGTCATGTCGGCACGCTGAGTGATGTCACACAACTTCCTTGGCCAATAGAATTGTCATATTACACGTGCTTTAGACATTGGCACACACTAAAGGCGTTCTCATAGCATCAGCAACTGATGCAGCATTGAGTACCCTCGATAGGGAACTTAATTGTTTTCTGAACAGGTTAAATAGTCTTCTTCTAGGAGATCTGTCTTCAAATGTCTTTTGAAGATATCAGTTGAGCTTTTATGTGTTGTGCTGCAGAGAAATGAGATCCTATCTTATAACTTCTTTATTTTCACCAACAGGTCTTAATAAGAAACTCAAAAATCCTGACGCTTTTCAGATTGGCTTTCCGATGCGCACCAACTACATGTATGGGCGAATCAAACGCACCCTTCTGAGCGAGATCTTCGCCCTCACAGTCTGCCTCTGGTTGAAAGGGGGCTCAGGTCCTGGGATCGGAACCCCGTTCTCCTACTCTGTCCCTGGCCAGGCCAATGAGCTTGTCCTGATTGAGTGGGGCAACAATCCCATGGAGCTGCTGGTGAATGACAAGGTAAAGAAATGACCTAATTATATAATGGGGATTGTGTCCACCATGCTGGTGGAATGATCTGCCCATCTCTTCCTGAATGCTACTCCGAGCAATGTCTGAACCTTGTATTTTGAGCACTTCTTGAGTTGTTTTTGCCTCTTCACAATGAATAGCTTGGTTTAAGTCGCTTTGGATAAAAGCGTCTGCTAAATGTCTAAATGTAATGTGTAATGAAAGATTAATGTCCTGGTTTCGCAAAACACAGGCAATCCGAAAAGAAAAAAAAACCAAAACAAACCCAAACAAACGAAAAACATTATAATTTAGAAGTGTATTTAAATAGATACTTTAAAATCAAATATGTCAAAACATTGGACAAAATAGCTAATAAAATGCATTGTATTAAAATGCCAGACAACACAGTTTGGAAAAGGGATCACCAGACTTACACGGCTGATGACCTTGTCCTGCCATTGCAACAGTCTGCAAATCTCTCTCTTCCTCTTGGCTGCCCAGCTATTGCATCACCCTGCCTAATTAGTTAATGGCTTATCCTTGGTTGACCTGTGAATACATTCTACTGTTTTTTGTCAATCGTCTGTCAGTAACTGTTTACATGCTGTCAACTAAACAACTAATACTAGCAGCTAATACACATTATGAGGTTTGTTAGAGTGCAGACTTTAGCAAACTAAAAACAATTAATGAGAAGTTAAAGATTGAGCATGAATGTTCTGTTGTGAAGATTTGTATGCAAATATCCAATTCTCTATTTCTATCTTTCTTTCTTTTTTTGTTCTAAAATATCTTATTACTGTTTTATGGAGAAACTTTTGAAATAAATTACAGTCAGTGAGTGATCTGTCTGGATGATCCAGATTGGATCACAAACTAATTCCGACCATTATGCTGTTTATGTGAATTAAGTTTTAAATTTAAATTTAAATTAAAATTTAAATTTAAATTTATTTTAATCAACAATTTTTTTAATTTGTTTATAAAAACATCTTTCGACCCCAAACTTTTAAATGGTAATAATGAATATGCTTAGCTAGCTAGCTAGCTCATAATTTGTGCACCACATAGACAACATATTGTGTATGTACTCAAAAAAAGATATAAGTTTCTGTGTATATATAAAAAATAAAAATAAATAATTAATAATAAATAATAAAAAAAAATAATAATATATATATATATATATATGAAAAGTTCAGATGCAAAAGCCTCTAAATGCCATTTGAAATTTTCTTCTTTAATGATGATTTTTATCAAACTTGTATATTTAAGCTCAGTAATTTCACTTAAATAACAATTAATAGGTAATTATCATTTCCATTTGAGTGAAATTACTGAACTTAATATACAAGTTTGATAAAAATTATCATTAAAGAGGAAATTTTCAAATGGGATTTAGAGGCTTTTGCATCTGAACTCTTCATATATATATATATATATATATATATATATAAATAAAGTTGTCCTCCGAAGAGGGGGGGGAGGTGAAAATAAAATAAAAATAATGAGTGTGCTTAAATATTGCAGGAGAAAATATTTATCAGGTCAGTATTTGTTAATCTCCATCATTAGACAAGGAAACATCAGTAAAACTGAACTAGGGCAAAACAGTAGTTAAAGGAGAACTGCGGCGCAAAATGAACCTTTGGTCTAATTACACATTGGTACATAGTCAATCGTTCTTTGAGATTTGTTTTCATGATTATCGAATGTAAAGACTTTTATCTTTAAAAACTGTTTAGCTTATAACGCTAGTATGTGGGGCATAAAAATTACTAGTTAATACCACTAACAAGGCTCAAAATAGCCCAACACTAACACTGTAGCATAATCAGGGTCCCTACATGCAAACCGAAGCACTGAGAATGTTGTAAGTGTACAGACCGTTTAATAAGAAGATATTTTTGAAAGACAGTCCACTTCGCGAAAACAGGCAGGAGCCATCTTTGGAAAACAGTCTCGAGCAGTCGAGCCATACTCTATGCCCCATATACTAGCGTTATAAGCTAAACAGTTTTTAGAGATAAAACTCTTTACATTAAATTATCATGAAAACAAATCTCAGAGAACGGTTGAATATGTACCAATGTGTAATTAGACCAAAGGTTCATTTTGTGCCGGAGTTCTCCTTTAATGAAAAAAGAACGAAATATGTGAGCGTTTGTAAGACAGAATTCCATCTACTATACTAGCAAAAAAATGACTTTATTGTTTAAAGATGTACTCTGTTTTTGCCCTCTTTCAGGCAGTCACTCTTCCTATTTCTCTGACGGACAGTAAGTGGCACCACCTCTGCGTAACGTGGTCCACACGGGATGGCATGTGGGAGGCTTATCAGGACGGCGTGAAAAGGGGCTCTGGAGAGAATCTGTCCCCCTGGCATCCGATTAAACCAGGAGGAGTCTTTATCCTGGGACAGGAACAGGTACATCTCACAAAAATCAAGCATAAGTGAATCGAAACACACTCGCACTAACTAACACCCGACTCTTTTGTACCCAGGACACTCTGGGCGGCCGTTTCGACGCCACACAGTCTTTTGTGGGCGAGATGTCGGATCTGCAGCTGTGGTCGCGTATGCTCACCTCAACCGAGATCTACGACCAAGCGTCCTGCTCCAGCCACCTCACCGGCGACATCATCACCTGGAGCGAGTCCATGGTGGAGCTCCACGGAGGTGTCACAAAGTATCCGTTCGACCCTTGTCATTAAGGATCTAACCAAAGAGACCACCTCTGCTTAACTTGCAGCTGGAAAGGTGGACAGTTATGAATCTCGACTCGTACTGCGGCTGCTCAATTAACTAAGCACTTTATTAGTTTAAGGGTCTGAAAGTTACATAATGCAAATAGATAAGCTCTCAGGATGTCAACAGACTGGTTGAACCCCATTTTGTGTTTTTGGTTCACTTCCAGACACTACTGAAAGCACTTCAGTATCACTAATACATGCAAAAACACTTCAATTACTGTTGACATGTACTATTAAAATAAGGCGAGACAATGTGGACTATTTTTATATCTGTACAATGTCAAGTGAATTTCCTTTTCTTTAGTTGGTTAGACTCATTTGTATTCGTTCTAGCAGCATGGGGGCAGCAGTGAGTTTTAAAGGCCTACATTTCATTTATGCTACATTTTTATAAGCCAGGACTTCAGTATAGCTTATAACCTGAGGTGCTCTTTTAGTCTTGAAAATCAAGAATACATTCTGCTAAAAATAAACAAATCGTGTAATATTTTTTTTTAATGCATGTAAATTTGTATTATTGAAAGACGAAAAATGTGCAGGTTAGATTAGATGTCTTGAAGAGTTGAAGATGGTATTTTTTCATCCGTATAGTGACAAGTGATGTCTGTGGGCAGGTGGGCTGCTGGTATGGGTTTATATACAGTACACACATGCCAGATATAGGAGCTGAAAGAAAACAGTGAGGTGTCCATGGCAACATAGCTTAAAGGGGATTAAAGAGCTGAAGAGCACTCTCGTTTAGACTCTATCTCTCTTTTCTCTCTATCTCTCTCTTGCTATTCGATTTCATAATATTGTATGCACTTTTTGTGTTTAAACACATGCACATCTGTATCTGAAGAACTCTACATAAAGAGTACAGCACAGTGAATGTAAAGTTGGTTGCACGTTGTAGTTGTTACTCTGTGAATTGTTTTTTTTTATTGGATAAAGGCGTGTGCTGCAGTCATTTATGAAAAGTGACATTGAACAGATCTGTGTTTCATTATTGATTAATGAACTTAAGTAAGGTAGGAAATGAGTTAGTCTGGATGTATGAAACCTCCAGCTGTTTATTTAAAATGCTTCTTCTTATTGTGAATTTAACCTAAAATCTGGAGGCATTTATAGATTATGCATTTTCACTATTTAAAAACCCATTTATTGTTACTTTTTTTAACTAGATGGCCAAATGTTCATCCCTGAGGTAGCCTGAATTTTTATGTTCCCCCCTCTCCCTCTTCGTACCAAAGGAGACTTTACAGACTTACCAGTTAGATAATCGTCCAACCTGACTGGTCAGATTTACGTATGCATTTGCTTAACTTCGCCTTTGGTGTATATCTGTATCCAAATGCACTAATTAGTTTATTTCCTTTTAATCTTTCTTATATAATTGTATATAGAAGTTATATGTATATATCATATTTTTACTTATTATTAACAATATGTTTGGGCATATATTTAATGCCTGTAAGCCAAAATGTACAAGCTTAACTTGAGACAAGCATGTATTCAATTATTTGTAAATAAAGTAATGGTTTTGAACTAATCAACGTGTTTTTTTTTATTTTATTAATAATTTTAAAATATATATTTGTCATGGAATTTCAAATACATGATTCCACTGATTCTATTTCAACAAATTACGCAAGTATGAGAAATATAAAACAATCTAACATTATTTATTTAAAAATGATTTGTTATCATAACATTTTTTTTCTTCTGTCAAATCAACTTAGATCATTTTAAGTTTCTGATTATTAAATCAATTGAATCTCCTTCATTGTGTTAACTATTTTTTTTTTTATTTCAATGAACTTAAAGTTTTAAGGCAACCAGGTAACTTACTTTTTTAAGTTAAAACAACAAAAAAAATTGCACAGGCTAACGAGAATTTTTTTTTTTTTTTTTTCAGGAATGGCAAGAGCAGAAGGATTTGAAATGTTGTAAAAGCGATGCAGAGTTTTTATTACTCAACGGGTAAGGTATTTTTTTTTTTGAGTACCATATGTATCTCTCAGAGTTAATTGTAATGTATTATATTGTGAAGGGTCATATTAATCCAAGCACACCATGTTCTTCCGCAAAATGCACTGTAAAAAAATATTGATGGTTTAACTTAAAGTAAGTAACCTGGTTACCTTAAAATTTTAAGTTCATTGAACTGGAAAAAGTGAGTTAATACAATGAAGGAGAATGATTTAATCATCAGAAACTCAAAATGATATGTTATCTGAACTAAATAAATTATTTAAGTTGATTTGACAAAAGCAAAAAATGTTGTGATTACTACACTGTAAAAAAATATTGTTGGTTTAACTTTAAAAAAGTAAGTAACCTGGGTTGCCTTAAAATTTTAAGTTGATTGAACTGGAAAAAGTGAGTTAATACAATGAAGAAGATTGATTTAATCATCAGAAACTCAAAATAATAAGTTATCTCAACTAAATAAAGTTGATTTGAAAAAAGAAAATATGTTGTGATAACAAATCTTGAACATATTTTTTACAGTGCAGTTTTGTTTTCTAACCACTAGAGGGCCAAAAGTTACAAAAAAGAGCTATCATCAAAATTTTTCAGAATTGTGTTTTAATAAAAAGTGACCCCCCCCCCCCCCACACACACACACACACTACCCATTTGCGTTAAAAATGATTTATTAAAGACAAACTTTGCTGAGTATGCAATTATTTATTATTATTATATAAATACATTTTTAACAGAATGCATTACTTTATTACGGACATAACAAATCTCTTCACATCTTGTGCTTTTATGATTCAGCCACGAGAAATTAGTTTGGTCTTTATGACAAAGAATGTTCTTTACGGCCAAACATTTTAGATATAATCCATAGCGTCTGCAAATTTTGGGACCAGACAAGATTACAGATAACCAGTTGCATTGTGTCTGGTCTGGCACCCATGGGACATCACCTCACCAGCAGCTGGTGCCAGAAACGGCCCAAAGAGGGTCTGTGTGTTATAGAGAATGAAATGCAACAATCCTGTCTGTAAAAAAGGATTAAGTAAAACAATCTACTATATTATCATATTTTATAATATTCTTTCACATCACTTTTGTGACTGTATACACAATCTCAACAGCAAAGTATGCGTTCATCACTGCATTCATCACTTTTATGGAATGGATATTAAGATCAATAAATTCATAAAGGGGGAAAAAAAAGCAATTACTACTGCAGTACGTTGAGCCACAGAACAGGTTTCCTCGTGTTTAAAAGTAATGAGCAGAAGATGGCAAATTAAAAAAAGGGCTTTACATAAGAAATGGCCTTTTTGTTTGTGTGACCTTTTCTTTTCTACTTTGCATTTTGGTTTAAAGGTCTCAGTCTCATGGTTTAGAAAAAGCATGAATGACTAAAGAACTGGACAAAAGAAAGCCTTTGACCTTTTAAGTCAAAACGATTGCAAATATATTGATGATTGTGAATATATAGCGATTTGGCTTCCACATTCTAATGTGAGCTGTTTTCAATATATGACTGTATAAAAAAAATCACTTTTTTTAATCAAATTAGTTTTGGGATATATTAGTGATTAAAGATAATGCATAGCCTAAAGTGTAATTTGATGACTTCTATTAAAAGGAAAACACACTTAATAAAGGTAAAATGATAGTTTGGTAGAAAAATCTCAGATGTCCGTATATTTTTTATTATTATTATTAAATGCGTTATTCCCACACTTAAGTGGTTAATGCCATTAGACCGCAGAGGCCGCAAAGACCCTTATGTTTGCATTATGCATTATTAATGCTAGTTATTGCCAGTAAATATGCCAATGGAAATCACAAATGTGCACACTCTGTAAGAATTAGTGTTATTCAATTACAAGTAAAATCACCCTTATACAAGCTCTAATGGTGCAGTTCCACATTATGTCCTGAAGATGGCAGAAAAGTATCTTTATTGAAATGCCGTCCTATGATGTGGACACTTTTTTTTTCTTCTTCTTTTTCACTTTATATCCCCATTTTGATTTTATATGAAAATTTAAGTAATCAATATAATTAAGTATTTCAAAAATCGGTTTCATTAAATGCAAATCTAAAATTATGGGACAATATTCCTTACCGATACATAATAGCAACAAACTTAATTAACATAAAACATCTATACTTGACTGTCTAAAACCCAATTATTAAAGTTTAATTATGTTTGTAGGACAAGGACATATTTTATAGCCAAATTGTTAGGTCGGTTACTAACAATTAAGTTACTCTAAAAAAGTAATTAATTACTAGTTACTAATTACCTCTTCAACAGTGTAATTAGATTACTATACTAATTACTCTCTCTAAAAAGTATTTAATTACTTTTAATTACTAATTACTTTCAAAATCCCATATAAATCTCAACCAGCTGAATAATACAAGGATAGACATAAATCTGTTTTAATTCTTTCAAATAAATACTATAAAATTGCATGAATTATCCCTAAACAGACCAAGGTGGAGAAGGTTACATTATAAAAACATACTTTTTAACATCAGACAATACATTTTGATGTTAAACCCACTATTGTTTTATATCTGACCTCATTACATTTCACACTTTTTTCATACATATTTTACAATAATTGATACGAATTTGTACGAGTGCGGTCGTACAATTTAGACACCTCACAAAATGCACGAATCGCTGTGAGATCGGATTGATCTATACACAGTATTTAGGCTACCTCAATTACATCAGAAGTAACTGTAATTAGGCTAAATTACTGATAAATGAGGAGTAATGCCTTACTTCACAATTTCAAGGGAAAAGTAATTAAATTACAGTAACTAATTACTTAGTAATTAGTCACACCCAACACTGGTTGTAACCCAATTATGTTGATTTTTTTTCCCATTCCCCCCATTTAGCAATTAAAAACTGTTACTTTTTAAACACAGATGTTTCAAATGCAGAAGTTTACTTTGAATAGTTGGGTAAACAGTGGAAAGGTTCAAAAACCAACCGATACTTAAACATACAGAATGTGTATTTACCTACAAACTTAATTAACTTAAAAAAGAAAATATCCTAAAATAAAAAAATAAAATAAAGAAAGTATCCTCCCTTAAACGAAGTATTATTACAAGCCCTCTCTGTCCTTATATAGGGTGATTTCAGGTAAAATGGGCCATTTAAGGCTGGGGGTCCCAGCCCCTCTGGAATTAAAAAAACAAAAAGTATGACAACAAGCCCTGTCTCTCCTTATATCACTTTTATTATTATTATTATTATGTCAAGTGGATTTAAGTCAGTAAATAGTTTAGACATATAAATGACATTTATAAAGTGATGCAATCTTGCAGTTTGTATAAATCATCCAGAGCAGCCTTGTGACTCCTGCAGTAAAATTTGGGCTGTTGTACTGCAGAATTTGATACCGCTATGACTCACGTGCCTTTTTGAGGCCTGAATAAACAGTGGGATGTGCCCACTGCTGTTTTCTACGGATATTCATAGATTAATAAAGAAGACCGTTGAAGAAAAGGTAGTTAGTATATAGTTAGTATATAAGTTAGTGTAAATAAAAATTAGCCTAGTATATCCTTCCTTTATTTTTTTACTCTACAAATGAATGTCAGTCAGTCGAAGCCTCGTCCCTGCATCATTTGGAGCTTGTGGTACCCGGCGCTGCATCCATTTGGTAGCACCCATCAGCTGATGCTCTATCAAGGTCACCCGCGCAGAGCATCATGGGTGGTGGGTATCGGATGCGCTAATAGTCCCACCCCACGAGCTCAATTCGCATCCTAGCCAACCTTGCCGAATAAGGTCTTCCCGCATCACGAGGCTCTATGACGGAACTGTCACAAGTCGTGATGCGGAATACGCGTCATGGATAAATAAAGGGGTGTGGACGTGGTTTTACGTGCTCACCGCCGGTATTTCGTCAAATAGAAACGTGCGGTTGGTCGTGTAGCCTACTTGCTACGTGTGACGAATAAAAGAATACATCACTGACAGTGCGGTATTTTCACTTGACTTCAGTCAGTGTCAGTGGGTCACCGAGATACGTGCACACAAACGGGTGGTCACGACGCACGAGAAACACGGTAAGGCATCCTCGATTGATTATTATATACATTTATGTTTAAATATGTGAATTACCATAGTAGCATGATGCTGGTTATTGATATTCTACTGTCTTATTTGGTTAACTGTAAATTGATTGACATCGTATTCCTTAAAGAGTAGATGATAACATGTAAGCTAGTGAATTGTAAAATATAACAGTCAGTGCACTGCACAGCGGATCAATATATGAGATAGCCTATTGATAAAATTGATCGTTTACAAAATAAATAATATATATGTTAAGTCAAACGAAATTGATTTAACGTTACTGCGAATATTAGGCCACGAAATGTTACGTACGCTTGTAAAATAATGTTTTAAAAAAAACAGGGCTGAAGAACATGACGGAGTCAGCAATGTGCAGGAGCACCTGTTGAACAACAGTGTAACTATAGGATTTTTTTTTTTTTTTTTTTTTTTTTTGTAGGATATATTTATTTTGCGTTTTTGCAAGGATGGAGGGGCTTACGGGGTCATCACACAAGGTTTCGGGGGAAGGGTCAATAAAGAATGGCTTTTATCTTCTTCTTTTAAATGCAAGTAGGCTATATTTTTTCACACAAAACGAGTTTCAGACATTCATTTTATCACATAAGTGTATAAGTTTGGTTAAAGTATGCTATGGCTATACACAGTACGTTAGCCTATAAGCGATCGCTTGTTGTAGTTTATTCGGGATAGAATATAGTAAACACATAACTGTCATTATAGCCTACATTTTAATATCCCATAAGCTTATATGTCTCTACAATTTTTATGTTTTGTTTAAAATATATGTCGGATAGCTACTTCAAGTATCATACTCAGGCTGCTGTATGTAAAAGATGTTGCGCGAGATGATGCAACATCTGAAAAAGTCGTTGTTCTCACACTGCTTGAAGGACGCACATTTACAAAAGTTGTAACGTTACCATTTTTGCATTTTTACAGGCAAAATAGTCACAAACAGCATCGTATTTCGGGTACAAGAAGATTGTGTGCCAAACCTCACGTCCACGCGGAATTCATCAATCTTGGACGTTTCCACTCTGGCACGATGGAGGGGGAGAAGGTTAGTACTGCGATAGTTGTAATACAACTCTACGTCTATTCAAACATGACATTAATGCATTTTACTTGTATATAATGGTATACAAACTCAACATAATGTGAGTCATACTGTAGCTAGCATCCGAGGAATCATTTTATGTGTAGCCTGCTTGCAATGACTTTTGTGCATGTGTCTACCATAGGGCCTATGCTTTGCTTGACTTTGATGAACTATTTTTGATAAATGCGAATAGCTCATGTAATCTTTGTTTCAGCATTGAATGTATGTCAAAAGTTAATCAATGTGATCAATGTTATGCATAATCCCAGTATGTTGTCAGTGTTTGCTGGGCGGTCTCGTTGATGCAGCTGTAACAGGATGTTGCTATGGCAACGAGGGAGCGGTAGATATGCTAAGACCTATTTAGATGTAAATGTTTGGGAGAGACCAAGAGAGAAATGCAGAGTGGGTGATGATGAAGTTGTTTAAATTGGATGTTTATTTAAATCCTCTCAAAGTTCACAACGTCAGCAGATTAAATGATTCTGGAGTATGAGCAGATTAGATGTTTTTGATTCATGGCTGTCTACAGATGTTACGACTTTCAGGCTGTCTTGTAACATTTCCTTTCTCTCTTTAAAGGGATTGTTCACCAAAAAAATTCAATTCTTTCCATCATTTACTTACTCTCATGCCGTTCCAAATCTGTTAGACTTTCGTTCATCTTCGGGAACACAAATGAAGATTTTTTGATGAAATCTGACACTTTTCTGTCTCTCCATTAAAGGGATAGTTCACCCAAAAATGAAAATTCTGTCAGTGTTTACTCACCCTCATGTTGTTCCAACCCCGTAAGACCTTCGTTCATCTTCGGAACACAAATTAAGATATTTTTTATTAAATATCAGAATTTAGTCCGAGTGAAACAAAAGTTGTGCATATAAACGTAGCCATTGGTTTCTTGCGGAAGCTCAAAGTGCTGCGTAACACACAAGAATGTGTGGTTCTCGCATGTTAAATAAACATGCTTGAGCTTCCGTTTACCACAACTGATGTGTTAGTTGATGAATGTTTATATATGAATAAAAGCCCAAATTAAATTTGTTCCTCATATTCCTCATAAAGCAATTGTGTCCCTTCAGAAAATTTGGACTAAACCGCTCAATTCATTTGGATTAGATTTACGATCTCTATGAACTTTTAAGCGTCAAAGTGGTAGTTGCGTAGCTGTCAATGGAGGGACAGAGAGCTCTCAGATTTCATCACAAAGATCTTCATCTGTGTTCCGAAGATGAACAAAAGGCGTACATGTTTGGAATGACGTGAGGGTTAGTAATTAATGACAGAAATAGACTTTTTGGGTGTACTAACCCTTTAAAGGAGTCGTTAAGTAGCTGATTATATACTCACCCCCATGTCATCCAAGATATCCATGTCATTCTTTCTTCAGTCGAAAAGAAATGAAGGTTTTTGATGAAAACATTCCAGGATTTTTCTCCACATAATGGACTTCAATGGGAACCAAACGGTTCAAGGTCCAAAAGACAGTTTCAGTGCAAACTGTTCAAAAGGCTTTAAACGATTTCAGATGATGAATAAGGGTCTTATCAGAACAGAGCAAGGCAACCATTTGAGCTTATAAAACTTAAACTAAATTAGTGATCATTTCGCCTGATAAAAACCCTTATTCAGCGTCTGAAATCGTTTAAAGCCCTTTGAACAGTTTGTAGTTTGCACTGAAACTGTCTTTTGGACCTTGAACCGTTTGGTTCCCATTGAAGTCCATTAAATAGAGAAAAATCCTGGAATGTTTTCATCAAAAACCTTAATTTCTTTTCGACTGAAGAAAGAATGACTTGGATATCTTGGATGACATGGGAGTGAGTAAATTATCAGCAAAAGTTTTTTTTTAAAATGTGAACTACTCCTTTAATAGATTTCCAAATTGAGCGTTTGACTCAGAATGCACTTGTCAGATGACATTTGTTTTGAAACGTATTTCACTGAGTCATCGTGACTTGAGAGTATTTTTTATGAGAGGGGAGAGAGAGCGAATAATAGGGAGGGATAATAGGATCCGATTATAAGGAAATGCACTATTGATCTACATTTTCAATCTAATTTCTTTCAGACAATTGCATCTAGCTGGTATTGCTTAGAAAAGGTCAAATGCTGTGTAAGAAAAGTCCTGCATCAAAGCATCGACCGGCAGCCTTATATCCTTGGGTATATCCTTACATCCAATGTATTTATTACAGGTTATGATAAAAAACTTTGAACTCCTTTTGATGTAGTCCAATTTCTGTCGGATTAAGGTCATTTGTGTCGAATGTCTGACCATCTCAGCATCACAAAGCCCTTCAAAATTCACGGTGTCAGCACTGCTGCCCTAGAAACCTGGAATGTGTATTTGCAGTATTGTCTTACAGCCGAAGGCAGGGCGTTTTAGGACATGGCTGATTTGTGAGCTCTTTTATTATGTTGTTTGCTGCTCCCTTGTTTACGTCCCCTTATTTACTACGTCAGTCAAAGCTGTGCGCAGTGTCTACTTTCTCTTTAAAGAAATCAGTCAAGCAAATGTTAATGAAAGAATTTGGTGAATAGCCAGTAAACTAGGACTTTAAAGAAACACAATGCAAGAAAAAGCAAGATTAAAATTACGTTTTTTAATATCTTTAAAATGTTCTGTAAATGTATGCATAATGTTATGTATTTATAGACATCATTTTGTGTGTTTTTTTTTTAGGATATTTGTGTCAAAAAATACAGTAAAACTGAAATGATGATGAACTAACTGTCCTCTCTTGTTTTACAGAAGCAGGTAACATGCTACCTAATGTTTTCTTTGTCAACGGCTGTAATTGGCTCCCTGCAGTTTGGCTACAACACAGGAGTCATCAATGCACCAGAACAGGTTAGGGGAGTGTGTGTATTTGTGTGTATAGTACACATCAAATGTTCAAACACACCTACACAATCGTTTAAAAGTTTGGGGTCAGTAAGATTTCTTTTTAAATAAATTAATACTAATATTCAGCTTTCAATTTTAAGCACACAAAATTTCTACAGACACAGTAACGGTCATGATATGACATCACACTCTGCTGCGTCTTTTTAATGAGCATTAATTCAACGGAAATAGTAATACATTCAAAATGTAATAATACACAACCTACTTGACTTTACTGCAAACATATGGGTTCTTTTAATTCAGCCAAGAGGTCACATGAATTCTGCAAATTCGACAAGTAAGAGTTCACCGAAGCATTTCGCGTGAACTTGCGTTTCCAGTCCGACGTAAACGTTTCAATGGAGTAGTGTACTTATTCTTTATTCGTTTTCGTTATTTTATTCGTATTTTCTCTTAGAAATTGCGGGAGTTCTTCAACGCCACATGGGTGGAGCGTTACGGGGAGCCCATCAAACCGGGCGTGTGCACCATTGTGTGGAGTTTTGCTGTGGCCATCTTTAGCGTGGGTGGAATGATGGGATCATTCAGTGTCGGTGTCATAGCCAACAAATTTGGAAGGTAAGTGGAAATTCATCTATAATGTGTGAAATGGCAAATGTTGAACAATTTCAATTTGGCGAGAACCTAATGTATCTTTAAATCTAAAGAAAGAAATCTAAACCATGTGACATCGTCAGTGTCAATACTCATATAGATTTACAATCACTGGTAAAGACACATTGAGGTCAGAGCCATGGCTTAGTGCTTAACACATTTTTTCTAGTACACTGCACCATGACGCTAATGCTGGCAATGTGAATTTGAACCTGGCTTGTGACATTTCCCAGTCAACATTATCTCCATCATTTGTTTAATTTGAATCAATACATGTAGCAAATATGTACAGAGAAGTGTGTCGCCATTTGTGTTGTGCTGGGAATCTTGAGCCAGATAATACATCATAGTATGTCAGAGTTACTCACAATGTGGGTTTAACTGGACCGCAAATGCTTTATAAATAATAAAGCAGTTTAACAAAATGAGGGCACTCAGACTAGAAGAACTGACTGTCTTCCTGTCTGCTTATACGCTCCCCATGCACATTGTCAGAACAGTCACATACAAAGCAAGCATTCATGTGTGCTCAGTGGCCATTGTTCTATTTCTGCTTTCTTTCAGTGGCCTCCTCTGTCACCCTCCCTGGTTTTGCCTATTGTTTGGTTTAGTCAGTGATAACCGAGATGAAAAATATGCATTGTGGTAATAACAGTGTCTGACACATGAAGAATTCACAATGCAACACAATAAACAGTAACTAATACTTATTAAGTATGATATACAATACAACATTTTAAGTTCGGCATTCATACATCCAAAAGTTTAGGGTTTTAAGTAATATTTCAAATAAATGCTGTTCTTTTGAACTTTCTATTAAAGTGATAGTTCACTTTGAAACTAATTTTTGATATGTTTTAGCTTACCTCAAGGGCATCCAAGATGTAGGTGTCTTTGTTTCCACAGTATTTTCAATTTTGATATTTTTAGGTCAAACCGTTGTCTATCAGTCATATAATGGAGGTCTATGGTCACCACCTCAAAGAGCATGCACAGAGAAGTCCAAATTAAACATGATTTAATGACTCGTGAATGTAAGTACACATTGATGGCCTAAGACACGAAACGAACGGTTTGTGTGAGAAAATGAACAGTATTTATATCGTTTTTACCTCTTGTAACCACAGCCACGTCGCAAAGCTTTGCGAGATCCCGAAGCACAGATGATTCGAAACATTGATCCGAAGCGTGATTCAAAACACCCACGTCACGTGACTACGGCTAAATGAAGCGTCTGAATGTTTCATCAAACCGAATCAGGGTTTGATTGACAGGTCGGTCGGGAAAGATCACACAATCACACAGTATAAAAGTCAACGCATTTTCACATCGTGGGTTTTTGTGGGAGGAGTTTGGTTTTGAGATAGCCTATTTATGGTGATATAGTGACATTTATAGTGTGATTTGTTTAGTTATATTTAAGCTTCTATTAAAATTTACACATTGATTGAGAGACAGACAGTGTAGGATATATCAGAGTAGGATATACTGAGAGACAGACAGAGTATATATATATATATATATATATATATATATATAGACAGATTAATAAAAAGAAAAAAGGGAAGAAAGAAAGAAAGAAAGAAAGAAAGAAAGAAAGAAAGAAAGAAAGAAAGAAAGAAAGAAAGAAAGAAAGAAAGAAAGAAAGAAAGAAAGCGGAGCTGTGGAGGCAATATTTTTGAAAAAAAAATCTATAAGAAAGTGAGAGACTGTAGCTTGATTTATTTTATTAAAATTCATTTTTCATGAACAAAATAACATGCAATGTGAAGAGACTACAGGTTACAAGCTTCATATATTAGAAAAATACAATAATAAAAAATAAGACATTTTTTAATGGCTCGTTATAAAGGTTGTTCCAGATCAACACCTGCAAGTGACCACTAGGTGTCACCGTGGAGACGGGTTTCGGAATGATTCGAAGCCTCGAAACAATATGGCACATTTGCTTCACGAAGCCTCGATCTGCCCAAAACTACTGAAAGGAACACAAGGTTTCAATAGACAGAAAACAGAGGAACTAAAGAGACTAATAAACGGGACACGCCTGAACTGAAACTCAAATCAAAACAGTAACCATGGAAACAAACAGGCAGGGGGGGGGGGAAGGACAGAATTGAACTAATTGAGAGATTAACCAAACCCTGACAAGAACAGAAATCAAAACAAACTGACATCATGGAAATATAGTTATAGTTATATATATCATTCGATTTTTGTCTGTTACAGTTTGACATGTTTTATTCTGTAATTTTGCGCATTTATGTCAACTAAAAGTATTAATTTAGTCAGAGTAAAATGAAATATAATGAATTAATATGGCACAATGAATATTGTCAAAATCTAAAGTGCATATTCGTCCAAAAACAAAAATTATGACTAAAAAGAGTGCAAGTCTTAACATTGTGTTCCTCTCTGTCTTTCTGTCATTTTTCTCATTTCCTGTATTTGCTGTTGAATTAGTGTTTCTAATTCAATTGAACTCCCTCCCTGTCTGGCTGTTTTTCTCTGTACAGACGTAAGGCGATGTTCCTCGTGAATATCTTGGCTCTGATTGGAGGGAGTCTCATGGGTCTGTGTACTCTCTGCTACTCCTATGAGATGGTAATTGCCGGTCGGCTGGTTATTGGGCTGTTCTGTGGCCTCTTTACTGGGCTCACTCCAATGTATATTGGGGAAGTGTCGCCCACTCCCCTCCGTGGGGCCTTCGGGACCCTGCACCAGTGTGGTGTTGTGGTGGGCATCTTAATTGCACAGGTAAAGCATTCTATGTCAGCAATTTCATTTGTTGATAAATTACATATTAGTGAGAAACTGGAAAAAAGTTTATTGATTTTGTGTGTCATGACCAGATGGTTTATAAAAAAAATATATAAATCATTTCAAGAGCCTTGTGGCCTCATTATATGTTTGAGCCACAACAAAACCTTGAGGAAATATTCCATCTAATTAGCAGCAATGCTTTTACATTACATCAACCTAGCGAGCCTAATTTATGCTATCATAACTTCAACTATCAACTGCTTGTAAATGTTTAAACTTTTCGTTTTGTGTATTTTTCATCTAGATCTTTGGGCTGGAGAGTCTGCTGGGTTCACAAAAGCTTTGGCCTTTACTTCTGTCTCTAACCGTGCTACCAGCCATCCTGCAGTGTATACTTCTGCCGTTCTGTCCAGAGAGCCCTCGCTTCCTGCTCATTAACCTTAATGAGGAAGAAAAGGCCCGCAAAGGTACGAGAGAGATCACAAATGAGCTTTATCTCCATTAAGCTGCAGCCATACTTATTTGAAAAACAGCAAAAAACATTGAAAATATGTCATTAAACAAGAAATCTCTCAGTGGAAGTGACCGATAGAGCTTAAAGTATTTTTTATAACTGCATTCATTTCTTTGGGAGTAGTATTGTGCCAAATGCACTTAACCTTATGTTCCCAATTAATGCTAATTATGTGCTGGTGACAAAATGAGCTAAAACATCTGCTTAAACAGAATCCCTTTATTAAATAACATATACAGCTCATCATTGACTGGAGCAGGATGGCAAAAAAATAAGTTATAGTCACATTTACTACATGATTCATTTTACACCAGATGATTTTGCACATAAATGACTAATAGATGCCAACTACTGTAGCACAGCTTTTGGAAATTATGTTTGGCAACCAATGGTAAATGGAGAGTCTTCAGGAATCTCTGTCTTTGCGAATATGTTTAGTTATGCTAGGTGGCGCAGAAATGACACACTATATCTTAAGCCATTTTTTTGTTTTTACCGTTTTTACCTACATTTTTAAGACAACATGTTTTGCTAGTATAACAAATGTGTGTTTTCATTATGTTGTACAAACGTTATGTCATTTATCATTTCCCAAACATTGTAAAAACATTAACACACACCACCTAGCATTTTCTAGGACATTCAGTAATATGTTTACCAAAAAACATTTAACATGCAGACTATTAGAAAATAATTCACTTTTATGAATTCAAAATTTATGTTAGAAGAACTGACATTGCAATGTTTTGTTTTGGCAGTAGATACTGACTTTATTTTTCAGAAACTTCATTGATGCAATTTGTTGGGAATCTAATGTTCTCACCTCATATTGTTATGAATTAATTAGAGTAATAATAGTAATAATGGAATGTTTAATTAATTTTCTTTTAATTTAAATTTTAATTAATAATAGAACCAGTGCCATAGCCATTTATGATGTTGTTCAACTTTAAGAATAAATTACCCATAATGCTTAGAGTGAGAGTGGGCAGTAAAGAAAAGAGAAAAAATGTGACTTTTCAATCGCTGTGTCCGAAATCTCCACTCAAACCACTAGGGAGTGGAGCACTATATAGTGAGCTCACCAGCATAATAGAAACACCACTTTCAGACACTACTCGTTCGTCTCTGGGCTAAATAGATTTTTTTAAATAAATACACTACATTATATTGAGCTTATTTCTCCAAATTTAAAAAAACTAAAAGTCATTTCTGTCCGTTTCTGTTATAATGCGCAACTCCACACATGATTATAACTTATTTTTACGATCAGCGCAATGCATGATGGTATGTAGGGCTTGGGTTAGTGACCATCGTGCATTCTGGGATACATTGAGTGGACTATATAGGGTATAATAATCATCACTATACATTCGGACAGCACTACAAAATGGCAAGCTCACTATATATATAGTCCACTATATAGTGAGTAGTGAGTGATTTCGGACACAGCTAATGCATCGCTGCATAATACTGCACAAAACTTCAGTAAACAGTTTATTTTATTTTAATAAAAGTCATCAGTGGTCATTATTGCTTGCTTAGAAGAAAAAACACAACACATTATAGCGGACTCACTAAAGTAGCCTGGTAACAAGTGTTTTCTGGCAGTAAAAAATGAAGATACAGAAACAATCCCTACATTGTGTTTTACTGTTCTTGAGCTTGAGCCTTTAAAGGGATAGTTCACCCAAAAATGAAAATTAAGTCATTAATTACTCACCCCCATGCTGTTCCAACCCCGTAAGACCTTCGTTCATCTTCGGAACACAAATAAAGATATTTTTGATTGAATCTGAATCTGAATCTGTGGCGGTAAAACTCCTAAGCGGTGAGCAGCCGGTAACAAGAAGTAGACGAATGAGAACGTCCTCCTCTCAGTTCTCGCGCATGCGCCCATAAGGAAGTAATGGAATAGTGGAATAAAGTCGTTATTTATGTTTTTTTTCGCACAAAAAGTAGTCTCGTCGCTTGATAAACTTATAATTGAGCCGCTGTAGGCACATGGAATATTTAAACCTTTTCTTCAATGACTTTATGGACCGCCAAGAGCCAGTCCCTTAGGCAGTCTATATAGGACTGATCCAGCTCTCAGATTCAATCAAAAATATCTTTATTTGTGTTCCGAAGATGAACGAAGGTCTTACGGGGCTGGAACAGCATGGGGGTGAGTAATTAATGACTTAATTTTCATTTTTGGGTGAACTAACCCTTTAAAGGCTCAAGCTCAAGAACAGTAAAACACAATGTAGGGATTGTTTCTGTATCTTCATTTTTTGCCCAACAAGTGCCCAACAGCAGCTTTTGGCATCTTCTTTCACATTGATGATATAATGGTTGCCTTTCCCCCTTAAATCATCAAAAAAATAGCCTACTAACATATGATTCACTTTTAAAATGTCTATAACAGGTTAGAATTCAGATATTTGTTTTTTTCTGGTCTATACCATACTATGCAGTATGCATTAGAATTTATAATTGATTCAGCAAGGAAACATTTATAATGTTCTTTTGAACTAACAGGTTCATTGTTTCCAAAAAAAATATTAAGCAGCACAACTGTTTTCAAAACTGATAATATGAAATGTTTCCTGGGCATCAAATCATCCTATTAGAATAATTTTTGTAGGATCACTGAACACTGGAATAATGGCTGCTGAAAATTCAGCTTTCCCAAACCTCCATTTTGTTGTCCCCCAGCACTGGTGCGTCTCCGTGGTTATGAGGATGTTGGGAAGGACATGCAGGAGATGAAGGAAGAGAGTGCGAAGATGGCCATGGAGAAGAAGGTGACCATCCCAGAGCTCTTCCGCATTCCTGCTTACCGCCAGCCTCTGCTCATCGCTGTCATGCTGCACCTGTCCCAGCAGCTCTCTGGCATTAATGCTGTGAGTGACATCATTTACTTCAATTCATTTGCATACTACCTACTATTTTGAATATAAAACAATGTACAGGATGTTAATATTGTTCATAACATGCATACTTTGTGAACTGAGAAAATATTTGAATGTTTTAGTAGGATGTCCTCCTAAGTCACTCTGCAATATCCCAAAATGGAATGTTCTGGAATTTACATTATATCTCGAGTCTGACAAGTGATCTGGGATATCAACCATGATTTTCAACATCCACTTTAAAACTCATTATATGATTGGACTGACAAATGTCAAGTCAAGTCAAGTTACCTTTATTTCTATAGTGCTTTTTACAATACAAATTGTTTCATAGCAGCTTTACAGTTTACATAACAGAAAAATGATGTATTTTGGCTGTTGTTCAGCTGAAGTCAGTTCAGTGTTAATTCAGTTCTGTTGTAAACATCAACATTATTAAAGGGTTAGTTCACCCAAAAATGAAAATTATGTCAGTATTTACTCATGTTACCTCATGTTGTTCCAAACCAAACCTCTGTGTGTTTATTTGTTCTGCTGAACACAAAGGAAGATATTTGGAAGAATGTTTTAAACAAACAGATCTCATTCCCCATTGACTACCATAGTAGGAGTGACTACTATGGTAGTCAATGGGGAATGAGATCTATTTGATTAAAACATTCTTCCAAATATCTTCCTTTTTGTTCAGCAGAACAAATAAACACGTAGAGGTTTGGAACAACATGAGGGTGAGTAAATACTGACAGAATTTTCATTTTTGGGTGAACTAACCCTTTAAATTAGTTCATTTCGTCAAAAGTGTCATCGTCCAGCTCAGTTCAGTTCAGCGTCAGTACAGTCAGCTCAATAGTATTTTTGAATATTAAGTGTCCCCAACATAGCAAGCCAGAGGCGACAGTGGCAATAATCCATAGACTGTAAAAAAAATATGGTCGTAGTGTCCTTGACGTCACCCGTAGGTTTCTGAAGAGCGTTTTTTAAGCCTAAAGTGGGCGGAGCCAGCCGTCGCCATCTTAGCAGCGCGTCACCTCTCGTCACTACCGGATAAAATAAAATGGGCAAAGAGGCATGACGTGGGTGGAGCTGAGGTGCTAATGCTATATGCTACTGACCTCGGGCTAAAGTGACAGATGTTTGAAAAAGTAAAGCCAATAGTTAAAGTTCAATATTATAATAGTTAAAAGACGCTACTAAAAGTAAAACTCTGTATCGTGATGTATTATTATTTCCCTCCATTCCCTCCAAGTTGTTGCAAACCTGTATGAGTTTCTTTCTTCCGCTGAACACAAAGGAAGACATTTTGAAGAAGATTTGAAGCAATCAGTTGTTTAGAAAAAATACAAATATCTTCCTTTGTGTTCAGCAGAAGAAAGAAACTCATACAGGTTTGCAAGGGTGAGTAAATGATGACAGAATTTTCATTTTTGGGTGACATATCCCTTTAAGCGTGCAGGGCAACCACTCAGTAGAGCATTACAATAATCTAGCCTTGTGGTCATGAACATGCATTTGTCATTGAGAGCATATTTTTAAGATGGAAAAATGTGGCTTTCAAATGAAAGATATGTTTTGAATGTTTAATATGCAACTTCGTTCTCATTATACTGTCACTTTACATTCTTAAGTTAACCATTTTGCTTTTTCTTCCCATTTCTCCAAGGTATTTTATTACTCAACTGGTATTTTTGAGTCAGCCGGAGTGACTCAGCCCATTTACGCCACCATTGGAGCCGGAGTAGTAAACACTGTCTTTACTGTAGTATCTGTAAGTATTTAATCATTAAACTTAACGAGAAATCAGTGTGTAAGTAAATGTGATGTGTTAATACTTTCATTTGATCCTTTTCTAAAAGCTATTCTTGGTGGAGAGAGCGGGACGGAGAACTTTGCACCTTATTGGTTTGGGTGGGATGGCCGTCAGTGCCTTGGCCATGACAATCGCTCTCTTATTGGTGGGTCCTTCTGTCTGTTTATTTTGCTACAGATTCATAACAGGTTCTGTTAATATCTGGCCATCATGGGAATGTTAATGTCATACGTATGTTTGCTTTCCTTTGTCCCTGAGTAGAAGGACAATGAGTCTCTACGCTACCTCAGCATTGCTGCGGTCTTTGGCTTTGTTGCCATGTTTGAGATGGGCCCTGGACCCATTCCCTGGTTCATAGTGGCTGAACTGTTCTCCCAGGGGCCACGTCCTGCTGCCATGGCTGTTGCAGGATGCTCCAACTGGACAGCCAACTTCCTTGTGGGAGTCAGCTTCCCTAAATTGGAGGTGAGTTTAATTTAGATTGCCTTTTAAAGGTGAAGTAAGCGATTTCTGGTAAACACTGTTGATATTTGAAATCACCAAAACAAACACGCCCCTACCCATAAGGATCACACCCTTATCTTGATGCCTCCACCCCCTCATCCACGTACACGAAATGCAACACAGACAACAACCCAAGGGTATAATGTCATAAATAAATTAAAGCAATCTGTGCTACTATGATAATTTAGGTCGAATGTCTAATTGTTATTTAGCTCCTCTTCACTTTTGAAAAAAACTTTTGTTGATGATTTACTCACCCCCATGTCATCCAAGATGTCCATGTCATTCTTTCTTCAGTCGAAAAGAAATTAAGGTTTTTGATGAAAACATTCCAGCATTTTTCTCCATATAATGCACTTCAGTGGGAACCAAACGGTTCAAGGTCCAAAAGACACTTTCAGTACAAACTGCAAACTGTTCAAAGGGCTTTTAACGATTCCAGATGATGAATAAGGGTCTTATCAAGCGAAATGATTGCTCATTTAATAAATAAATAACAAAGTTTAAGTTTTATAAGCTCAAATGCTCGCCTTGCTCTGTTCTGTGACCCACGTTTGTGATTCTCCTGTTCGAACTCGTTCATCAAAATAAACGATTTTTTTTTTCAAGTCATTTGGTTCATTCAACGAACGAAACGGACGAATTGACTCGGAAAAAGATTCGTTCATTTTGATGAACGAGTTCAAACAGGAGAGTCACGAACGTGCATCGCAGTACAGAGCAAGGCGAGAATTTGAGCTTATAAAACTTAAACTTTTTTTTTTTTTTTTTTTTTAAATGAGCGATCATTGCGCTTGATAAGACTTATTCATCGTTTGGAATCGTTTAAAGTCCTTTGAATAGTTTGCACTGAAACTGTCTTTTGGACCTTGAACCGTTTGGTTCCCATTGAAGTGCATTATATGGAGAAAAATGCTGGAATGTTTTCATCAATAAACTTTAATTTCTTTTCGACTGAAGAAAGAATGACATGGACATCTTGGATGACATGGGGGTGAGTAAATTATCAGCAAAAGTTTTTTGAAAAGTGAACTACTCCTTTAAAATCAATTGCCGTTATGTTAACCACTTAAAATTACTGTATTGTTTTTAAAGTAAAACTATGAATAATTTTGTATGGAAAAACAACGTTCCAATTAAACATTCATAGATTTTTTTCTATGAGCTGTATAACTTTAATCTAACCCATTATAATAAAGTTTTGAAATAATTTCCCTATTTTAATATATTTTTATCACATGACTTCTGGGTTATTGTAATCTTATTTTGTGTTAAAATGTGTGCACAATATCAGAATTAACTTTTTTCTTTGTGAATTACAGGAGCTGTGTGGGCCATATGTCTTCATTATATTCATGATCTTGCTCATCTTCTTCTTCATCTTTACGTACTTCAAAGTTCCAGAGACCAAAGGGCGGACTTTCGATGAGATCGCCTGTGGTTTTAGTGGGTCTCCGCCTCCGGCTGCCACCTCTGTGGAGGAGCCAGGCAGACTCGCACTTCCAGCTTCTCCGGTCAAAGAGAAAGTCCCGTTAGTGGAAGCTTCCAAATCTTCCACAGAACATGGGCCCAGCTCATCTGAGACCGCAAAGGTGGAAGGGAAACCTAGCTCAGTGACCCAGCCACTGGTAGATTCTAATAAAGAGGAGAAAAATAATTCCACCATCTAAAAAATAGTGTAACTATAAAGCTAATTATGATTAAAGCCATGACATGTAGTATCACTGAAGATAGAAATATAAATATAATATTAGAGGTTATTTACTGATTATTTAGGGTAAATTGATGAAGAACAGAACCACACTGGAATGCCACAGATCACCTCTATGAAAGGAAATGAGAGCTCATAGCACATGAACTTATATTATTGTGTAGTTTGACAATTGATGGTTTGGTGCAATATTGATTCGCTTTAATGGTTTTATCCTTTTATTGCTAATTTATTCCTGTTTGTAAGTTTTTGTGTGCAGTTTTAATGTGAATTATCAAGTAGGACAGTTTCCTATATTAAATCGAACTGGAAAAGGGAATTTTAACATAATTCACTCACCATTTTCTATTGTCAAACCTCAGTTTCTTGCTTTTAGAAAAACCAAAATGTTTTTTCTTTGGAATGATAGTCAGTTATCATCTTAATCTAAAGGTTTTTGCACTGACCATGTTCATTTTGTATGATGTATAATGTATATACAGATATATATATATATATTTAAGTTTTCATTACTTCAAATCACTACTACAATTTATCCAAAACATCTATTTAATTAGAAGGTTAATTAACAATATTTATATTTGTAGGAAGTGCTTAGCTAGTAAAGCTTATGCCAAGAATAAAATCGCTAGTTTACTGCCAAAAATAATACATTCAAAGAAAAAAACTTATCAGATAAAAAAGTCACTCATCTAAAATCACAGTAAAGGTTGCATTGTATTGGACGCAAAAGGACTGACCAGTGTTCAATGAATTGTACCGTATATACTGTATACGACATAACTAACCAGACATGTCCACATTTCAGATATGCGCGATAAAGATTTTTAGCAAATGATGTGATCAGGGAGGAAGTTTGCTATTGAATTTCCTGTGTTTTAGTGTACCAGTGTTACATATGTGCTGCACTGACTCACTTTGAGGTCCGACACTTTGTTTGAGTCCCTTTCCAAGAGAACATATATACTATATTTATTTATACATTTATTTTTTTGCTTTGTCAATAATTTATATCATGTAAGTCGAATTGATAGATGCTTAATGCAGCCATCGCTTATGTGTTGCTATTTTGTCTAGATATCTTCAAGGTAAAAGTATTTATTAATAAGCACCTGTATTGTCCTGGGGTAATGTGAAGAACTGCTTTTCCCATTCCTATCTTGTGATCACGTATGTGTTGCACAGAGAGAAAGAAAAAAAAAAAAGAAGTAAGAGAAAGACAACATTCCACAGTTAGTGCACTGCGGTTGTATTGCACAATCCAGAGCAGCTTTACATTAAGCCAGCCCTCTTCTAACACTAAGACAACCATCTTAATAACTGTTAATGCCTTTCTCATACTGTACACTTACTTTGCATAATGTACACAATATATAGTTGCTGACTGTACAAAGTTAGAAGAGCATCACCTTGTAAATACCTAGGTTAATGTTTGTGTTGAATGGTGTAATTGATGTAATTGCAAGTCAAAAAGAGTGTCTGCTAAACAGAAAGGTTGATGTTTTGACATTTCTATATTTTATGGTGGCTTTTCCTGAATGTGTATCAAATTCATGAGTGCTACTGTGTACAGATGTTGTATTATTTTGTGAATAAATAGTCTAAATTACTTTGTTCGCCTGTTTCCGAAATACAGTTAATAATAGGCCTACATCAGATTTACCAATGTGCATAAAACAGATGTCAATAATCAGTATATTTCTTTTGGACTGTATTTTCGAATAAATAGTTCGAAAGTACGACCCCTACAAATCAGGTTAGCAAAGGGAGAAGTGGATATTCAAATTAGGCAGGTTCATTTGCATCCGTTTGCGACAGTACGACTAACCTATCATAATCAAAGGTGACATTTGAAGCCAATCAGATCACTCTAATAATGCGTTGGGCGCCGCGTTGCATTCTGGGATGCGGCGGCCATGTTGACAGCTTCGCATGTCCAACGAGGAGAAGCAGCTGAGTTGGGAGAAAGAAAATTAAAAAAGATGTTAAAAATCCCTAAAAGGATACTGAATTTACCGGGATACGTTAAATATGGAAACCAGGGATCGGTATGTAGTGATGGGCAGATCGAGGCTTTGTGAAGCAATGAAACAGTTAAAGCAAATGTGCTATATTGTTTCGAGGCTTCGAATCAATCCGACAACCGTCTCCATGGTGACACCTAGTGGTCAATTGCAGGTGTTTATCTGAAACAACCTTTACAACAATGTGTTTTTTTATTATTGTATTTTTTAAATATATGATGCTTGTAACCTGTAGTCTCTTCACATTGCATAATATTATTTTGGTCATGAAAAATTAATATTAATAAAACAAATCAAGCCACTATGTCTCACTTTCTTATAGATTTTTATTTAAAAATTTTAATTTCTCTTCTGTTCTTTCTATTAATCTGTCTATATTGTGCACACAGAATCCCTATTCTTAAAGTCTTGTGCTGTTTTATGAAGGCAAAAAGCCATATAATGGTTTCGATTTTAGTTCATTGGCAAAATATAACGCTAGAGACAATAAATATATATACACCCACACATATGTATGTGTATGTATTTATGTATATGTATGGGGAAAAGGGGGTCTTTTGAGCAAAAACAGGCCTGCCACGAATAGCTATAGTGGCGTAGATCGTAGAGCGCGTAGCTCTTGAAAGAGCAATTGATGTGCTCGGGTTCGAGCCTGGCTTTTGCCGAACATGAGATGTAAAAAGTATGAACTAACATTGTCTCTAGCGTTATATTTTGCCAATAAACTAAAATCGAAACCATTATATGGGTTTTTGCCTTCATAAAACAGCACAAGACTTTAAGAATATGCATTCTCTGTGCACTTTGCTCACGCGATCCTTCCTCGACCGACCTATCAATCAAACCCTGATTCGGCGAAGCCGATCCACCTGATGAAACACTTCATTTAGCCTTTGTCACGTGACCGTGGGTGTTTTGAATCACGCTTCGGATCAGTGTTTCGAATCATTTTTGCTTCGGGGTCTCGCAAAGCTTCGGAACGTCTGTTTCGCGTCAGCCATCCTTATCGGTATGTGGATAAAACGGCACTTTTAACGGGATGGATCCATTCGAAATTTCCAAGGAGCACATCAGTACGTTACACTAACTTAATCCGGACAAAGGTAAACTGCGCTCCACCTAGCTGCTAGTTTAGTAAAAGTTATAGTGCTAACAACCATTCACACATGTAACATTCTTTTAACTATGTTTCAAAAGTGTAGTTAGTAACGTTAGCTGTTTTAAGCAAAACTTTTTTTTATTTTCTTTATCCCAACCCTGCTGTTTCTCCTCGTTCGACTTGCTAGTACATGCGCGAATCTGCCAACATGGCCGCCAAGCCAGTAATGACGTCACGACGCCCAAGCCCTTTTAATCCTTCCCCTGGTTGACGACAGGTAAGAGAAATTTTTCAAAATGTATCAAAATCCAAATTATTGAAGGGTTATTATGACCTCTGTAGTCTCCCAGGATTCAAGATGTTCAAGTAAGTGGAAAACTATGGGATTAAAATCCTTGCATGATTCAAAACTGAAAATAAAGTTCTGAAAGGTTGAAACTAAATGAAAAGATTTTTTTGCATGTTCGAAAAATAAGATTTGCAAGCTTGCAAAATATAATAAAAAAAAAAAAAATCTGATAACGTTGTTTTTGAGTTTTCCTTCTTCAGAACTTCAACATTTTTTTACAGTGTTGTGCAAACAAATTTTCAGAACAGGTTTGAAACCTTGCAAATGGTGATCTGAAAACTGGTGTGCGAATGTGTAAAAAAAAGTTTTGTAACTCTGAAAACAGAGTTTTGCAGACTTGAAAAGGGGTTAAAAAAATAAAATAAAAATCTCTGCGAACATTTAGTTTCAACCTTTCAGAACTTTATTTTCAGTTTTGAATCATGGAAGGATTTTAATCCCATAGAAAACCACTTTTTTTACAGTGTTGTTTTTAAGCCAGTGATCTTCATGTGCTCCAATGATGAGAAAACTTTTGTAAATAGTGAAAAAAAACATTAATAAATAGTGGATTTTAATTAACAATAAACTCTCCAGGTACCAATAAATATAACAATATAACTTAAAGTCGTATTATTTGAATTAGAGGAATGCCGTTCTACATAATGGTTTGATATATAATCCATCCCAAATAAATAAAATGGTATCATCATAATACCACCAGTAGGCCTAGGCCTACTAGACCCAATTTGATTGTGGGTGCGTGTGTGTGATGCATTCATTATGCTGCTAACACACTTTACATTCGATTTCGAGCTTTTGTCGCTGCATATTTATGCATGTGTTGGCCTATGACACAATCTTCCAACTTTTGCATATTCTATAGTACATTACATATCTTCTCATTTGCATTACAATTAAGCTTTATCCAATGTAACATCCTGAATATTACACAGGCTTTATGAGGTGATAGCATTTTTTACAGTCTATGGGTGACTGACAGTCTTTAAATTTGACAGTGGAATGTTAAGTGATTCATAAAAGGAACATTAGATGGCAGCAAAGTTGAAGTAGTCTCCATAGCCCGCTTCACGCATGTATTTCTCCATGTCCAGCGGCTCAGACACTCGCAGCACTGCCTGATCATTGGCGCTTCTCTCTCCTGATTGGAGCTTTCTGATCAGCTCAGCCAATAAGACTCGCTTCTTTGGTTTCCACCGACAGCAGGACTGTATAATAGAATATCTAGAGAACAAATGTAACTTTGTTAGTTCATATTATTGCGGCCATCAGAATAAAATAGATTAGTGTTGACTAATAAGTTTACAGTTTAGACGGTGTCTGATCACATAGTTGTCCTTTACTATAGAAAATATTGCTCAGAAGTTGTTTTTATAGTGAGTTCCTCCTACGCTATCTCACAACCAATGGGCTCTATGCACGGTGTTATTTCCGGTGAAGGATTAAGGATGCTCGATAACTTCCGCCGATCATAGAGTCCAATGCAATACCGAGAATTTATATTGAATTTTATACTCCATGGTTATACTAAAGAAACGTTAGTCACAAAAACAGATAAAACAGACACCCCTCGTTGTGTTTATGCTTCTTTTTAAAGTTATATTAAATAAACATAACTATATATAAAATTACATCTAAACGTATGTACGTTTCGTTTCAAAGACGGGAGGACAGTAAATATTGAAGACTCTGCCATAATCCCGTTTTCTCCGGTTTTCCTCCGCTTTAATCTACACAACCGGAAATGGACGAGCATCCTTACGTCAAATGCGGAACTTATGCGTGCATATAGCCCATTCGCACAAATTCGTATGAGTGATTAAAAAGTGGCTAATTCATACGACCTCACTCGTACGAATTCGTACGATTTGTCCAAACCCACGTGATGGGTAGGTTTAGGGGCGGGGTCAGGGGTAGGTCATTCGTACGAATTCATACGAATCGGCCAATTCGTAAAATATGTACGATTTAGCAAAAATCGTACTGATTTGTACGAGTGAGGTCGTACGAATTGTTACAAATTAGCCACCTCGTAAAATTCGTACGAATTCTCGTGAGATCAGGTTGGTTCCTCTCATGAGACCTAAAGAGATAGTTCACCCAAAAAGTACAATTCTGTCGTCATTTACTCACCCCCAAGTTGTTCCAAACCTGTATGAATTTCTTTCTTCTGCTAAACTCGAAGTAAGATATTTTAAACAAAGTCGGTAACCAACCAGTTGATTGGCCCCAATTGACTTCCACTGTCACCCCCCCCCCCTCCATAGGCTACTATGGAAGTCATTGGGCCCCATTAACTGTCTGTTAGGTTACCCGTATTCTTTAAAATAATTATCTCTCTCTTTATTAGAATTATCTCTGTCTTTTGTGTTCAGCAGAAGAAAGAAATTCACACAGGTTTGGAACAACTTGGGGGTGAGTAAATGATGACAGAATTGTACTTTTTGGGTGAACTATCCCTTTAATAAAGAAGTTTGTTTTAGATGTTTAGTCCTGAAATGTCTTTGGAGAAATGTATCTGAAAATGACACAATTGTTAACATATACAGTATATTTGTATGGAGCAACAAAATGGGCCATTAATTTGGGAATTTGATGAGAAATGTTTGAGTTCATGACTTTTAATATCAGACTTTGGGAGGCATTATTGAGATTTCTTCTTAAACTCTAGAGTTTAAGGTATCTGTTTGTGCGTGACTATAGTATAAAAGATCGATCCTATAGAATATAATGATAATACTAATTAAAATAATCATGTTCTTTTTGGGGTAGTGTTTGCATGCTTAGGATGAGTCGTATTTATAATTAGCTTTATCTAAAAACAGTAGAAGTCTATGGTAGAACCATACACTTTTCACATAAAACTGTTTGTGTGAGGATGAAGTCACGTACAGTGTATTGGAGCAGTTGGGGGGTTTGGTTATCGTGTTTTCTCTCTGTAAATGCTGCAGAAGTTCGCTGGCCATGACGTTGGGGAAGGGAGGATCTCCTGAGTTTAGAAACAAAGAGGTAAAAAAAAGCTTTACACCAATTTGGTCTTTTTTTCCATAGAAGTGGAACCCAACTACAACCATGAAGCTGTAGCTTTCTCTATTAATAAAAGTGATTTTTGTCTTATTAGACAGGCACACTCACCTAAAGTCACCATCTCATAGAGCAAAATGCCAAAGGACCATCTATGGAGGATTGCATAGAAATGAATACAATGTAAAGATAAAAATTGACAGAGAAACATTGATTGAGAAAACATTGACTGAAAGTAAACTCACATGTCACTGCTTTGCTGGAGAGGTTGCTGTCCCAACACCTCTGGTGCTTGCCACTTTCTCATTTCCATATCTTCCACAGTTTTTGCACTCATTTGCCTGCGATACGCCGGACCCAAACCCCACAGCTTGACCGACAGGTCTTGACCAACCAGGACACTTCGAGCCCTCACATTGCCATGGACGTAATTCTTACTATGCAGGTACTCCTGGAATATCAAGACCGGTTGTGTCAGAACAAGAACATTTGATCTTGGGTGTGACACTTTATTTATTTTACCTTGTAAAATCATAAATGCTCCATTGCTCATGACTGCCCATGATTAATGCATGCCAGAGTCAAACAAAGTAAGGGCTCGTTTTGATTTATGAAGTTGACAGTATAAGCTGCATGCATTGAGTGGCTCATAAAAACTCTCCGTTCATGCTTCTATACATTGGCAGGCTTTCATGATTTAAGTGAATTGTCAATATGATTGTATATCTCTTGCAAGCTGATTTGTTATCTAACCAGAGCAGATGCAATCTGAGCGCCCATGGTAAAGATTCGTTTTTCAGTCATGTCACACGGTGCTGCCTGACCTGTGTGGTCCTGTGAAAGAGAGTTGCAGTCAGTCAAAACAAAGGTGAGGTTTAAACTTACAGTTTGACTTTATATCAATTCATTACAAATGAGATCATTGGTAATGACACAACCTCTACATCATTCATTCGCAGGTCACCGCTTGCTCAAATAACTGATCAATGCATTCAGAGAGTTTGTCAATATTTTGCAGTAATTGCAAGACATGTCATGTTTATATCATTGAGGTAATTTATAGTTTGGGGTCGGTATAATTTTTTAAAATATTTTTAAAAGAAGTCTCTTATGCTCACCAAGGTATTTATTTTATTAAAAATACAGTAAAAACAGTAATATTTTGAAATATTATTATATTTAAAAAAAAAAACTTTTTTTGTCTATTTTAATACATTTTAAAATGTAATTTTTAAAATGTGATGGAAAAGCATCATTACTCCAATCTTCAGTGTCTCATGATCCTTCAGAAATATTTCTAATATGCTGATTTGGTGCTCAAGAAACATTTCTTATTACCAATACTGAAAACAGTTTAGCCGTTTTTTAACTGTTGATGCTAATATATATGCATGTATATAAATGTGTTTATGAATTTTGTGTACAATTTTAAATGACTGTCACTTTTGATCAATTTAATGCATCCTTGTTGAGTAAAATTATTTATCTTGCTGAGTCTGACCCTAAACTTTTGTACAGTAGTGTAAATTTTATATATTTATTTATATATAAAATGTGTCTATAAAGATTCTGCGCTAACAGACATGAATTAAAAGCCGCAAAACAATTAAATAATTTCAAATATTATAAATATACAAGCATTTAAAAAAAAACTTAATTATTATTTAATTATCAAATGAAATCAAAACCTTATTCTTTCTTTTCTTGGAAAACAGATCTCATCTAGCATTTTTGTCTAATAAAATTAACTCTAGGATAAGAATATTCCTTCCGCAATACCATTTGGGTCTACACCCGAGTTCCCTTTTCAAAAGGAAATATGTCAAACAGGAAAGAAACCCAAACTTGTTAAGCCAGTTTATGACATATTTAGCCATCTGAAATCTAGTTTTTCAAGACTAAAAATGCAGCATCACTCTTGAGTCTGTACCTGTCTGCACCTCCACAGGAAGCTCAGCAGGTCTCCGTGTTCCAGCTGCTCTACCACTATTGTCAAGGGTGTCTCCACCCCCAGTACTTTAGGCAGCGATGGATGCGATCCCAACTCTGAAAGGAAGTGGGAAAACCCCAGAAAAGACTGGAGCTCTCTGGTATTCGCTGATTCTGTTTGGGGAAAATTGGAGTAGAAAGTAAGATTGTTCACTTTATGAAGTGCAATACATAATCTATCTATCTATCTATCTATCTATCTATCTATCTATCTATCTATCTATCTATCTATCTATCTATCTATCTATCTATCGATCGTCTTGCCTTTCTATCCCTCCATTCTGCATCCTTTTAGAGAATCAAACCAGCAACATTCTAAACATAGTGAGCATCGATGCTCCCTGGTTTTCATGGTGCATTGTGGGACTTTTTTCAAGGAGTGAATCTTTCAGTTCACTGGAAGGATTTTGCAATCGAGACAGTCCTTAAAATGACCGACCCCATGATCAGTGGCCTGACTACTCTACTAGGTGATTTGATTTGACTAGATGATTGAGACTATAAGTAAAAAAAAAAAAAAAAAAAAAAATTCTGATCTAAAGGTCAGATCAGAAAGATATACCTGGACAACTAATAAAAATTATATCAAATATAAAATGACTAAAACCTAAACTTAAATTGAAATGAAAACTAAAAATATGAATCCATACTATAATAGTTTATAAATGATATTAGAATAGCACTGATCCAACGTTACCTTTAAGCATTCGTAAAATGACTGGCTGGCTGTCCATGACAGCTCTGTGCAAAGTGAAGTCGTCCTGTTTCACTGAGAAGGTGGGGGCGAGTGGAGACACCATCTGGAAGGTGCCCGGATGCCTCACAGTGGTGTCCTGAGGTACTGCAGGCTGGGGATTCTGCATGTCAGGGTGAGGTTGGGCTGTCATGGGAATAATCTCATGTTCCATTGGGTTTAGCTCAGCCGGAGCTGTTGTTGCAAAGTAAATCAAAAGTTTAAGAGATGAAAAAATTCAAAGATTTTGGTGTATATTAAGACTTGTGTATATAAACAGTTTGATAATTAACGAACTAGATAATCTAATAATAAACATTGCGATCACTCATAAAGGGAAAGCCCTTTACATAAAAATAGGGTTCATGCATGGTCAGGAAGGCTTATAAATAAACATTGCAATCATGCATGAAACTGAAGACCTTTAAATAAACAGAATACAACAACTTGAGTAGTTGGTGTGTGTAACAAAGTCAGATGCCGTAGCTACCATCAATGCCTTGCAGGTGCCGTCTGTTGCTGTTACGGTGACTGTATGTGTTAAAATGGTGTTGTGTGTCATCTTTTTCATTGCTGTGGTGTCCATAAAGTTGTGATGGCTTATGGGAGCATTTGAGCACAAATATAATTATCAGCGTGGCAAGAAAGACCACGAGAAATAGCACTGGAATGACGATCAGTTCCACTTCATAATAAAGTACCTCTGCAAGGAAAATAGAGGCACAATGAGATTAGAAAGCTGGATTTTTTTTGTGTGTGTGTTGTGTACTGGCATGTTTTGGTCACAGATAGAGTTGAGGGTGTGTCATGTAAGTGGTCACCTTGATCACCCTATCAAACTTGATTGCTCAAGTCTTCTCCCACTTGCTCTTTACACCAATGACATTACAGTGATCTTTTTATGCATTTGGTGTTGATGAGTTTTCAAATCTCCAGTTTAAGGGTGTTTACACGACATCGATGTACTGCAGTGATGAACAGTGGGGCCAAAAAGTATTTAGTCAGCCACTGATTGTGCAAGTTCTCCTACTTAGAATGATGAGAGAGGAATTTTCATCGTAGGTACACTTTAACTATGAGAGACATAATGAAAAACAAAATTCAGGAAATCACACTGTAGGATTTTTAAAGAATGCATTTGTAAATTAATTAAATTATGGTGGGAAATAAGTATTTGATCAATAACAAAAGGTCAACTCAATACTTTGTAACATAACCTTTGTTGGCAATGACAGAGGTCAAACGTTTCCTGTAAGTCTTCACCAGGCTTGCACACACTGTAGCTGTTTTTTTGGCCCATTCCTCCATGCAGATCTCCTCTAGAGCAGTGATGTTTCGGGGCTGTTGCTGGGCAACACGGACTCCACAAATTTTCAGTGGGGTTGAGGTCTAGGCCACTCCAGGACCTTGAAATGCTTTTTACGGACTCACTCCTTCGTTGCCTGGGTGGCGTATTTGGGATCATTGTCATTCTGGAAGATCCAGCCATGTTTCATCTTCAAGGCTCTCACTGATGGAAGGAGGTTTTGGCTTAAAATCTCACGATACATGGCCCCGTTCATTCTTCCCTCAACACGGATCAGTTTTCCTGTCCCCTTTGCAGAAAAACAGCCCCAAAGCATGATGTTTACTCCCCCATGCTTCACAGTAGGTATGGTGTTCTTGGGAAGCAACTCTACATTCCTCTTCCTCCAAACACAAGTTGAGTTTTTACCAAAAAGTTCTATTTTGGTTTCATCTGACCACATGATATTCTCCCAATCCTCTTCTCGATCATCCATATGCTCTCTGGCAAACTTCAGACGGGCCTGGACATGTACGAGCCTGGCACTGCAGGATTTGAGTCCCTCTCGGTGTAGTGTGTTACTTATGGTAGCCTTTGTTACTTTGGTCCCAGCTCTCTGCAGATCATTCATCAGGTCCCTCCGTGTAGTTCTGGGATTTTTGCTCACCGTTCTCATGATAATTTTGACCCCACGGGTTGAGATCTTGCGTGGAGCCCCAGATCAAGGGAGATTATCGGTGGTCTTGTATGTCTTCCATTTTCTTACAATTGCTCCCACAGTTGATTTTTTTTTTTCACACCAAATTGCTTTCTTATTGTAGATTCACTCCTCCCAGCCTGGTGCAGGTCTACAATTTTCTTCCTGGTGTTCGACAGCTCTTTGGTCTTGGCCATGGTTGAGTTTGGAGTGTGACTGTTTGAGGCAGTGGGCAGGTTTCTTTTATACAGATAGCGGGTTCAAACAGGTGCCAATAATACAGGTAATGAGTGGAGGACATAAGAGCTTCTTAAAGAAGAAGTTACAGGTCTGTGAGAGCCAGAAATCTTGCTGGTTTGTGGGTGACCAAAGACTTTTTTTTTCCACCATAATTTGCAAATAAATTCTTTAAAAATCCTACAATGTGATTTCCTGGATTTTTTTTTTTTTCTTCTTATTTGGTCTTTCATAGTTGAAGTGTACCTATGATGAAAATTACAGACCTCTCTTATTATTCTGAGTAGGAGAACACACAATCAGTGGCTGACTAAATACTTTTTGGCCCCACTGCACTATAAAAAGAATTTTTTTTTTCTTTGTGATCCCTGTCAGCACAAATCCATGAAAACAAATAAAAACGCTGTATTATGCTGCCAGGCCAGTTGTTGGCAGGGACACTTTGTAAAGAAACACTACACACCGATAGATGGAACACATCGCTGTTTTCACAAATTCATGTTTTTGTAGTTTACACGGAGACAATAATGGTATCATTTTCAAAAACTTTGAAACCCATTTTGCAATTTTCAGGCCCCCAAAACACTGTTGTTGTGTAAATGAATGGGCAAAATGCATAAAAAGTTTCCCGCTTTTAGTTAAAAATGACATGGAAACGGACCCTAACTGTTGTGTACTTTTCCTTCTAAAGTGTTTGAAAACTCGGAAGCAAAGACCAGGAGACTCGAATCGGCAGTATCTTTTTTTAAGCGGGGTTCTTTATTGCTGTTGCATCGTTGTAGTCTGCTTCGTCCCAAAAATCTTAGCCAAGTCTAAACTAAACTAAAATACAGACTGTTTAAACAAAGCATGCAAATGAGGCATAGGATTCAGCTTGTTACCGGAAATTCCCCAGCCCTGATATCATCAGCATAGCAGTTATTCAGAGCCTTGCGATGCTAATCCAATCAGCCTGACTAGATTGCTCAAACCTTAACATTATCATATGCCCCTTTTCCACCAAAGCATTTTGAAAGCCGGTTCGAGCCGGTGCCTACTCGTGAACCAGTTCTTTGTGTTTCGGCAGCCAAAGAACCGGTTCTCCAAAGCGGCACCAACTAGAACTTTGCTGGACTAGAACCAGAGAACCGTTCTTTTACCACGTCACCCTTACGTCGGAGGCTGGGTGACCAACAACACGACGGGAAAGGTTGTGACCGCCATTGCTAAAAACACAGTGCTAGTAGAAAGATAGGCTGACCCCAAAACAGGATAGCAAAGCCAGGAGAAACATTTGCAGAAAGACGATATAGTCCGCCACTGTAATTGTTATGCTTAAAGTTGTCGCAAGCGTTTCTGAGAAAAGCTAAGACATATGGCGACGTACACAGTGATGTAATGACGTCATTCGCTGGGCTCTCTAGTCAGTGCAAAAACAAACAGGTTCTGAGAAGTGTCGCAAGTTGAACCAACTTTGAACCAGCACCAGTTCCGAACCTTTTATTTTTTGGTGGAAAAGGGGTAATAGAGACAATCAGTCAGGGCCCTTTGTAAAAGATTGCTGTGACACATAGGGCCTTATCTTGCATACAAAACTTACGCATGTATCATTCCTATTTTGCAGCCGCGCAAAGCTGGCTTTTTTCCTCCAAAGACACACGTCGATAAACTAGGAAATGAGCATGCGCTCCCTGGGCGGATCGGCGCCAAAAAAGAGGTGTGTTTTGACGCAAACATTCCCTAGTGCTATTTTGTAGTTCCAGAAAACAATTGCGCCACTGTTCATAATGCTATTTTAAGTGTGCATGCTTGGCCATAATGTAGAGAGTGCACAACGTGCATACCCTTAGATTCTTGTTGCATTATAACAAGGAAAAATATTAACACACGAGGGAAATAATTTTGGCTTACATGAAGATTGCATTGGATGACTCTCTGATTGGTTTATTTCACGTTACGCCCAAACCACACCTATGAATAATGAGGCTACTTCAGACTAACCCCTTTTAAACTTGCGCCCAGCGCAAGAGTCATTTATCCCATCGGTAAAATAGCAACAGTGCCCAAGACCCGCCCACAAAGTTACTTCGCGCTTGATACTTGCGTTTAAGATCGTTAAAATAGGGCCCATAGGGTACATCAACATTTAGATTACAACCATGTACTCAATACAGATACATTTTTTCCTTTGCGTCTTTCACGTACAGACAACAACATTGTCAAAACAATCCCCTTTCACATGCATTTGCGAAAACGATGCAACTATGCGGCTATAGGCTGAACACGTGATACCAGAGGTGTTAAGTCCAGGTTCAGAAAGTAAAGGAATTTACACCTCTGCGTAATACGCATGCACATGACGTGACGTCACTGTTTTCTCAAATTTGAAAAAAGGAAAATTCTGTTTATTTCTTAGGAATACTTAGTCCGTGTGACTACAGCGGTTAAAGGTGCCATCTGTAAAAATTGAGGTTAAAATATCCCAAAAATGAGCAACACGCATCAAAAGATAGAGGAGAAATAAGGTTGATGATGTCATTAAAAAACTGACAAGTTATAGTGCTGCCGAGATATTAACCTGAATTAACATGCTAAATTACTAGCCCCGGCCCGGCAGGTGTCGTAATACCAGTTTCGACCATGGGAGGCGGTATGCGGGCGGGCAACGTTACCACCAGCCAAACTGCAGTACACGAGTAAGTCGCGCTCGCGCCAGCTTGTGTGTACTTGAACCTGACGTCAGTCGTGTGGAAAATACAGCCCACTACTACATTTCAGTTCAGGGAAGAGTTAAAAAAAAATGATTGGTCGATATTATGCATGAGGAATACATTTTGGTAAGTTGTAGCATACTGTATCTTTCAACAGTGTTCGTGTTCTTTTACCATTAGCTAGTAGAGACGATCGGTTCACGTGCGCTAGGGATCTGTCGTGTAAAGCGCCAATACTGTATTTTTTATTGTTTGAATTGCGTAATAAAATGAACAGAATCTGAGAGCTGACATCGGTCTCCGTGTCCTTTTCTGTGCATAACAAAATTGATGTGTGGCGTGAGAGTGTGTGAAAAGTGTTGTGAGAGTTGGCAGCTCTGAAAGACGCTAGCTTGGTCCACATCAGGGAATTGCTGTCTGTCAAATTAATTCAAACTAATGATAAAAATGTAATATGAACAAATCGAATATCATAAAACTAGAAATAATAGCCTGGGCTTTAATTTTCCCATATCGTCGAAATGCACCGACTTGTCTATGAGACGGCACTTATAATTTAGTATTGAGATGTTGTTCATTAAGTCTCTAATCTCTGAAAATCTCCAAATGCTCCACGTGAAACTGCGGTCTTCCAACCTTTTACTATCGCGTCAATTGATTTGATTAATATGCACGAGGGAGACAGAGCAACACTGCACTCGCCCATATTGTTTGAAGACATGAGAGAGCGCGTGGCCGTGGAGGTATTTCTGGAGGTATACTGCCCCCATCTGGTATGGAACATGTTGTATGATTTGATTTTAAATCCCATTTGGCACCTTTAAACCTTAATTTTATGAAGTGACGAGAATACTTTTTGTGCTCCAAAATGACGACTTTATTCAACAATTTCTTCTCGTTTGAGTCAGTGTCCTATGCAATTTACGTTGTAAATACAGTGCAGCGCTTCCGGTTTCTAGGTCAGATTGTCGATTGTGCCACCATCTTATGTACAATTCCATTGGCCCTTTTTCTACAACACAGAAGTGATTGGGGCTCCCAATTTGGTTGAGACCCCATTTGTCAGTTGACATAACATCTCAGTTCCCTCCATCAGGGAACCAGGGTTACATCCGTAACCAAGACATTACTGTTACTTGTGATCAATTTAATGCACCCTTGCTACATATTTTCTTTAAATGACACTAAACTAACTTTTGAATGGTAGTGTACAGAGAGAAACTAAAACTAAGAAATTGCACCTAGCACATCACTTACCACAGAGAGAGCCTGGTATGCATGGATATGTTGTGTTGGTTGAAATAGACATTCTATAAAAAGGGAAAAAAAATATCACCAACATTAATGAGATATAGCAAAGCACCAACTTCAAAACACTAAACTGACATCCAGCAATTCAAGTGCAACACTATTCAATGCATAGCTTATGGGTTTTATTAGTGTAAGGATAACATTTGGTATAATCATGCAGTACATGTCTGCAATTTGGCAGCTCTCTTTGAAAGACATAAAACTAGACTGTAAATGTTCGACATTGATTAACCATGTGGTTTGATGCATGTTTCGCAGAAAATGTTATGCATTGCTAGTGTGTATATATTGTGAGCAAGTCATTTGTATGTTTTCACAATGTTTTTTTAATATAAGTTTTAAAGCTAAATTTGGTTAATTTGTGCATATCTGACATTTATTCAGCAGTTATGCAGTTATTTGAACATCTAAATATTTGTTAGAAATAAATCATGAGATAGCTTTTGCCTCTATAAATAACACTGGCATTTACAAAAATACGATCAACACTGGTCTTTACAACAATGAAATTTGTGATCCATAAAAGCTTCAAAGATAAAACTGCAGACACATGCAGAACACCAATGTACTGTACCTGTACAGTTTTTTTTAAATAAAAAAACATTGTGATAAGGGCATGCCTTGCACTTTTACTCTTTATCATACTTTGTCAGAACATACTTTCTGTGGCATTTCAGCTTGTGTATGAGACTACCAAACTGCCACACAACCTGTTCCTCTGCATTACTGCGTTTACATCATAGGCGCACCACAAAGTCTATCACATACAAAAGTGAATGTGAGCTCAGGATAAAGTGGATTTCAATTCTTGGTTTAACTGGACTAAACCAGTGAAAATGTAGATAAGCTTAATTTACAGACTAGTCAATCCTCAAAACTCAAAACTTTTGAGTGTTAAATGTTTTCACACATATATAATTGAGTATATTGTTATATAATTTATGCATACACAACACAACGGAACACAACAATGAACTTACATGTCATCGCTGTGTGTGAAGAATAATGGAACTATTTCTCATTTTCCAAACTTGGTAAGTTTTCTTCTTGTCTGAGGCTGTTTTTGTCGTGTTTTATTCCCAAAGTATCATTTTCTCTGTCCTACTGTGTGTCTTCATGTTCTGCAAGTGCTGTTCATCTTACTGTGAGTCAATTGCTTACATTTTTGTTGCCATACCCACACCCTACAGCTGTTTCTGTAAGCTCCGCCTTCACCTGAGTTTCTGCCTTCCATCACTGTATCATAGACAGCTTATGAAATGGTATCTTGTAAAATGTTTAGAACTATTGTTTTTACTAAAACCGTTTTTTAACTATTGTGGGACAGTATGATTTATTTCAATGAATGTTTACATACACTTGCTAGTAAATTTCACAATTATTTACAAAGTTACGACAAGTAGCACATTGAATTAAATCTATAATTCTGAATTAGAAATACTGAAATAGTATTTTCTTTTCAAACGTACTACAAATTTTTACGGCGTACTACTATTGTCACAAAATATTTTCATTCTCATGGAATTTTATTGTGCTTATCATTAGTTTCTGTTATATAATATGAAGATTCAAAGATGATGAAGAGTCAGACAGTTCCCTTTCGAGGGAACATCGAGCTGCATTTGAGACGCGGTGGGAACGCTCTGCATGATTACGTCGTGAAGCACATGTAAAATCAGTCCAATGGAAGGCCAAACGTCACAGGTGACGTCATAGACCAGGGAACAATAAAGCACCAATGAATTCAGACCGCGACAGCTTCCGCACCTTCAGCAAGCACTCTCTGCGAAATCTGTCCTTGTCTATTTATTGTTGGTGGCAGTGTTGGGGAAGCTACTCTGAAACTGTAGTTTGACAAGCTACAAGCTACTCGTACGTTAAAGTAGTTAAACTACAGTCAAGTTACCCTTTTGGAAAAGTAGCTAGCTACACTACAAGTTACTATCAAAAAATAGCTAGCTACGTTGAAACTACTTTTGCTTTTTGAACAACATATTATAAATATTATACATATTATTATTATAACATGCTATAAATTATATATTATAAATAACTGAATAAGTGTCTGATGAATGTTTTAATTAAAATATTTAGTGTTTAAAACAATGCAATACAATTATGATTTCATAGAGTATTGTTTTATTACACACAACACTCAAATATCGCAGACTGTTTGCCAAAAGTGCAAAATTGCAACAAATAGCCTACAACATTGCAAGAACTAAATATACATTCAACATAAATTGCATTTAGAACATTTTCTCAAAAATACCGATTGAACTTGGACAAATAAGGCCATGGGTAATTAACTTTAGTTGTTTCTCCATCATCCAAATCTGCCGTCACCTCTGGCTCCATCATAATCATAATATGGGTGTGTCACTGTCAATCCACTTCTTTACGTCAGTGAACCGTTAGCTGCAAGACGCGTGATTAAACAACAGGTGGCGGTAATGGCAAAAAATGAGTTTGTAATCTAACAAGATGAAGAATATCCTTGCATCGGGCTGATTCGCGCAGGCTCGACAAACGCAATGTAGCTTTTGCTCGCGCTACACCGCTACTTGCTGCAAAAAGTAGTTAGCTACTGGAAAAGCTACACTGTTTAAAAAGCAACTGAGCTACAGCCAAGCTACTGAAAAGTGTAGTTAAGTTAGTAGTGTTGCTACTTGTAGTTAACTACTCCCCAACACTGGTTGGTGGGTAAAGCGTATTCGGCAGCAGGTCAGGCCGCGGCATGCTTACTGATGTCAATTCTCCAACCATACCAGGCTGACCTGCTGAGGGACATCGAGGTGTCAGAGTCCCTGTGCAATCCTCTGAGGAGGGTTGTAGAAAGGTCAGTTTGGTTGTTCCCTGCCGGTTTGCTGCTTCAGGGCACCGAAATGATTGTTCAATAAAATCCACTGGCCAGTCTCGAGAGGCTAGTTCCCTTATCAGAATTTCTGGCATCGTGGAAACTTCTGCCAAATATTTCTATATGGGCCCTGCACATAATAGAAAAGGGTTACAGAGTTCAGTTCAGTTCTCGTCCGCCCAGATTTCAAGGGGTCCTCCCTACAGTAGTGGACTCACAGCAGGCTCTGGTTATGGAGCAGGAAGTACTGACATTTTTTCAAAAAGGGGCTTTAGAAAGGGTTTCTCCTCCCAGCAGAGAGTCAGGGTTTTACAGCCGTTACTTCATTGTTCCAAAGAAGGATGGAGGGTTGCGTCCTATTCTAGATCTGTGCCATTTAAACAGCAGAGTTCAGAAACTCAAGTTCAGAATCCTTACACTCAAACAGATTGTATCACAGATTCAGTCCGAGCACTGCTTTGTCACAATAGACTAGAAAGATGCATACTTCCTTGTATCTATCCATTCTCATAACAGGAAGTTCCTGAGGTTTGCTTTCGGGTGTGAAGCATACCAGTAATGGGTTCTTCCGTTTGGCCCAGGTTTATCACCTCGCACCTTTACAAAATGCGCGGATGCAACTCTGGCTCCTTTGAAAGTCCAGGGACATTCGCATATTAAATTACATTGACAATTGGTTGATTTTAGCTCAGTCAGAGCGACAACAAAAAGAGTGTGCTCCTCCCTGCTCAGAGGACCACTTTTCTAGGTGTAATTTGGGATTCGACCACAATGTAGGCACGTCTGTCTCCTGCACCCAATATCTATGCTTCCGGGGGTTCTGGAGAGGGTTAGCCGGGAAGGGGCTCATCTGCTACTAGTAGCCCCTTACTGGCTGACTTGAGTTTTGTTCTCGTACTTAGTGTCTCTTCTGGACGGCTCTTCCATGGAGATTCCGCTCAGGAGGGACCTGCTGTCCCAGGCGGGGGGCACGATAGAATCCGGTCTCTCGACTGAGGTCGTTGAGACCATTCTCCATCCCAGAGCTCCTTCCACGAAAAGCCTTTATGCATTGAAATGGAACTTATTCTCCACCTAGTGTAGTGAACGTCATTTAGATCCCATTAACTGCCCTGTTGGTTCAGTTCTTGATTTCTTACAAGACCATTTCTTTGCTAGGTTACCTCCTTCCACCCTAAAGGTTTACGTAGCAGCTATATCTGCCTACCACATCCCTCTGGGGGGTATTTCTATCGGGAGAGATCCTCTTATTACTCGTTTTCTCCGTGGTACATTGAGGTTGAGACCTGCACTGAACTCTAGAGCACCGGTTTGGGATTTGGCCATTGTAATTGAGGGTCTGGCTTTGGCTCCCTTCGAGCCCATTGAAGAGGTTTCAGAGAAATTCCTCACTCTATTTCGTCAATCAAAAGAATTGGAGATTTGCATGCCCTGTCGGCTGCTCCCTCATTTCTGGAATTTGCACCTGGTATGGTGAAGGCATTCCTATACCCTAGACTGGGTTATATTCCTAACATCCCAGGTAATGTTGGTGGCCCAATTGTGCTGCAAGCCTTTTTTCATCCACCTTTTAATATCCCAGATCAGGAACAACCTGTTATATCAAGTTCGGGCATTAGATGCCTACGTTCACAGAGAAAATATTTGTCTGCTTTGGATCACTCAAGAGAAGGTGCCCTGCATCTAAACAGGTGATGAGCAAATGGATAGTCGAGGCTATATCATTGGCTTATGAAGCGGCCGGTCAGGCTTCACCTGTGACTGTACGGGCCCATTCTATGAGGAGTATGGCGGCCTCTACGGCCTTAATTTCAGTTCCTTAGTTTCCCTTCTTGATATCTGTAATGCGGCAGGATGGTCCTCTCCCCACTCCACTCCAGGGGCGAGGTTGCTTGCTTCTTAGTGTGTGCAAGGACTTTCACAAAGAATGGGCATTTGTCACTATGGCTTAGTGGGTATGGGGTTCCCACCGCGTCTCAAACGCAGCTCGAAGTTCCCTTGAAAGGGAACGTCTCAGGTTACGTATGTAACCCTGGTTCCCAGATAGGGAACGAGATTCTGCGTTTATCTGCCATACTTCCTTCATGCCCTGATCGACTTGCTTCAGGTTTTTCAGAAGCTGTCGCGGTCTGAATTCAGGGGAGCTTTATAGTTTCCAGGTCTATGACGTCAGGGAACCAGGGTTACATACATAACCTGAGACATTTCCAAAAACGAAGTGATTTAATGATAAAATAAACTCCAGCCTATGAAACAGTGTGCTAGACACAAGCAATAACCGACTAACACGCAAAACGTGAACAAAGACAGCAAGAAATAACGATAAACTAAGGAGCTGTTTACACTAAATGTTTTCTACTAAAAACTAAACTACAAAAACGCAAATCTCTATAGACGATGACGTTGTGCACATGCTTATTATTCAGTCTATTGTGTTTCATCGCCATCTAATGGCCCGGCAGCAGTGTTTTTAGTAGTTTTCGCGAATCTATGTGAATGGGGATCATTTTGACAATGGTGTTGCCTACGTGGACACATGGTTTTTCAAAGGAAAAAACTTCTCAGTTTTAAACGTATCATTGTCGTGTAAACATATCCTAAAAGTCCATGAGAATGTAAGCTAAACTGACAGTTCGTGACAACTACATTTTTATGTTTGTGGCAGTATTTTTCATAACCATAACAATTGGATGCCAACAGTTTTATAAATGTTATACTCTTCTTGTCCTCTAATCCAGATTATTCAAAGCTAAAACTGTCTGCTTGTGTCATTAACTGTATTGCTTAATGTTCGTGTGAACATCACTAATGAAAATGGCAAATCGGAGATGACATTGGCCGATTTGGTCCTCCCTGTACTCCCCTCATCATGTTTCATGGGGGACGGGGAGTTCCCTCGGCTGCTCAAACCCTTACTGTGCCTCTTTCCAAATGAACAGGTGATCATAGTCTTAGTTTGTTGCCTGGGGTGACAGTATCGGACAGTATTAAACAAACCGGCCTCACTAATTAAGGGGTGGATGGGTTTAGTTTGGCATCTACGCTCTCTTTGTAACTCACAACCTCTACATACACCAACAAATGTACACGCCCAAAGCACATGCTCGTCCTCATGTACTGTATGCACACGGAGCTTACTTGGACTGCTGTGTTGCACCACATGAGAAGGTGTGTGAGAGGGAGATCTGTGCATGTGTAAAACAGGAAAGGAAGATCGAGCGAGAGAACTTGCGCGTGCCCTCTCTCCCGTCAGTCCGTGCCACCCCAGGGTGGGAATGCTAAGACAGACAGGCAGTTTATTTTTGGGTCAGTGACAGTGTGTCAATGGCTGCAGATGCGTCGCAAAGGAAGGCTCTGAGATACCAGCAGACCGTGGTCAGTCACCATCTCTGTCTCTGCTCTCTCTCTCACTCTCACTCTCTCTCGCTCACCTTTTCTTCTTTCTGGTTACTCTTTAGACAGTTGTGAATTGCTGTTCTTCTGTCATTTGAAATCATATGATCTCAAAGATGTTGCACAATCTCTGCATGACTTGTATGACTTGAGTCACTGTGCTGCTGCAGACCTCGCGGGAAAGTGAGGCTTTTTACTCAATCCCTCGTTTATCTGATGACGTCTGCAGTCTGTACTATCTTTTTTTTTTTTTTGTTCTTTCAATAAGTTTGACAAAAAGCCAGTCTATACTGTAGTGTGACTTCAATTATGCAAATTTTCTGTTAATCACTTTTTCTTAATTTCTGTTTTGAGATTGACTTTTAAATCATCTGAATAAAAGTATTACAATCGGGAAGAGTCTACTTTGCACGTTTTCTAAAAAGTAAAAAAAAAAAAAAAAATTGACCAAAACCATGATCAGTTTTATTTCATGTTTTAACATAGATGACAGATAGAAGATATAGAAATAGATTTATTTTTCAAAGATTTAAAGACTAATCGAAGAATCGCCCTCATATCCATAATTTAAGATTTTTGGAAGAAGTCAAAACAGTAATATTGTGAAATTTAAAATAAACTTTTCTATTTCAATATATTTTAATATATAATGTATTCCACGTAATCAAAGCTGAATTTTCAGCATCATTACTCCTGTCTTCAGTGTCACATGATCCATCCTAATGCTTAAGAAACATTTATTATTATTATCAATCTTGAAAACCTCTTGACATGACAACTCTCGGAGTGTTTGGCATGGTAATGGGTATGACAATGTTGATATATTTGGTCTTGGCAGAATAGATCTGCTACGCTACTGCTTCTGTTATTCCTGCTGCTGCTGCAGAGCAAGTACAGGACTACTGTGACACACTACTGTGAGCAAGTAAGACATGCTGTTGCTGTATAAAAATAGCATACATAATTCCACATCTATACAGGTGGAGCTGGGGAAGGTGGAGGGTGTCTGAAAGTGCGCTGCACACTTCTATAGCAAATGCTGACCAAGTTTGATCAGCGAGCTCATTGGCTAGTGATGCAGCAGGAAGTGAACCAATCAGCTGTGCCCTGTAGAGAAAGATGTGATTGCAAACAGATTGACTTAAGGACCTATACGCCTTTTGCCATCTACTGAACTTTATATCTGAGCTGCTATGGTGCTTTTTCGGAACTCTGATTAACTTGAAACAAATCCAATTTAATGCATCTTTGCTATACATTTGTTATTTATTTTAAATATATATTTTTTTAATCTTACTGATTAAATGACAGTGTAAGTGGAAACCTAATCATAAATTATAAATGTATTCCTTAATCCCAGCCTGTCATAGGAGGGCAGCAATGTGGTCCCTTGAGCTCCAACGGCTGGTGTGATTTCTGCTTTGACTGAAGGGGTGAAGAATTGAATGGGGGGGTTTTTAACGAGGTTGAACATTTGAGCATTTGAAATGGTGTTGGTCATAGATCTTGTTTAGAGTGGAATATAAATAAGGTAGTATTGCTTTCGTATGTAAGCAGTTAAGGTCATCTTTTGTGAGTCGCTGTGATTTATTGAGCAGTATGTAACATTGATTGAGTGAGCTAGAGGAAACGTGTAAATGTTCTGTCAGTACGCATATTTTGGGTTCAGGGTCACCAAGAGGGTATTTCACTCTGACAGGGATTTACACCAACAACAAATTCAACTTTAAGTAAATGAGAAGACATTATATGCAGCGACAACTAGTAAAGTGTAGACTTTGATCACGTGATATAGTTGGATGCTAGAAATGGCTGCTGTGCTGTAGCAACCAACATCACAGAAACGTCTCAAGCTGTTTATTCGCAGTCAGTGCAAGCAGGGCTTTAACCGTACGGTGATATGTTATTTTAGAGCACAGTTCTGGTTGTATTTTTTGATTTGCTGTTATATTGTCAAACTGAATCTCAATCGTTTCCGGTGTTTTTTTTTTTTTATTATTATTTTATTTCTTTTTAAATTTGAAAGGTTTTTTTTTTTTTATTCTTTTAATTTATGTTCAGATTGAATTTATTTCTTTTTTCCAATTTAGTTTTTAGTAATTTCCCAACATTTCATCTCATACTTACATTTTATTTTATTTCAGCTTCATTTCAATTACTAGAAAACATTTTAATAGTTTTAGTTAAAAATAACACTTCTTGTTTCACACGTGCGGCCATTCTTTTTTTAAATAATTTTTTCCAATTTTATTTCATTGCATTTTTACATTGCCGAAGTGTACATGTAGCAAAGTTAGCTGAATGAAAGAGTCTCGATAGAATGGCCAGGCATGTTGGGATATGTTGACAAGTGTGGTCATCACAGCATGGGAAGAACATCTATTTTAGAAGACCTTCAACAGAATTACATATGACTTTACATAACATCTGGTGATGACACCATGACAATTGCCTCAAAAGTCTTCCCATACAACCATCAATATGACCGAAAGCGCTTCCAACACACTCCAATTACTTGTAGATGTGTTCTTGGAACATATTACAATCTTTGATAGTGATTTACACACATGAATGTGAGAGCTGCACACATTGCCATTTGCTGTTAGTGCTCCAGTGCATGACAGTGTTGTCTGATAATAGGTTTCCAACTTTTCCTTGGGAGTCTTTGAGAAATAGATGAACAAATTGGAAGAAAGAAAGATCCACACAAAGGTGTATGGGGAAGTGTGACTGTGATCATTGGGTCACACCAAAGCTATTATTAACCCACCGGCTAGTATTACAGGCCTTGGGTAGTTCCAATCTATGGCGGACGGGGGGTCAGCAAGGGGGGTGTAGAAGGCCGGAGGTGTAGATGCAGACTGGGAAGGAGGGGGTGAAATATGGAGAAAGCAAGGGATAACATGTACTGTGGGAATGGGTGAAAGTAACTGGATAGATGCGTGGAATGAGAGCGAGAGAGATGTGTTACGAGGAAGAGAGATACACGATAAACCTATCATCTACATGGGCCCATTCCAAAGTCGAAAGTAAGCGCTTTAATTTAATAAAACTGCAAATGGTAACACATACAGAAACCAGTTTAATATCCTCTGAAAAATAATAAATCACAGAGGAATGGTTTTAAGCCAAATATGTTATAAATGTATAGCTTATTATATATTTCTAAAGTCACAAATTAGATTTTCGCCCAAAAATGAGCTTAGTTCACCCAAAAATGAATATTCTGTCATTAATTACTCGCCCTCATGTCGTTCCAAACCATCTTCGGGACACAAATTAAGATGTTTCTTTGATGAAATCCGAGAGGTTTCTGACCCCCATAGACTGCAACATCATTGCAACTTTCAAGGCCTAGAGCCCCAGTCAAAGTAATCCAAAATAGTCCATGTGACTCCAGTGGTTCAACCTTAATGTTATGAAGTGACAAGAATACTTTTTGTGGTCAAAAGCAACCAAAAAACACGACTTTATTTAACAATTTCTTCTCTAAGACGTCATTCAGAAACCTCTCGGGGGGTCAGAAAGCTCTCTTACGGGTTTGGAGCGACGTGAGGGTGAGTAATTAATGACAGAATTTTCATTTTTGTGTGAACTAACCCTTGTTTTAGTTGTAGCTGCAAGGTTAAATGGAGAGCAAATGGACTATATAATGTGTGTGTGGTACGTGAGATTTTTTTTTTCTCTTACCAAAGCATCATTAATTTAAATAACGTGTCCCTATTATGCTTTTTCGATATTACATAGTGTGTTATATAGCTGTTTGTGAATGTAAATGGTCTAAGGCCAAGGTGCATGATAAATTGAGTTACATCTCTCAAAATAAATAGTTTATTCTGAACTAGTCATCTGTAATTCCAGTCTTACTTCATGCACGAACCTACGTAGGTTTGTGACAAATTTGCATAATGCCAGCCTATTCTTTATTGGCTGCCCACAAAGAACATCTACTTTGACCCTCAGACACTGTAGTTGTAGCCCAGAAGAGTTTGGTTCATGTTGTTGTGTGTTGTTCTATTGTTCGCTGCAAATCCTCTTTGTATGCATGCACTTCCAAAGAATGGGAACTCGGGCTCGAAATGATACAGTAAACCCAACGCCATCCCTACTGTTCGTATTATTGTGCAAACAAGTGCTGAGGAAGAGCTGAAATTACACTGTAATTAAGCTGTAAAAAAGACAATACCATTAGAAGTGCCGAAGTGGCTGATCAAGCATGACAAGTTCTGCATGTTTATCAACTTTATTCAATTCAACCTTTATCTCATGTTTTTTTTACGTAGTCAACATATTTGATCAAGTTTAGTCTCAAGTTAGATGACTGTTGAAGTTTTTAGCACTTAACATCACATCGAACTTTCATTGTTTACTTGTGTGTGCGCGCCTGTGTGTGTTTTAGAAAAAGTGATGGGAATGAAGACAGGGCAAAAGTGTTTTCCAGATGTCTGAATCTTGTCCGGGTGATTAGCCTATAAATTTAAATATAGACCAGTGGACTTACTCGAAGCATATCAAGAAGATTTCCCTCTATTTTTGGACTCCCTCTCCTCTGTCGCCTTTCGGGTGTTGTTTTGAAGATGGGGGGAATGTCTTAGTATTTTTTTTTTTTTTTCTGAAGGAAAAAATGATTATGTGACCAAACTAAGGAATATTAAAAGCACACACAAATAGTTTGTACTTTGTTTGGACAAATTTGAAAGGATAACACAGTGGTTGTCTTGCATATCTGCACTGAAGAGCTTATGTGTTGGACTGGGAAATAATTTGAGGTAACACTTTACTTGAAGGGGTGTGCATAAGACTGGCATGACACCTTCATAATCATGACATGACATATGTCATAAATATGAAGTAGGGTTTATGCATGTTAATGACTTAACTGTCATTAAGTGTCTTTCGCTCATTGATTAAGATGTCTTCGTTACGACATCTTGACATAAACCATAACATCATAACCTGGCAGTGTCTTTGTAATGACATCTTGACATTAAATTAAGTTAAACTGTCATGTGGTTGGCTTTGACATTGGTTGTCATGAGGCCATTATAACTGTGTCATGAATATTTTACATGACCTCAACTACAGTGATACTAATTGAATTTGTCATTAAAATGTTATAATGGCTTCATGACAGCCAATGTCAAAACCAACCACCTGACAGTTTAATGTAATGTTAACCAATAAAGCTAGGTGGTTTCTTAAGTTTGATAATTAATCATGTCATGTTAATGACAGGTTGTGTTGTCTTAGTAATGTCATGTTGTCATGACAAAAACACTGACAGGTTATGATGTTATGGTTTATGTCAAGGTGTCATAACTAATCTCAAACAATGTCATATTTGCATTAAAAATGTCATAATTGAGCGACTGACACTTAATGACAGTTGTCATAAACATGCATAAAACTTGCTTCATATTCATAACATGTCATGTCATGATTATGAAGGTTTCATGTTATTTTTATTTACACTCCTTCAAGTAAAGTGTTTAATTTGACCTGGTAACTGTATCATTGTATATATTTTATTTTTCCATTTTAGCTTTAATGTTTTCGTATTTTTTTATGTGACGATATAATTTTTATTTAGGCTTTAGAAAATTCTGTCATTTACTCACCCTCAGGTTTTTCCAAACCTATAAAGCAGTTGATGGACCCCCTGACTTCCAAAGTTTTAAACACAAAACAATAGAAGTCAATGGGGCCCATCAACTGTTTAGTTACTGACATTCTACTAAATATCTTCTTCTGTGTTCAGCAGAAAAAAAGAAATGAATACAGGTTTGGAACAACTTGAGGGTGAATAAATGACAGAATTTTTGTTGCCTACTGAATTTTCATTTTTGGGTCAACTATCCCTTTAACTATATTAACCCTACTGAAAGGGCATCCAAACCTTGCAAAAGGCAATCTGTGAGTCTGTTTCAATATAGTGCCAGTTTCGGTTGATTCATGTAAGTTGCTTCGGATAAATGTGTCTGCTATTTATCTTCTGATCTCTTGTGTCTTGTTTTTTCTTCTGTGACCAGCTGTATGGGGAGTACAGAGAGCACCCTGGTGGGTCCCAGCGGAGAGAGGCCACTCGCCTTCTGATGGAGAGACAGCGAAAAAAGCATGGACATCACCACCATGGACATTACCACCATCATGGACACCACCATCACGGTCACCATGGGCGGAGTCTCAGCCGAAGCCGTCATCACAGCCACCATCACCTGGAGATAGGGAGCGTTCATGACAGACAGGAGGAGGAGCAGGCCCACACCTCCTCATTCAAGAAACGCCGCTCCTACTCCAAGTGCAGAGGTCAATAATAATGAGCCTTCCAAAAGCAGAAGCGAGATATATTTCAGGTTTGGAATCTGACATGAGTTGTAATGTTTTCCCAGACTGCGTGGCTCGAGTACAGAAGTTCCTCGTTTCTAAATTGGGAGAAGACTGGATCTTTCTGGTGTTGTTGGGTATTACCATGGCATTAGTTAGCTGGACCATGGATTATGCTAGTGCCAAGAGTCTACAAGGTACTACACTACCCAGAATTCCCCACCTACCGCCTCCTTCTCATTTGCTTTATCCTTCTGTTGATGCATTTTGCTTATGTTGTAGCTATCCAAAGTCAAATTTGATTTCCCCTGTTCTATTTTTCCAACTGATATATCCCATATAGTTGTGCCACTTTTCCATGTTTTCCCCAATTGTCATCTCTAAAACGTCTCCATATGGCTGGCATTTGTCTTGCTCTTTCTCTATCGCGCGTGCTCCATCACTTCTGTCCTTCTCTGTGTTTCTCAGCCTATAAGTGGTTTTATGGGGAGTTGAGGGGAAACATCCCACTGCAGTACCTGGTCTGGGTTTTCTATCCCATGGTGCTCATCTTGTTTGCCTCCCTCTTCTGTCACCTGGTCGCTCCTCAGGCCATTGGTGTGTAGTCTTGCTGTTCCCCTTTGTTTTTAATTTGATCTTACTATTTTTCATACACCTTTTTTCTTTATATCCTATGTATATTATTTGCAGATCTTTTAGCTTTATAGCAGAGGTAAAAATTATGGTTTTTGCCTCACCTGTTGAGACTAAAATACATAGTCTTGTCCTTAAAACAAAGGAATCATTTAGTTATTTTCTGCCTTTTTGTGGCAAACGGCACGTCTCAATGGCTGTGTTGGAAAATCATACACAATTATGATCATACTGATAATTTTGTATTTTACCAATTTATATAATCTCAGTTTTTCATTAAGGTTTCTACACACTCTGTGTCCGTCTTTTGGAAGCACCCTTACTGTATTTTGTGCCCCTCAAACTTACCAGCAACATATTTTTCTTTTCTTACTCTACTACTGTTACTGCTTTACACTGTTTACTACTCAACAATGCCACCTCCTGGTTTATACAATGCAATCACTTTAAAAACACCATCCAGATCTTCCCAACCAGGTTATAAGGCTGATCTTATAAAACTGAAACTTTAAAAAACATTTGTCTATCCAAAAGTTAAAGTCAGCATGAAACAGAAATTGTGTTAGTCTTTCTTATTATGATGTATATCCTAGTGAAACTGTTTCTCGAACAAGAAAAAAAAATATGGCATGACTTGATTTTGTCTATCAGGAATTGATTTGCTATTGGTCAAGGTCATGTGAGTGACAGGTTGTCCCGCCCCCACACCAAAATTTCCTCAACATCATCAGAGAAGAGATATTGTTGAAAGAAGAAGAGTTTGAACAAAGATTAAAAGGGCACATGAAAAAAAAATATGTGCATAGATAAATCATTTATAATAAATGCTGTAATATTCCATAAAATAATAAGAATTGTCCATTTTGAAATAATGAACTTTAAAGTAATTAATCAAAATCGGTTCCTTCAATTCCCTTTATTTGTTCATTTCTCCACTTATTACAGTTTTCCAGAATTTCAAAATTAGATTCTGAATTCTTAGTACTTAACCATATAAATAAAAAAGGATTTAACAAAAATGAAGAGCTAAAATGTAACAAATATACAATGTTTTTCCTTAATAAAGATTTAACCTATATACTGTGTATATATATATATAAAATAATTCACAATCCATAACCATAAAAGAAACATAGAAAGTTTTTTATACTTTATACAGTAGTGTACACGATCCATGTTCATTATCATATTTAAATTTGTTTAAAGACCTTTCACATTGATTTTTTTATATATAAATCAAAGGCATAATTTCATAATTTGATTGTTTTGTTTTCAGTTCTCTACTAACTATTATTTTTTTCCCTCAGGCTCTGGTATTCCAGAGCTGAAAACCATACTCCGAGGTGTTGTGCTGAAGGAGTATTTGACACTCAAGGCATTTATTGCGAAGGTGGTGGGACTCACTGCTGGCCTGGGCAGTGGTTTGCCAGTTGGCAAAGAGGTTCGATTTTATTTTTTATTTTACAGTCCCGTGTAACATACACGGGGGTTACAATTTGTCATTTCATATTTACAAAATGCAGAGTGATTTGGTGGGCTTGAGTGCCAGTTGTGTCAACAGTTGTGACTGGCCTCAGCATTCTAACCTTTAAATTGTGCTATTTTTATGCATTAGGGTCCTTTTGTTCACATCGCCAGTATCTGTGCAGCTGTGCTCAGCAAGTTTATGTCTTTCTTCTCTGGAGTCTATCAGGTAAGCAGAAGTGCATGGAGATCATGTGATGCATATTTGGCATCTCCATTCATAAAATGCTGAATGCTCGTTTATCATCAGGTGGCAGGACAGAGTTTTTTTTATTACACATTATTTTTGAGGACAGTGCTGACAATGCTGATTTATCATCCAGTGCGTTTATATTACCATGAATTATTACCACCTTCCCCCACCTGTCCCCTCAACTGTGTCTGCTTCCCTTTGTTTTGTATGCCTCTGTGTCAGTAGAGCCCATATTGTTATACAGACATCCTCACAGTGGGTTGTGCCGTAGGGGTTGGATGCTGTTTTGGAACCCCTCTTGGAGGTAAAGAAAAAGGCATTTTATAGTTCATGACCTTAATCAGTATAAATTATGACAATTTTCATATATATATAGGTGTCTTGATGTTTTGATCTTGGCTGATTAGATCTACTACACTGCTGCTGCATAAATAGACACCAAACAGACTAAATCATAGCAGATCAATGCAGGTGGAGCAGGGGGGAGGTAGAGGGTTTCAGAGGAACTCTGATAGCACGCTGCAGGACTGGTACAGCAAACAATGCAAAAAATGATCCTGTTGAGCAAGTAATTTCATTGGCTGCAGGATTAGCAGAGGACAATCACCTTGTGCCATGCAATAATTATGTGAATGATTGTACATTGCATGTAAACAACCAGCTTGTGCCATGTAGAGTTTAATGACTGAACTAGATATTTATTTTTGTTTGCCAGTAAAATGTATAAACGTCATTGTCAAACTTGTCATCATTGTCAAAAAGAGCGTTCTCGAGACACCAGGCACTGTTTTGTGTGGATGGGTGGCCAGAGTGCGTTAAGAGTTTTTGTGTTAGAACGGAGTCGTGTTAGCGCCCCCAAGTTAAAAACGAATGATTTTTGCAACGGGAGTGAATCAATCAAAGAGAACATTACACTATAGGGCCATGGTAGCATGGAATTCATTACCTAGTTTTTTGGTGAATGAAGCTAGTAAGAGGGTCTTTAAAATTAAACTGAAATTGTATGTATTTACTCAAGTTTGTATATGATTTCTTATTTTTTATTTATTTATTTTTTTCTGTTTTGTTAAAGAATGTGTTATGTAAGTGAAAGATTGTGAACATAAGTATAAGTGGGCTCTTAGTTCATGATGTTGATTTAAATTTAACCAACTTAAATTAAGGAATATTTTTTAGTTCATCTCTACTCAATGTTTTTGTTTATGGATGTTTGTTGTATGGTTTATGGTCAGTTTGTTGCATGAATGTATGTTTAATTTGTAAAAAAAAAAAAAAATTATATGTAATAGTGATTTTTGACCACAGGAAGAACAGCACTCATATGAATATGAGATAGCTGATTGTTGGATCAATAAACAAATCAAATCAACTAACTTTAGCTGGACAATAAATTTATCCTAATGCTGTCTAAACAATCTGTTACTGTAATTTCCGTTATAACTTAAACCTGCTTTGAAACAATCCATAATGTTAAAAGAGCTTTATAAATGAAGGTGACTTGACTTGACTACAAAACATTTCTATTTAAAATAAATGCTGTTCTTTTGAACTTTCTATTTATCAAAGAATCCTGAAAAATATTACATAAGCACCAAATCAGCATATTTGAATGATTTCTTAAAGGAGTAGTTCACTTTTCAAAAAACGTTTGCTGATAATTTACTCACCCCCATGTCATCCAAGAGGGCCATGTCTTTCTTTTTTCGGTTGAAAAGAAATTAAGGTTTTTGATGAAAACATTGCAGGATTTTTCTCCATATATTGGACTTCAATGGGAACCAAACGGTTCAAGGTCCAAATGAGAGTTTCAGTGGAGCTTCAAAGGGCTTTAAATGATTCCAGACGATAAATAAGGGTGTTATCTAGGACCCTTCGAGTCATGACTCAAAAAAAAGATTTGTTCATTTTGATGAACGAGTTCGAACAGGAAAGTCACAAACGCGCATCACAGAACAGAGCAAGGCAAGCATTTGTGCTTTAAAACTTTTTTGGATTTATTTTTTAAATGAGCGATCGTTTCGCTAGATAAGACCCTTATTCATCGTCTGGTGCCGTTTAAAGCCCTTTGAACAGTTTGCACTGAAACTCTCATTTGGATCTTGAACCGTTTGGTCCCCATTGAAGTCCATTATATGGAGAAAATCCTGGAATGTTTTCATCAAAAACCTTAATTTCTTTTCGACTGAAGAAAGAAAGACATGGACATCTTGGATGACATGGGGGTGAGTAAATTATCACCAAAAGTTTTTTTTAAAGTGAACTATACCTTTAAGGACCATGTGACATTGAAGATTGGAGTAATGATGCTTTGCCATTACAGTGTCATGTATAGTTGCACAGAAGCGCACAACGATAGAGAATCCAAAAATAAACTCTTTATTAAATCACATCAGAACACGCTAAGAAAATAAGACACACAACCATGTTAAACTCAGACCATACAGGACAAAGAACTCCTAAAGGCACACTATGCAGGAATTCCGTTTTTGTCAAACAGCGACCCCTAGAGTCATTGTGGAGTACTTGTATTTAATCATACTGTCGTAAATACCACTTGATGTGTTTGACGTCGTTGCCTTAAAGCATGTCGTGATTCTCGCGAGATTTGCTGTGACTATGAGTTTGTTTACCACCTAAATTACTTTGAAGCTGTTATATTTTGTGCATAGTGTGCCTTTAAATACAAACTGGGTAATCGAGGTAGAGACAGAACAGGTGTATGGAACTGATTGACAACTATAGAAACAAACTAGTTGCGGGAAAATAAGAACAGGAAACAAGGAAACAGGAACTAGAATTAAACCAAACTTAAACGTGACACACAGGAATAAATTATTATTTTTTTATTTATAAAAAAATAGAAACAGTTATATTAAATCATTATAATATTTCACAAAATAACTTTTTTATTGTATTTTTATAAAATACATAAAAATACAATAAAAAAATATACAATACAAAAAAATACAATTTTCCTTGGTGGAAATAAAACTTTTGAACGGTACCGTAGTGTTCCTCTTTTATCATCTGTGGCATCAGAAAGTTTGAAAATCCCTGATGTAGCTGACAGTAAACCCTGTGTATTTTGTTTATCCAGGTGTTTTGTTTAGCATTGAAGTTACATCAACATATTTTGCTGTGAGAAACTACTGGAGGGGCTACTTTGCTGCCACATTCAGTGCTTTTATTTTCAGAGTGCTGTCTGTGTTCAATAAGGATGCAGGTGGGATACTTAATAATATTCCCGAGTGAAGGTCTTAACAGCCTTGAGATGATCACATGTCAAATGAGGTGACGTTTCTCTTCCATTTGTTATTGTTTCAGTCACCATCACTGCTCTCTTCCGCACCAACTTCCGCATGGATTTTCCTTTTGATCTGCAGGAGCTCCCGGCGTTCGCCATTATTGGGTGAGAGTGCGGGGGCGAAAGCGTGCCGTTCGTGGTGAGGGCACAATCCTGAAGTGTGTGTGTGCCATACTGTAACCCTTGACACACTAGTAGAACTGAGCACACAGCACTTTACCTTCTGTATTATTGTCAGCTGACCAAAGTGACCAGATGTTGGTATTATATAGACCCCTTTTGCGCCGACGTCACAGTTACGTCACGGCGCTAGCTGGAGGCAAAACAAAGTGAAAACTGGAGGCGGCCAATGCAAACCAGCACAGATTCGGCTACATAATAAGGAGCTTAAATAATTGTTACTATTATTAAATGTCATCTTGTTGTGTTGTTTGGTGCAAGAATTGATGAAAAATGAATATGCTGTATCTGTAACTTTTATTTCTAGAAAATATTCACATCATTAAAATCGCACTGTAATGTCACTCTTTATATTGTCGTCGTGGTCTCGGCGCTGACTCGGCAGAACTGCGGATCGTACACACAAGTCTTGTACAGGACCATATAGACATCTAAAGATTTATATGCCTCAGTTTCTCTTTACGATCGGTTTCTCTATAAGGTAGGTGTAGAAGTCAGGCCACTCAACCGAGGTAACGTACGTTAATCCTTTCAGATCATCTATGCATTGAGTGAGCCTGTAGGCGGCTACAGGTCGGCCAATCTGGTTCTGTCCGTTAAAAATAACTTTTGGAAATAACAATCGCGGTCCTGGACACTGAGTGACCTTACACATTAAGATAATATCGGATTTTCTCCAGTCATTGTTAAAAAACAAGCTAACAACCCTTGCTAACTAGCGTTAGTGAAGCGGCCAGATGGATCTTTCTGCCTCCACCTAAGCTCCGCCCACAAAAAAACGTCACCATGTTTACCAACTGTAAAAGGGTCTATATGATTTGTTAAAACTTCATAATGTGTTTACATTGATCAGAAACAATTCCACAATCTTTTCAATGTATCTGTCTATTGCATTTTCTTGTTTTATTATAAAACTGGAGAAGCCTAAAAAGATGTGATAGTTTTTGTCTTACTTTTTTTTTTTACCCACAGGATTTCTTGTGGGTTTCTGGGAGCTTTCTTTGTTTACCTGAACCGTCAAGTTGTCCTGTTCATGAGAAGACCTAACATTCTCACACGATTCCTAACAAAACAGTAAGCACCAAATGACAACAGACAATATTAGCTTTAGTATGAACTTCTTTAGCATTATTATAGGAGTATGTAGTACTCGCTTGAGAGATATTTTGCTGTAATCACAATCTTTAAAATGAGTCTAGAAACAAAATACTTGCAATATGTGTCATATTTTCTCTCTCAGCCGGCTGATTTTCCCTGCTGTTGTGACATTAGTGATTACGACGCTGACATTTCCTCCAGGCTTTGGGCAGTTCATGGCTGGAGAGGTCAGATTTGGTCAACAAATAACAGTACAATTTTGTTCATTGGTATAACTAAAAAATTAGGATCATTCTATAATGCAGTGGTTCTCAACCAGAGGGCCTCAGCAAACTTCCAAGGGGGCCTCAAGTTTTTTTTGTTTGTTTTTTTTAAATCTTTAATATTTTTTGTCTTTGTAGAACATCTGTTACATTTGTAACCTTTTCCACATGAGCTGTTAACAGAGCCTGCCCACAAGGCTGTGTATAGGCGCAGATGCTTGCTGAGCGCAGATTTGACTTGGGTCAAACCTGAAGGGCTCGGGATCTGGTGTTATATCCATATGCAAACTGTAGAATCTGATGAATGTGTGCGGAAAGGATCAGCCTGCCGCAGCACAAACATCCGGGACCCAAGAGTGGTTGCCCTCTAAAGCTAAGCAGGACTGAGCCTGGTTAGTACCTGGATGGGAGACCTTCTGAGAAAAAACAGGTTTCTGCAGGAAAAGGTGTTCGTGAGGCCAGCAGGGGGTGCTCACCCTGTGGTCTGTGTGGGTCCTAACCAAGCGTGCCGCACAAGCCCTCAAAAGTGAAGCCAAAACGTCTCGATCGCCCCCCTGTGACCGGTCCTAGTATAGCTCATAACCCCCGCCTCCCCATGTTATTCAATGGGACGCGAGACCAACTAAACAATTAATTTACACTTCACATATCCTTTTTCCAAAGATAGTTTCTGTCATTTACTGTAGTTTCTATCACGTTGATGTAATTTCAAGTGTTCATTTTTAAAATAAGTTTGTTTTTAGTTAGTTATGTGATGATAAAAAACGGTGCTGTGACATCATGATTGACAGCTGTGATTGACAGGTTCTCTGTGCGAGGTAGTCACTGAAGCACCAGCGGACTTTTTTTAATAATGTTGATTATGTGGTTAGTAGTTGTATTTACCTTATTTTAACGTGGTTCTGCAATCAGCGGACATTATTGGAGAAGAACGAAGCAGACAGAGGGCACTTAATGAAAGTGCGGGGCGTGTGCTTGCGTTTGATTCAGCGCGAATGAGGGCGCGGCCTTGATTTCGTGGCTTTACTTCCTGCTCACGACTGCGCATGACTGGTCCCGAAACACGCAAGTGCGCAGACTCAAATTCCAAGATGTCAGCGTCATATCGAGACACTGACGGCTTCGGCTCTCTCTGATGGAAAAGAGCGAAGGGGCGTCGTTCATCTTTTTTTACAGTCTATGGTCCTAATGCCCCAGTAAAGTTATGGAGACACTATACTGTCAAAAGAGCACCGTCCTTCAGATGAGACGTTAAACCGAGGTCCTGACTGTCTGTGGTCACAAAAAATCCCAGGATGTCTTTTGAAAGAGTAGGGGTGTAACCCCGGCATCCTGGCCAAATTTGCCCAGTGGCCTCTGTCCATCAGGGCCTCCTAATCATCCCCATATATACCAATTGGCTTCATCACTCTGTCTCTTCTCCACCAGTAAGCTGGTGTGCCGTCGCATCATCCAGGTGGATGCTGCACATTGGTGGTGGTTGAGGAGATTCCCCCTCAATGTGAAGCCCTTTGATTGTTTAGAAAGGCGCTATATAAATGTAATGAATTATTATTATTATAATCCTATAAAGGTGCACCATTTGCAAGGGCTTTGGAAGATGCTAGACTTCTACTGGCAAAGCAAAGCCATTTTGTGCACCTCATAGGGAGAGGGTGATAGCATCTGAAATCCAATGGGACATATCCTGCTTGGTGACTGCATTCCGTTTTTTGCGACCACCAAAGCATACAAGAAGCTGAGAGGATCTACGCCACTGGCCGGAGCAGTAGACATAGATCTTCAGACAGAGCATGGACTGGACATAGCAGGTGGAGGCTTTCTTGCTCCATCTGCTATGCAAGATATGCGGAGGAAAGAAAGCCTGCAAAGGGACCGGCTGAGGAACCACAGAAGGTACTTTTTGGAATGTAGTTCTTACATCATCTGGAGCAAAGTCTAAGCAGGAGGAGGCTACTGAAAGAGCCTGAAGGTCTCCTGTTCTCTTGAGTAATGTTAAAGGGATACTCCACTTTTTTTGGAAATAGGCTCATTTTAAAACTCCCCCAGAGTTAAACAGTTTAGTTTCACCGTTTTCAAATCCATTCAGACGGTTTTCTGATATTTAGAAGAATATCAGTAACCAGACAGTTTCTGGTCTCATTGACTTCCATAGTAGGAAAAAAATATACTATGGAAGTCAATGAGACCAGAAACTGTCTGGTTACTGATATTCTTCTAAATATCAGAAAATCGTCTGAATACATTCGAAAACGGTAAAACCCAACTTCTTAACTCTGGGGGAGTTGTAAAATGAGCCTATTTCCAAAAAAAGTGGAGTATCCCTTTAATGCTAATAACAGAGCCACTTTGAGAGCAAGCATTTTTTCTGAGACCAACTCTAAAATCTCAAGTGGGATTTCCGTTAAGGCCTCTTGGAGCAATGTTTGGTCCCAGGAGGGAACTCGCAACTGGTAGATATGCCTCAACCATCTGGCACTGCTCAAGAACCGAGACACCAAGGCTGTGGTTAATGGAAATAGAAGCCATATATACTTTTAAGGTAGCTGGCGCCAGCCCTGCTGAGAGACGCTCTTGGGGGAACTCCAGCATGATGCAGCATCCTCTTGAAAGGGAGGATTCACATGGACATTTTTAAAATGAGTATACATTATGCCAAGCTCTAAAATATATTATCAGGTATCCTATAAATGTATCCTTAATCCTTATCCAATAAATGTGGAACAATTGGGAATATAATGAGTGGGAACCCTAAATAACGTTCAGCTCTTAAAACTTCTGGAATCTTGAAATTGTATCCACGGAAACTAGGAATGGCCACCTTTTTTTTAAGTTTTAAAAACGAAATGTTGCCATTATTGCAGATATTGTTGTGTGGAGAATGGTGGACCTTGCCCTTGGGGGTCACAAAGGTTGAGAACCACTGCGTTAATGTTTATGGACTTTCTTTCAGACAGTCTTGGAATAGTTTGGTTGGATTTTTGAAATGTATTTTTTGATTTGGTTGTAAATGTGGCTTAAATTTGGTATTATTCCACAGCTGATGCCCAGGGAGTGTATTAATTCTCTGTTTGATAACTTCACCTGGACTAAAATATGGGGTTCCTCTCTCCCGCCTGGTCTCGGTCGCTCTGCTGTGTGGTTTCACCCTGACGTCAGCATCTTTGTCATTCTTATTCTCTTCTTTACCATGAAGGTTGGTACTTTTCAATCTCTTCTTCACTTTGTCCTCCATCAATCATCTGTTATTTATAATATCTTTACTGTTTTAAGGTCATTTAACTATGTTGGGTTTTTTCACGTATCTTTGTCTAGCATAGAGTGCCACAGCAAGCTTTAATTAAAGTAATGGTTTCACTTTATTTAACAGTACGTGCACTGTCTGTATACTTAGTGTTTTTCATTTTAAAACACTAGAAAAGTACTATGCACTGACATTGGCTTTAGTTATCAAATTTTCAACAAAACCTGCTTTTATTCAGGACAGTCATTATCTCCCTCCATCTGTCATGTTTGAAGCTGCTGAAGCAATCATTTGTCTCCCGAGTTAGGCTCGTACAGGTTGTGCTGAAAGAGATTTTAGAATTAAGGCAATTGTGTGAAAACATTATTATTCATCTCACAGTTCTGGATGTCTGCAGTTTCCACCACGATGCCCATCCCGTCTGGAGCTTTCATGCCTGTCTTTGTATTGGGTAGGTCTCAGGTCCTATTCATTTATTGGTGACTGCCATTTATGGATTCGTTATGATTTATTTAAGGATCACTTTAACATACTTAACAAACTTACAGGTGCTGCATTTGGTCGTTTAGTGGGTGAGATCATGGCAACTCTCTTTCCTCACGGTATCCTGTTTGATGGAATACTGTACCGCATTATCCCTGGAGGGTACGCTGTCATTGGTCAGTCATCCTTTCCTCCTCTTCCGATCCACCATGTTTGCTCATACTGTGTTGATGATCTCAGTCCTGTCCCTGTCCCATCTTCTCATAGTCTCTTATCCACTGGATGTGTCTGTCATTGTCACCCCTGTCTTATAGCACTCCAACTTTCTATCCTGTTACTCTATCGGTCTATTCTTTTCTCTTACCGTGAAGGTGCGGCGGCGCTGACGGGAGCCGTCACTCACACCGTTTCCACAGCAGTGATCTGCTTCGAGCTGACCGGTCAGATCTCTCACATCCTTCCCATGATGGTCGCCGTCATACTGGCCAACATGGTTGCTCAAGGTTTGCAACCGTCACTGTACGACTCCATCATCCAGGTCAAGAAGCTGCCCTATCTCCCCGAACTGGGCTTCGGCCACATAAGGTGTGCAGACTTTGCATACGTGCATACGTTGTGGCTCCACGCATGCGACAACCCAGCTTGGCTCACGGCGCAGCCAGGTTCCCTCACCCTCGCATGCTGACAGCACCTTAGAGTCCTTGTGATTCATTACCAGCGGGAGCCATTAGTAAATACACTTGTCAACGAGGGGCGGCAACATGAAGCCTTGGCACTCTTCCAGCTAACACTGAGCCGCTCAACACTCATTAGATTTGGCCTATTCATACCTCTTTATCAAGGACACACTCTCCGTCTTAATTTACCTTTTTGCAGGCTGGAGCAGTGGTTCTGCTTTAGGACCCAGTGTTAACATTGCATGTAGTGACCCAACACTGGTGCACAGTGATATTAACATTTTTTACAATTATTATTAAAGGTACAATATGCAGGAATTTTTCGCCACCAGAGGTTGCTAACCTCTTACAATAACAAAGGTGTATATTGATGACGTATATTCCGCATTAAGCGTAAAAATGGATCTTGTTGTCAAGCTGATGGGTCTTTTATGGATGAGTGAATATGAAGAGTTCAGATGCAAAAGCATCTAAGTGCCATTTGAAATTTTCTTCTAGAATGATCATTTTTATCAAGCTTGTATATTTAAGTTCAGTGATTTCACTTAAATGGCAATGATAATTACCTATTAATTGTTATTTAAGCGAAATTACTGAACTTAAATATACAAGTTTGATAAAAATCCTCATTAAAGAAGAAAATTTCAAATGGCATTTAGAGGCTTTTGCATCTGAACTCTTCATATATTGATGTTTTTAAAATGACTGTGGTATGAGGCAGGGCGCGATTGCTAGACGTATACCAGTGCCACACACAGCGCGAGTCCCGTGGATATAAAAGAATAAGGAGATAAAGGATAAAGGAAAATTCACTCTACCGAACTACATTAATACTCACATAGGTCAGTGTATTAGACGAATTAAACTTGAGGTAACGCAGTTAACGTTACACTATCACACTAAACGGCATTTGAGTGTGTTGAATGTTGTTAGTTATGTTATTTGTTGGCTGTGTGAGACTAGCAGTGAGCTAGATCAACATAATGCTGTGTTCACACCGGACGCGAATAGCGCGTCAAATTCGCGCCTGACGCGTCTAGTTTGACGCTTGACCACTTTGTGTTAATTCGCGTGTCAAGAGTGAAACTGATGCGCATAAAAACAAAAGTTTGAAGCGAAATTTACGTGCGTGACGCGCGTCTGAATCGAAATCCGTTGGCGGCCATTGTTTTTATGTCGACCGAGCATTTATTGAGAGAGTCACCGCTCTGTATTTACTCTGGAGAGTAGAACAGCGGCATGGGGATCATCGTCGCCGTATATTTGTGTCTTCCGGACCATTCTGAGGTGAACCGTTTGGCTAGTTTCATCATTTGCTCACTCCAGGAGCTGCGCTGGATGACGGCCGCTGTCAGCGGTACTTCCGCCTGTCCCACGCCCAGTTTGATGACCTCTTGTCCCACATCGGAGCGAGGATCACCCTCGGCCTCATCCACCTAATCTAGCTGTCATTTATTTTTGTTTTGATGATAAATAGAGCCAGCTTCCAAAAGTGATTAACTTGTCCTGTGATTTTTTTTCTCTCTCACGTCCAGACACGAACTTATGCATGTTTATTGTCTTTACATCATAATACTATTTCATATAATCTAGATATGGAATGAATAACATTCAATACAAAATGAACATGTCTCGTATATTGAAATAAAGTTTTAAGTGATAAAATATTTCCTTTGTTGTGCATTAGAACCACACCAGGCATTTAGTCATATTACAAAATAAATTCAGACACTTCACCAAGTGAGCGAGCAGTTATGCTCCTGATTGGTTAACGCGGCGCAAATTCATGGCAAAGTTCAGATTTTTCAACTCGGGCGGCAGACGCGAATTCGCGTCAAACGCGTGAATGCACAAATGGGACTAACTAAATCATTTGCGTGTAACGCGCTTAACACGCCAGACGCTCAATTCGCACGAACTTGACACGTCTTCCGAGCCGCGCTCCACGCCTCATTCGCGCCGCAGGAATTTTTTATGCGCGTAACGCGTCTTTGCATTGACTTAACGTTGAAATCATTCGCGCCTGAAGCGCTATTCACGTCCGGTGTGAACGCACCATTAGAATAACATACAGATCATATTCTAACATTTCATCATGTTGAACTAAATAACATTGATTAGTTTTATGTACATTTGCTCACCTGTCTAGTACATGCAACACTCGTGTCTCTGTCAAGTCGAAGTTAGCCGCGGACGTTGAGCTCTCGGCATCTCAAAAGATGTTGATCTTCGTTTTAGTCCTCTTTTTGTTCAAAGTCTGCTTGCCATGGTCCATAATGTTTAAATAAAACAACAACAGCGTGAGCGTCTTGAGAGGCATACCGGCTTACTATCGCAGTGTGAGCACAAACCTGGCGGAAACCGGGGCTAACACGGATATGACGCCGTTGACTGACGACTCCTCATCCCTGCTCACACGCCCCATTTCCTTGATTAAAATCGCAATTTTCTCATGATTTACAAATAGTTGGAAACATTAAGTAATCAAACAAACTAAATATATAACATTGGCCTAGTGGTTTTTTGGATATTTTACTGCAAAAATCCTGCATATTGTACCTTTAACTGCCTATACATATATATATGCACACACACACACACACACACAATACTGACTAATACCAAATGAAATCTTTAATATTGCCTATTATGGTAAAGATATATTGTGCAATCCATAGAATACTGACAATTATGTATGCATAAACAAACTGAAATTTAATGTACCACTGTATTATAGAACAAACTCTGGGACTTAAGTATTATGTTGATTAAAAATTAATAGATCTATCCTTACTACACACACTTGTATGGCTAATTGCATTTTATTGTTTGGATTAAGCATAATTTTTCTTGTTGTCAGAATAGACCTGTGATCCAACAGAGCACCCGCCGCGCCGGTCTAGAGAAATGAAACTTTTTAAACCATGTCACCCTGTGGTCTTACCATTCTGTTTCCCTGCAGCCAGTATAACATCTTTGTGGAGGACATCATGGTGAGGAAAGTGAAGTTTTTATGTTCCCAGTCTACATACAGAGAAGTACTGCATTTGTTGGAATCGACATCTCTAAAAACCTTCCCGCTGGTTGACTCAAAAGGTAATGTCACGCAGGCCGTCAAAACATATTACCTGTCTCTAATTGAACCTCTCATTATGGCATTTTTCTAGCTGCATGTAGCATACCTTGGTGAGCGGTGTATTTTTATTTTGTTCAACTCAAAGTGTCTAAAGCTCTGTTTAGCAAACTTTCAACCTCATGTTGTTACTAGCAACATGAAGTTGCTGCTTTGTAGAATTTCAAATTAGTCACATCCTATACAAGATCTATCTCGACAGTTTGGAACAGAGCCCTAGTGTCTGACATCATGTTAATGCTCATTTGTAACTGGATTCTGAACTCACTTCACCTTCAACAGAATCTATGATTCTATTGGGCAGCATTGAGAGGTCTGAGCTTCTCGCCCTCTGTGATTGGTGGGTGTCAGCAGAGAGGCGGATCCTAATGCAAGGACAAAGCTCGCAAGGTCAGGTGCCTTGTGCCAAAATCAGCTGGGAATCGTTTGCCTTTGTTGATGAGGAAGAAGAGGAGAATGAAGATGATAAGGTATCTGCTTAAGAGAGGATCCTACCTATCCTTCCATCCATAATAAAAATATAAGAAGAAGAAGAAATTTTGCTTTTGTATTCCTTTTCAAGCTGACAATGTGTACTTATTCTTCTGTGTGAATGTTTAGACGATACCAGTTCAAGAGGAAAGAAACGGCCCTCTACCTCCACCCAAACCCTCAGAACCATCCACCAATCACACGTCTCCTGGTGAGAAACATAACCAATCCTCTTTAAATCTTTAATAAACCTCAGGCAAGCACTTCTAATAAACAAGCATCTTGAGGCGATATAAGTGATACTCATCCTCTGATCCGCCTTCCGACTTTTCATTTTTTCCTTCTCTCTCTCCTCCTCATCTTGCCTAGATAAGGGTCCTTCCCAGTCTTTTGGGAGAATTTTACGTAACTTCTTTTCATCCTCTTCAGAAAGACACACAGAAGGTCAGCCACAGGTACAATGTTTGTGCTTAAAGGTCCCTTCTGAAAACCTGTATGTGTGTGTGTTCCATCAAGTGAATGCACTAAATTAATTATTGTCAGCATGTATGAAATTTTAATGAAAGGTCGATAAAATGGGCAGAGCAAATATATTGCTAATGGTCTGCATTAATATTCATCAGTGTTTTTCAAGGACATGTGCGGTTAAAGGGAAGTGAACGGTCTTACATAGAATGTGTCGATATGCAAAATATCAATGAGTTTGAATACTTGGAAAAAATGCACCATGTCCTTATTATTGAATTATCTTGCCATTTATTTTCAACCCAGGAGCCTTATCCTCCACCTTTAACTGACACAATGACACCAGAACAGGTATTACCAATTCCACAATACAATAAAAAATTAACTTCCAAGTAGGCATTTAAGCATGAAGAGAAATTGAATTAATTTAGGATCTGCATATTATTGGATTTTTGAATTCCTATGTACGTAGTTTATACATGCAGATGAGTTGCTAAAATAAAATAAGGCATTGTGGAGTTGAAAACTGGTTCTGACTGGTTCCCATAGATCAAAGCCTGGGAAGAAAAAGAGATGGACAAACCTCTGGATATCGATCAGATCAGAATAGATCCATCCCCCTTTCAGCTGGTGGAGAGAACGTCACTTCATAAGGTGAGCAACAGCCTTTTTACCTCCTCAAAAACAGCTCTGTGCACAGCGACCCGTTTCGGTGCATGTCTCTTTAAATGATAATGAGCAACTTAGAGCCCTGCAGGGGCCTCAAATCTAGACCCTAGCCGGGCTCTGGCCCGAGACGTCCAGGCCCTAGCCCGGCCCGTGTCCGACAGCTCATCAGAATGATCAGCCCGAGTCCGACCCGAGCCCGTTGTTTTAAAAAAAACAACAACAACAAAAAAATGTATTTATAGCCTCTCAAATCAACACTTTACTTGGCTACAATAAAATCCATAGATATAAAACAACTTAAACATATTCACACAGACAGTTAACGTTAGTTTAAACGTTTGTTGTCATTTTTGAAAAGCTGAGGCAAACTGCTCTGCTGCTCGCAACAGCGCTCGTACAATACAATTTACAATACAATACAATACAGAGAATGCAATCTAAACAAATCAAATAAATTACATTAAAAACAAACATGCAGGTTATCTTACCTCAAAAATCAAGTCTTCACTACAGAACATGGTCATTCGTATTTCCAAAAGTTTCCAACAGACTCATGAAACTAAAGTCCAATCAAACAAAAAACAACAAGACAACCTCCTAAACAGTCTCTTACAGAGCATCGTGCAGAAAAAGCACCATCCACCGTGGAAAGTTTTAATCCAGTCGTACTTTTTCCAGCTGCGCTGAAGTCACGCTCACTACTCCTGCTGCTGGCGGGACACTAAACAGAGAACGAGCCGGTCGCGCGGATCGCGTTGCCGGGAAACCTGTGTGCGCGTGCGCGTGCCGTGAGCAGACTGTCAGTCATATATGTCAGTATGATAGGTTATAAAACGTCTTTCTATGTTTGCTTTTCAATGGTCATCTAGTCATATTTTATTTTAAGTAATATCTAAAATAGGCTATAAAAAAAGATAAGCCTAAAACAGGCCCGAGGCCCGGCCCGCATGTGAACTATGACGTTAAAATTGGCCCGAAGCCCGGCCCGAGGAGTGTAAATAAGTCGGGGCCCGTCGGGCTCGGGCTGAAATGCAGGCCTCTAGAGCAACTGCTCACTCCACCCCTCAGTTCCATGGGGCATGTCGACACGACATGAAAAGCACTGACTTGGCGGACAGTATACAAATGGCTGAGGGTGGAAATATGCTAATACGGAACAGTCCGTCAGCGGTCGTGGGCGGAGCATGAGCAATATGACATCATATTGCTCATAAAATTCAAACATGTTTCATTGTATGGTGGCATGCAAACACCATATACAGTAAAAGTGAATTTTGCATTCGATGACATTGACAAGATTTTACACATGTTCAATACATTCACATGTTCATGGTTCTCTGATGTCCATTAATGGCCACATGGGGGGTGGGGGGGGGGTCACTTAAAGGGTCATTCCACCTCTGGAAAGATGAATGTGTATATAAAATGGATCGTTATGTAGAAGAAATGTGAACTTATTTTTGAATTTGAAGCTTTCTAGACTGAGATAAGCCAAAAAATGTATTTTTGGCTTATGTGGATTAAAGACAACAACTCCCAGAATGCACTTGCTTCGCTGCTCTAGGATGCCACACCTACCAGCGCAGTAGGTAAACAACAAGTGTAGGCTAGTCTAGTGAGTCTCCGTGATGAGTCTGCCCGAAAATGTGTTTCGAGAACGCCCAAAATGTGGCAAGCAGGACAAGTGAGGGCCGCGGGAGAACGGCGCGAGGCCGGTGGCGTGATTACCGATGAGTGACACCTGTGAGACCCATCGGTCTCGTATCTCTCATGGAGGAGCAGGAATTTTCTCAGCAATGTTAAAACGCACATCATCCGATCATTTTTTTTGTAGCATTCATGTAAACACTACAGTCAGATTCACCAATCAGAATGAATTCCGTTAGATTGAAACAAAAGCTGTACATGTAAACAATGCATGGCGACTGCAGAAAGCAAAAGCTGAATCCCGGACATCGACGGCCGGTCATGTCCGGGAAAAAGAGGATGGTAACCCCTAAAGTTTCTACTCATCTTTCTCCACAGAACAAGAGCCTGCTAGTTTAGCTTCCAAAAAAGATGTGTAATCCCAATCCTCTATAATGCATCTGTCTGCGTATTCAGTACCTTTGTCCATTTTTTCAAAATGTTTCTGCCGGTGAAATCAAACGCACTGGCACTGATCTGTGATAGGTCTCTTAGCGCATTAGGTCCAACCCCCTATGGGCGGGTTTGAAAGGGTGGGGACTAGTGCTTGTAGTCTTTACAGAAATCCCCCCTCTTACACTTCCTCCTACAATGACGTAAAATTACGATTTTTGCATCATTGTAGGGAGAAGTGAAAAAGGTAAATAGCAGATTTCTCTCGTCTCAGGGTAAATGAGAGAGTTTTGCAGGACCATTCAATAATATAACTGGGATTCGAACAGTGGAAAGCTTAATGCAAATGTGTGGAGTGTCCCTTTAATTCATCATTAACTTTTCATCAACCCACAAACATCTGCGTGAGAAACCCTGGCCTACCAAATGTAAAATTATCCAGACTCTCAAGGTGATTCAGGATTTTGAAGGTCATTAAAAACATTGTCTTTTTTTCCCCAGACTCATACCCTGTTCTCTTTACTGGGCCTCAGTCATGCCTATGTAACCAATACTGGAAAACTGGTGGGAGTTGTGGCGCTGAAAGAGGTAGTATCTTATCTATTGTCGTAGCTAGTTATTTGTCTGAATTCGCTTATTTGACTGTTGCTGAATTCAGAACCGCATACTAACATACTACTCGTACTATTTTTGCCATAAAAAGAGTAGCTTGCTAGTATGCTGTTTCGAATTCAGCATGTTAAACCCTTCTTTCTTCTTCATCATCAGCTCCAAAAAGCCATTGAGGGCTCAACGCGCAGTGGCGTGCGCTTGCGCCCCCCTCTGGCCAGTTTTCGTGACACCAGTCGTAAAGCTGCGAAGCCCCCTCAGGCTTCTTCCCCTCCATCCTCGCCCGTCTCCACCACTGCTCCTTCCTCGCCTCTGTCCTCACCCGTGGTCCCTCACGCCCATTCCCCTGGCCCAGCGGCCCCGGTGAAGGAAGGGAAGGAGGAGATGGAGGTGTGGATTGAGGGCGTGAAACGGGAGGTGATTGTGGGGAACAGCAGTAGCACAACTACAGTGAGCAGCAGGAGCAGGAGCAGCAGTAGCGGGACAGAAAGTAGTGACAGTGAGGCAAGAAGTGCCGATAGCAGCCCAACCCTGCCGCCATCCTCCTCTCCACCCCCCATCCCTCTCTCCACCCTACAGCCCGTCCCCGAAAACAAAGAGGGTGAAGAAAACGAGGACGAGGAGCCCCTTTAGATCAAGTAAAGTTTTTCTTGTATTTGCGGTGTGATTCCGTGTACGTTTGTCCGCTTTTATTTTTATATAACAATTTCATGTTTTTTATTCATTGCTCGTTTAAAAGGTTTTAAAACATCTGTTCCTTTGCCCCACTCAGTTTGTGTTCATCCTCTCTCTTTTCTATTTCTTCTTCCCCTCTCTCCTTTTTATTCTCTTTTTGTAAGTAATTGTCCTTTCCTTTTTTCTTCCTCTGTAGAGTTCTCGTCTTATTTTTCTTCTTCTTCCTCAAAAAATGTATTTCCCCTCCTTTTTCTTCTTCTTTGTCCACTTGATCTTTCTCTTTCTCTAATTTTCTGCCTTTTTCTTCCACTTTTTTCTCTACTTACACCTCCCCTGCTTATTTCTATTTCCGCTATACATGTCTGTAAATAAATGTTTTCCACCTGCTCTTGCTCCTTTCTTCTCTATTCTAAAAACATCCTGTAAAAAAAATAAATGTAAACTGCCCAGTAGAATATGTATTATTATTGAGATTACTACTACTGGAAATTCCTTCCACGTCTTTTCAGTGGGAATCTGAAAACAAAAATGGGAAAGGTTTCATATAGCCGAACCATTAATATTTTGCTTGGTGGCATTAATCAAGCGTAGCGTCAGTTCTGGCAGGTCACGTTAGTCAAGCTTGCATCAGCTGACTCTCAGCTGATCCATGTCAACCTATAGGAATATGATGCCTATCACAGTTGGGATATAAGCCATAAAAACGTAACCATACATGGTAGACTTAAGACCAGCTACGGCTGTATCTCGTGGCCTCAAGATACTAACTCGTGGCCTCAAGATAGTAATTCGTGGCCTCAGTATAGTAACTTGTGGCCTCAAGATACTATCCTGAGGATACTCTATCTTGAGGCCACGAGTTAGTATCTTGAGGCCACGAGTTAGTATCTTGAGGCCACGAGTTAGTATCTTGAGGCCACGAGTTAGTATCTTGAGGCCACGAGTTAGTATCTTGAGGCCACGAGTTAGTATCTTGAGGCCACGAGTTAGTATCTTGAGGCCACGAGTTAGTATCTTGAGGCCACGAGTAACTATCTTGAGGCCACGAGATAGTATCTTGAGGCCACGAGTTAGTATCTTGAGTAGGGTTGGGTATCGTTTGAATTTGAACGATTCTGATTCCGATTCCTTGTTTCGATTCCAGTTCCTAACGATTCTCGATTCCGATTCTTTTAAGAGGCAGGGTCAAAAAAGTTTAGCTAACCTTGCTAACCAACAGCCTTTCTGAAGGAAATAATCCTTTCTGAAGGAAATACTCCTTCGGTAAAAATACTCCTTTTGTCACAAATTTTGCATTTTGCCGAGATTTCGTTATTTTTAGAAAAGTGAAGCCACACTTTGGATCGTCGACGTAAGCTACTCATGTTCGACTCGCGTGGTTATGCCAACACTTCCGGTAGACGCTTCTTTGTTGGTGTTGTTCAGCGGTTTCTTCTTCCGCTCGGCGGACTGTGAATATCGAAACTAGGAATCGAAATTTTTACTTTTGAACGATTCCGGGAAAAACGAAAAGTTAGTCTCGGTTCCAATCGATACTCGATTCTCGATACCCAACCCTAATCTTGAGGCCACGAGTTAGTATCTTGAGGCCACGAGTTAGTATCTTGAGGCCACGAGTTACTATTTTGAGGCTACGAGATAGTATCTTTAGGCCACGAGTTACAATCTTGAGGCCACAAGATAGTTATTATTTTATTTTTTTTTGCCAAAGTGGGACTAGGGGGGCTCCGTAGGTCTCAGACAAAAAAAGGTTGAGAACCACTGCCCTAAGGGGGGTTATTGCTCCTCTCCCTGCTCTTTTCCATGCTAGGCTGCATGGATGCTCAGGGAGTTCTCGCCCAAAACAGAACCATATCGCCAATCCTAACGGTATGCTAATTATCAGTTGCATTTGACGATAGTGTTCCTGACAGAAATGATGCTGATGATAATGCTAAACCAGGTTTACATGCGGCAGTCTGTGACATTCTTTCAGACCTCATAAAAGCACTTAAAGTCTTCATGCACCTGGACATTTTCATAATGCACTTGACTCTTTATTAAAGGGTCTGAACCTTTTTATGTTACCTAATGAGCAAAAAATTACAACAAATCCAAGATATTTCAAACAAGGACCACTTTTTCTGCATTATACTTCAGTAGTTTTCAAAAATATCTGAAACAAAATGTAGCCAGCAGGTGGCACATTGTGGACCTTTTCAAAATCTGAACCTACTTTTCACCTGAAACATATTCTCCTCATGCCCTCTTAGAGTTATACATTTGTAAGCGATTAAAATTCAGGGTGTGCACACTATCGTCTCTTAATGAAACTTTTTATGTCCCTCTGTCATCTATCAATCTTTTCTTTAAAACTCTCTCTCATGTGTCTTGCATGTCTTTAAACCAAGGACTCTGCTATTTATGAACAATCTATGTTGGTTCATGTGGTCTACTATCCTCGATTAAATGTTTCAGGGAATTTAATGTGATTTTTGTGTCTGTTTAGTCAGTAGCTATCACTTTATTTCCCTCATCTTTTGCTTGTTTGTTTTTGTCTTATTTATTAATTTATTTTATTATCTCTTTCCCTCTTGACATTATGAGAAATTGACAGAAAATGTATTATAAAGTAATTTCGAAAAGGTTAATGATGTTGTTTTTGTCTCATTGTTGTTTCAAATTTGTAGTTTACCTTAGGAGGAAGGACATTTATATATCTAAAACCATTCAATCTCGGTATCTTCTAGGAATAAATAACAATTCAATAAACAGTGACAAATTTTAAATGATAAAAACATGTACATCTTAAGATTACTGTCAGCGATCCCCCGGAGATAATACTAAGGATTTTTCTATTGGCCCGGTCGGGCGTGGTTAAAAAAAAAAATGAAGAAAAAAAAATGTTTCTGATGTAATAAATAAATAAAATAATAAATAAATAGGCCTAGTTATTGTCTCCGTCGTTTTTGACCTATAACCTTAATAAATAAAGTTGTGACAGCAAAAATTACTAACCTAACTATATATTTCAAATATTGTTAAAGACAAGTAAACTGTCAGTAATAAAATAATAACAAATTGCAAATAATCTAATTATGAGCAATAACACTAATACAATAGAACACCTAAAAATAAAATAAACACTGCTTTTCATGTTTTTCAGGTAGGTCTAACAGTCATTTTGAGGTATAGAAAATGAATGATCAAGTGTAAAATAGTGAAGAGCAGTGAGTGATTTTTTTCTTTGTCCTTTATTGATGGATTAACATTAAAACAAAGACAGCAGCAGGTTTATTATGCGGCTGTCACTTTAAGAGCTGCACGGATCCAATATACTGTTATACGTGTGTTTTCTTTCTCAACTGTTTACTTAAGATGTAACAGACTATGTTTACTAGGATACTCACAGTGACTGGCATTTTTTGACGTGATTTTGTTTTATTAATATGTCCGTTTAAGCCCAAAAAGACATGAAAGGGCCATCAGGCAGTCCTTATTGTCGAGCCCTGCTTCATAAATGGCTTCATCACACACACTTGACTTCTATACCCTTGTGTCCTTTAAAAGGAGCCATTTGCTACCCTTTAGGTGGCTGCATTTTTCTTTTGGATTTTGTGGTTTTAATGATCTTTTATGCTCTTGCACCATGGCTATGGCACATTACATTCCATGCACGCATTTTTAATACCTGTTTTGTCTTATTTTCTATTTTGTTAAAGGAGTAGTTCACTTTTAAAAAAAAAACTTTTGCTGATAATTTACTCACCCCCAGGTCATCCAGGTTTTTGATGAAAACATTCCAGGATTTTTCTCCATATAATGGACTTTAATGGGAACCAAACGGTTCAAGGTCCAAATGACAGTTTCAGTGAAAACTGCAAACTGTTCAAAGGGTTTTAAACGATTTCAGACGATGAATAAGGGTCCACGTGAAACGATCGCTCATTTAAAAAAAATAACAAAGTTTAAGTTTTTTAAGCTCAAATGGTCGCCTTGCTCTGTTCTGTGATGTGCGTCCGTGACTCTCCTCTTCAAACTCGTTTATCAAAATTAACTAATCTTTTTTCATGTCATTTGGTTCATTCAACAAACAAAATGAACGAGTTGACTGGGGAAAAGATTCATTAATTTTGATAAACGAGTTCGAATAGGAGAGTCACAAACATCACAGAACAGAGCAAGGTGACCATTTGAGCTTATAAAACTTAAACTTTGATGGGGTTTTTTTTTAATGAGCGATCGTTTCGCTTGATAAGACCTTTATTCATCGTCTGAAATCGTTTAATGCCCTTTGAACAGTTTGCATTGCACTGAAACTGCCTTTTGGACCTTGAACCGTTTGGTTCCCATTGAAGTCCATTATATGGAGAAAAATCCTGGAATGTTTTCATCAAAAACCTTCATTTCTTTTCGACTGAAGAAAGACTGACATGGATATCTTGGATGACATGGGGGTGAGTAAATTATCAGCAAAAGTTTTTTGAAAAGTGAACTACTCCTTTAATAAATCTTCAGTTAATTTTGGCAAACTTGTTTGTCCTTTCTTTGTTGCGGCCTTTTGAGCCACAGGCTGTAAGAAAATGGGTCCTCGTCCGGAACGAACAAGACACTGGGTGAGAGAATATTCTAATATATTATCCTATTTCGCATTACTCTAAAGCCATTAACAAATGAGACAGTGCTTCACAATAAGGATTTTATTTACAGCACATTAAAATGCACATGATTCGAATGAGGTTACATGATGACACCGAATGGAGTTGAAGAAACTGCAAGATCGCTACCTACCTAGCTTTATTTTTTTATTCCTCAACAATCAGAAATCCCATTCTGATTTCACCGCATTTGTCATTTTGCGCAAAATGCATCATATTTCACAAAGTATGACAGAATTATGACCTTGTGACATCATTGCTGTCAGCTATTCCTTTGGACATTTCACAAAGAGCTCTTACAACGAAGATGCCAAAGAATGTGATTTTGTTCGCCGAACAAGAGAGTTTAATCACTTCTTTCTGATTTTGTCTGGTTTCCAATTTGATCCAAATACAGCAATTGTAATGACTCTCTCTCAGCAGATACTAGTCCTACGATGTTCGAAATATCACAAAGAACGACAACTTGCAGGCCTCGTTAGTATAGAAAAATAAATGTTGCCTCAGTATTGCATAACGACATTAATCAAAACTCTCAAACCCCTCAAAGAATACAAATCATTGCTAAACCAAACGGCTTCTAAATCTAAATAGTGTTAATGTTGCAACACCCAAAACACTTTTTCTCTCTCTTTTGGAACGTATACAAGTATCGACAAAGGTCTGAGATGTGCACGCTAGTAGTCGAGGGCACTTCTTTCTGCAGCGGGTATTACAATTACAGCTTATTAAATAATTAGTGGAAAGCCTGCAAGCACAAACCAGAAAAGCACCTTCTTTTCACTTCTTTCCACAGTCATACGGTCTGTCGTGACAAAAACATACTCTGACCAAACACGTCGATTAGCCCATTACCACATGATTTTACTGAGGTAATGAGTTTATCTCTTTGTCTTATGTCAGCTACAGGATTCGAAAGCGACATCTTAACATGGAAAATACGCATGAAGCAAATAGTTCATCAAAACTTGAAATGGATGGATTCGTGAGTTGTCTTCAGGATTCCCAATTCAGTTTCCTGTAGTCTCAGACTCAACGAATTCAAAGTATCCACAGTTTCCTCATCTTTTTGCATGAGAAGATTGATGGAACTTCCCGGAATGACGATGATGACTCTTCAGTTTTCCTTTTGTTGTTCAGTGCAAATCAATATTGAGCAGCTCAGCCAGGCAGTACACAAACAGATAAACACAGACATCGATGAAAAAAAAATAAAGTAGAACAGAAAAAAACTTTAGGACAGAACTGGGCTGTCGCTAAAGAAGATGGGCAATACATTCGTTTATGTCCATAGTAGTGCATAAGTCTTAGTAACAATACAGTTAGGATGTTGAAAAGGGCAGAACTGTTTCCATTTGGGCAGTATTGTGCTTGGTTATATTAAGAACGAAAATTGTGTGTGTGTGTGTGTGTATTGGAGGTACATACAGTAGGGGACACTTCACGCAAACAGCAAATTCGTAACATTTTTTTTTTTTTTCGAGAATATACCTTTAAAGACACATTCATACATTCGTACTAACACACATACAGTACATACATGTTATATATACAAATACATATTGTTTCATTGGCTTTTAGTTTTATTACAAAAATCAATATATATATTATTACTATGTTGATACTGTTGATTCAGTCAATTAAATACTCCAAAAAACGCATGCACTTTCTTTTGGTTGTATTGATTTCTCAGTATTGCACTCTTTGATTTCATTCGCAAGTGGCCTTGGACTTCAGCACTCCCGCAATAAAACAGCAGGAGCACATATGACGCATCATCCCGGCTTTGACGCTCTCCGACGTTTGTTCTTTATATGCGCCCGCCGTTTCGAGAGAGCAGTCTTTCAGCGTTTATAACGAATAAATCTGTTCCTGATGTAACAGTTTGTACACATCTGGGGTAAAAGGGCATATACAGTAGCTTAATTGGTTTGATAATTTCACAGACGGTTTCGTTTTTTATGTTCCTCGCTCCGTCCTTTCAGCTCAATTTCAGTTGGTCGCCACAACAACCACGGCCCCATCCTCCATCTCTTCTTCCTTCTCCTCCAGCGATTGGACGACGCAGGATGTGACCTCGTAGGTCATGTGCTCAGCCATTGGCTGTGCTGGTGCTCTTCCTGGGCTCATGACCCCAGCTGGGGTGGAGTCCTCTCTCTGTGTCAGGATGGAAATTACGGATGACGGCTCAGGTTCAAAGGTGAGTGTTATGTCATCCTCCTTGAGAGAGAGAGAATTTTTTAATTTTTTTTGTATGATGTAAACATAAATTTGTGAATGATGTAGAAATGAAATATCCTACCTTGACTTCTTCCTCCTCTTGCTGCTCCGGGATGCATTCGGTCTCCATGACAGATTCCTCACCGTACACTTCCCCCATGCCCATATCAGCTGTGGACAAGCCCATGTGTCCCATCAACTCCACCTGATGGGGCTCCACCTGAGCCGCCGCCCACAGGTCAGCTAGTCTCGGGTGAGTGGGCAGGCCCAAACTGTGAATAGTGCTGTTGGGCGTGGCTTGTAAGGAGTGTGAGGCGCTGTGCAGTCGATGTTCCAATGACTTCAAGAGAAAGCATGAGAAAAACAGTTGAGAATGAAGTGATAATCAGGAAAACACTTTGATTTGACGAAGTACAAAAGTGCATACTGAACATATTTTATGAGGAAGTGAACTACAATCCCAAGGAGCATTGATTTTTGTGTAAAACTATTGATTCAATTTGTTTTTTATTTATTATTTATTATAAAAAAATATATTCTAAGTTTATTTACTGATGAGTTTGGGAACTTTTTAATGTTTTTGAAAGATGTCTATTTTGCTCACCAGGGCTGCATTTATTTGATCAAACTACCCTATCTCACGACCAATTCGTACGAATTCGTACGAGTGATTAAAAAGTGACTAATTCGTACTAATTCATACGACCTCACTCGTACGAATTCGTACGATTTGTCCAAACCCACGTGATGGATGGGTTTAGGGGCGGGGTCAGGGTAGGTCATTCGTACGAATTCATACGAATTGGCCAATTTGTAAAATATGTACGATTTTGCACAAATCGTACTAATTCGTACGAGTGAGGACGTATGAATTGTTACGAATTAGCCACCTCTGAGATCGGGTTGGATCAAACACAAAGTAAAACAGAAATATTTTGAAATATAATTACAGATTAAAATAGCTGTTTACTATTTACAGTATTAAAAGAGTATTAATAGATATAATAAAATTTCCGCAGCCATTATTCCAGTCTTCAGTCAGTATCTCGCGATCCTTCAGAACTTATTCTAATATGCAAATTGTATATTTAAGAGACATTTTTTTATCATTATCAATGTTGAAAACAGTAATGCCGCTTAATATATTTCAGGATTTCTTTATGATTTAAAAGAATAGTATTTATGTAACAATGTAAATATTTTAATGTAACCTTTGGTTGTCATCCTCGCTGAATAAATAATTTCATTAAAAAAAATCTTGCTGACCCAATCTTTTGAACGGTATTCTGCAAACTTCATTAAACTCGTTAAATCATCTAAATCAACAACTTTGTCATTAGGATACGTACCAAAAACTTTAAAGCTGGCTATGATTAAACCGCTTGTTAAAAAAAACTTACAGGCCGATGTCGAATCTTGTACCTTTTCTGTCTAAGATACTAGAAAAGGAGGTATCCTCACAACTATGTTCCTTTTTAGAAAGAAATGGTATCTGTGAGGATTTTAAGTCTGGATTTAGACCGTACCATAGTACTGAGTCTGCTCTCATTAGAGTCACAAATGATTTTCTCTTATCATCTGATCGTGCTTGTATCTCTCTATTAGTGTTATTTGATCTTAGTGCTGTATTTGATATGACCACAACATTCATTAAAATATACTTGAAAATTATGTTGACATTAGTAGAATTGCATTAGCTTGGTTTAAATCATACTTATCTGACCATTATCAGTTTGTAGCAGTAAATGAAGAGATCAAAAGTTCAGTATAGCGTACCACAAGGCTCAGTATTAGGACCGTTGCTGTTCACTCTGTACATGCTACCCTTAGGAGATATTATTAGGAAGCATTAGTTTTCACTGTTATGCTGATAATAATACTCAGTTCTTTACTTCACTCCCTGACGAAACTTACCAATTCACAAAATTAACGCAATGCATAGTTGATATAAAAAAAACTGGATGACTAGTAAATCCCTATTACTTAATTCTGAAAAAAAAATAGAGATTCTAATGATTGGACCAAAAACATCCTCACGTAATAACCTAGAAAACTGTCTAACACTTGATGGCTGCTCTGTCAAGTCTTCGCCGTCAGTTAGAAACCCGAGTGTGCTCGTTGATACCAGTCTTTCATTTTAAAGTCAAGTTTCTGGCATCTGTAAAACTGCATTCTTCCATCTTAAAAATATATCTAAATTACGTCATGTGCTCTCAATGACAAATGTGGAACCGTTAGTTCATGCTAAAGCTGCTTTGAAACTATCTATATTTAGCCTGGCTAACGCCAGACCACGTATTATTGAGAATGAAACGTGGTCTGGAAACCACGTGTTCATTTTCTCGTATTTCAGGCGTGGTTTACGAATGCCCGGAGTCATATTATTGGGTGCTACGAATGTCTATCAAATGCACAAGTACGTCTATCAAATGCGCTTGTGCTCCCTCCCCGTTCTGTGATTGGTTCCCTATTTCAGGGGAAAATTTGGTTCATGGTGTCCAGACTGCCTTGCGGTCTAAGCGTGAATAAAATCGCGCTGCGGCAAGGCAGCATGGGGAAACCCAGGCTAATCTATATTGTTAAAAGCGCTAGGAAGGTGACTTGACATGACTTCAAGCTAGCAAAAGATGCTAAATGACAAATTTTTATTTTGACTATTTGCAACTTGTTGCAACTGTTTTATAACATATGTGCCGTAATGTTTTAATGAGATTAGTTGTCATATTTACAGTTAATTACATTATAAAGTGTATCTGTAGTATTTCTAATCCGGAAATGGATAGTGATTTGAATGTGTATTGTTTACCTACAGTAAGGCCACGTTTACACAAAGCCAGGTATTTAGCGAAACGAATATTTTCCCCCTCTCCGTTTTCAAAAACAACATCGTTCACACACGCCGTCGAGCGCCATCATAACTATGCCAAACCTATGGGCGGCAGCGTAGGGAGAAGGAAAAATTCATGCAAGCCAATCAAAATCCTCAGAATCGACAAGAGAGAACCTAAAACGCCGTTTCTCCCAGTTCACACGACAACACATAACCGGCGTTTTCAGAAATCTCCACTTTGGCAGGAGTTTTTATAAATAATCGTTTTCTGTGATAAAAACTGGGTTTTCGTGTAAACGAGAGGCCAATCCGCAGGGAAATATCTGCGTTTTCCCTTCGTGTAAACGGGGCCTAAGATGCTCCATAGTCATCAAATGCAAGACATGACAGTTGCACTCCATCACCCTTTTCAGTCACGTCAGTGTTGTTCTCAAAACAGCGAGACCACCTACAGCTCCATCCCGTAGACCAGGGGTTTTTCAATCCTGGTTCTAAGGACCCAACGCTCTGCATATTTTGTATGTCTCTCTAATCTCAGACTGATCTCATGAAGTAGCGTGTGTATGACACGCCAATTCGTATTTCCATTTTTGGCGTGCTATCAAGACGCACAATCGCTTTTCAGCGTAATTATGAACGCCGTTGACTTAACGTTATTACTGTATATATAAATATATGACTTACCTCAACCCCGTCCCTAAACCTAACTGTCACTCAGGTTAATGGCATTTATGACTGTTTCCTTACCATCCAAGGAAGAAAAAAAAGATCGCTCCCCAGATGTAGATCTACATTTTGCTTCGTTTCGCATGGACATTTGACGGCGTGTACGGTACAGACACGCGGAATCACTCAGACGTTAATGGCGTAGACATACACCCATACACGCGGATAGCTCAAAATGCGTAGAGATAACACGCCACTTGACTCGAAAGTGGCGTGTATGTTTACGCAAAAGTCATGATGTCATGTTGCTAATCTGGCACACTCAGTTCAGTACATGAGCTTATCTGAACCAAGTGGGTTTAATAAAGGAGACATATAAAATATACAGAACGGTGGGTCCCCAGGACCATGACAACAAGCGGCTGCAAGAGATCAAGTTGTAGTACTCCACATAACTCTGTAGTAACATGATAGCGTGTGCTTTCTGACCTGTTGGTACTGCATGAGCTGCTGCTGCTGGTACTGCTGATATTGTTGGAACTGCTGTAGGTTGTTCTGTTGCTGCAACGTCAACTGCTGCTGCGTCAGGTAGTGGGTAGAGCCGTCAAAACCCTCACCCGAAGCCCCGCCCCCCATGATGTAAGAGCCGGCAGCGGGAGAGGCCATGCCTGAGGGCTCGTTGCTGATTGGCTCCCACGCATCAGAAGAGGAGAGACAGTAAAGGCCTTGGGAGACGTAAGTGTGAGGCCACACGTCTGCAGAGGAATGATGCAACGGCTGGTCTGAAGGACAGACGTGAAAATAAAGGAGACAGACGAAAGGTCGTGAGGTAAAGTGGAGAATTCAACTGCAGATGCAACCAGAAAGAGAATTTCTTTTTATATTCTAATCCAGGGATTCCTAAACTTTTTGGAATAAGTACAACTACGTCACCTTAAAAAAAGGGCTGCACTTTATTTTAGGGTGTCCATGTGGTTGGGGTTAACAGGTAACAGTGTAATTAATTATACATGTAAGGAAGGACTGAGTAATATATTATCTAAATGTACTCACTATAGGGTTAGGTTTAGCATGAGGGTTTGGTTTCGGGTTAGACGCATGTAATTATGAATAATTGTATATTTTGAATTATTAATTATTTAATTATTATATTATGAATAATTAATAATTCAATTTCATATAGTATCTACGTATAACACGTGTAACAATGTAAAATAAAGTGCTACCAGGATTATACAGGATAGTTTTTTGATTTTTGGCAAATGTAAAGGCTCTTTCACACCACAAGTGAAAAGACTAAGCCTCAGGCTAAAGGAAATGCAAATTCATGCCTATAAAGTCGCAGCTCAAACAATCCTTTCAGCTGTGCTGCCATTCTGGATTTTAGACCAACAAGAAAGTTCAACACTCTTACTGTACTTACTTTCTTGCCATTGACACTCGCCATGAGAAATGAGAAACGCTCCCAGTATAGATCGGGCAGAAACAGGTGAAGGGATACAAATTGTGAAACGGTTTTGTGATATTATATCGCATGGCAGGAAAACGCTCTCAATCAGAACTAACTGAGACCTGAAACGACTTTCAGGATCTTTATCAGTAAATTATTATTTGTAGTAGTTGTTTTAACTTAAGCAAATTACAGTTGTCCTGTAAAATAAAACAAAAAATCATAAAAAAAATGTATTTTATTTTACAATACAAATTACCAATATTTATGTCTTATATATTATGTCTTAATATTTAATTCTTTACTTTCAAAAATTCAGTCCCTTTGGCTTTTAACATTTTAAATCCTTGAGCTTTTATTTTGGCAGATCTGTAGGATGTTGGAAATTATGTGAATGTGTAATAAGCCCAAAATGCACATTATGTTCGTGAGGAGAAGCATTTACTGTGAACCGAGCCACACTGACATCCCATACTGTTTAATTAAATCTTTATTTTGATAATTACACTGAGCTATATTGCAATAACTATTTTTTTTTGTTAAAATTCTTTTTTTATATTCGATTTAATTAATTATTAGCTTCTCATTAACTCACAAACTCCCTGCAGTTCCCACACGAACCCCCAGGAGTTTGTGAACCCCCATTTGAATAAGCCTTATCTAATACCATTTCAAAAACTATAACAATCATTATATTTCATCTATTTTCAGCTACATTAAATCCTCATTATTTTGACATAATCAGGCTGAAGAGATCATTTTTTGTTTGTTGTTACACTGCAACCTGGCTTCTTATAGCTCTGACAGGCAGCTGAACCCCAGCAAAGCCAATGCTCTGCGATTCTCCCCCATTGCCTTTGGGCCTTTGAGCTATCGGGCATCTCTGACAGATTTCCACACACTAAATAAAGTGATGGCAATGCGCTCTAGACCTGTCAAACGGACTCCAAGGCACATCAGTCAAGGCTAGGTAAACCATATAAAAAAAAAAATCTGCAGAAATATCTGGGAGCTAACATCAGTGAAACAAAGAGGTTTGGTTGTGAGTCTCCACACAAAAAATCCAAACAGTTCTTACTGCAAGAAGAGCGGTTTAATATTTACAATGTTTTAAACTGACAGTGAAATAATCGTGCAAGCATGAGCTTAAAGGGATAGTCCACTTTTTTTTGGAAATAGGCTCATTTTAAAACTCCCCCAGAGTTAAACAGTTGAGTTTTACCGTTTTCGAATCCATTCAAACGATTTTCTGATTTGTAGAAGAATATCAGTAAACAGACATTTTCTGGTCTCATTGACTTCCATTGTATATTTTTTCCTACTATGGAAGTCAATGAGACCGGAAACTGTCTGGTTACTGATATTCTTCTAAATATCAGAAAATCGGCTGAATGGATTTGAAAATGGTGAAACTCAACTGTTTAACTCTGGGGGAGTGGTAAAATGAGCCTTTTTCCAAAAAAAAAGTGGAGTATCCCTTTAAGAAGTGTGTGCTTGTAATATCTGAGCCGTAGCTTAAACGATTGTTCTATTCATCCGTAGTCAAGCAAAGCAAGCAAAATGACAGAACGTTAATGTAGCATAACAGAAATCATAGTGCCTTATTAAAACAATGTCTGGTACAAGGTGGTAATTCTGAATGAAAGTTGTTTGTGACCCTCACCTCTGCTAGTGATGCTCTCCTGGTTAACCTCACTGAGGTGAGCCACGCTGCCCTGGTTGGAGTCCACACAGAAACTGTCTCCATCCATAGAGGTCCAGGCTAAGAGTGTGGCCTCAGAGATGGCAAACTGCTGCAAAATGCCTGCAAAAAGTAGGATTACGTCTTTTATTTTAAAGATGAAATATACTGAATACACTTTTTAAATGTTCACATATTCATAGCAGTCTTGTGGGGCATCACAGTGGCTCACTGTCTGGCTCGAGTCCCAGCTGAGCCAGAAGTCCTTTCCGTGTGGAGTTTGTATGTTAACCCTGTGTCTGCGTGGGTTTCCTTTGGTTTCCCACACAATCCAAAAACATGCGGTATACCCTATAGGTGAATTGGAAACGCTAAAATTGTCCATAGAGGTGAATGCGGGTGAGTCCCAAGTCATGTAATTGGGGAAAGACCTGGAAACCTATCCCGGAAAAATAACTGGCATGAAAATTCAAGAGAGGGCCATAGAATATCATAGTCGGGACTGTAATGGTCAATAAGAGATTAAGGATGCATTAAATTGGTGAAAAGTAAAAGTAAAGAAAAATATATAGCTACCCATTTTACCTTAGTTCTAGTTTACGGTTGGTTGCTATGGTTACCGATTAGTTCCAATTTTGGCAGAACAACTGTTTTCAATATTGAATGATTTTTTTAGCACCAAAAATTTACACATTAGAATGACTTCTAAAGCATCAGGTGAAAATTCAGCTTGTTAAAATATATTAAATAAAAAAGCTATTTTAAATTGCAATCATATTTCACAATATTACAGTTTTCACTGCATTTCTGATCAAATAAACAGCCTTGGTGAGCAGACGAGACGATCTATATTTAAATTTTAAAGATATTTCAAATCCTATGTTCCAAAAGTGAAAATATATATATTTAGATTTTCTGAAACTTTGTGTTAGTAAAATATACAATATTACAATTTAGTACAAAATATTGCACAGATTTTAGTCCCAGTAAATTATTTATTTACATCAATTACATCTTTAAAGTGCCCATGATGTTCTGCTAATAATACAAAGACAATTGGAAGTAATTTACTGCAAAAAGAAGCAAAACTGCACGAGATTGAATATTATTGATCACTGATATTTGGGTAACACTTTAGTAGGGTCCAATTCTCACTGTATTAACTAGTTGCTTATTAGAATGCATATTAGGATTTTGACTGTTTATTAGTACTTATGACGTATTCTACATCCCTAATTCACAAAACCTAAACTTAACAATTCCCTTATTAACCATTAATAAGCATGTATTAGGTGTTTATTGAGTCAAAGGTTAATAGTTAGTTAATAGTGAGAATTGTATGTGTGACTGATATTGGATGTGGTTTTAATGAGCAATTTGCACTTTTCAGCCATCTCACCCGCTGCCATCCGTGCCTCCTTTTCTCCATCACTCAAGTCACTGTAGGCGTCATTTTCGAGCCGTCTCTCCCTCTCGCGGTTCAGGTTGGAGCGGCCCGCTCCTCCTTCCGGCCCTGCAGAAGGTATACCCCAGCTCTGCCACTCAATCATATGGGCCACGCGACCCTGGGCCATGGCAGTGGGCTTGGTCACTTTGTCCTTCATTGATCTGGAAACCCCTGAAGAGAGAAAAACACAAATCAGCATCTGCACAGACTCTACACGAAGCTCCAGAGAGGGGCGAATGAAGGCAGTGCATTATGGGATATGTGTCTTTTGATTAATCACCTATAGTGCAAGGCACTGTGCATTTTAACAACTGAATGAGTGATTATGAATGAGCCACAGCCTGTTGATTTGATCGATCACGAGGCGTGAGAGAGAAGCGATTTGGTTGACCATCTTTAGAAATACATTATTCACAAAACTAATGAATTACATGCGATTCTTAAGCTTTTATGCATGTATGAATAATTAGAGACAAAAGAGAAACGTCTAAACATTTCCTTTAAACAAAATGGCTCATTAGCATGCAAATTTCTCATCTGAATGAGACGCATTAGTTTAAAACCTAAGCCTCTGAATGCAAAAGAGAGCTTAAAGACAAGGTAGTCTGAGGGTGAACTCGTTGACGGTTGTGTGTTATTTCTCGAGGCTGCTGACAATGATAAAAACCCCAATCTTTAAATACTTTGATAAATCACCTCCATTTGTTCCCAGGGAAAAACAATCTAATGGTATCACGTAAGCAGCTCACCCCATTTTCAAGCATTTAAGAAAAACAAGAGTAATACAAAAGATACAGGACATGAAACCAAGAGATATTCAGATACCTACGTTTCCAGAAACCTTGCTGTGACAATGAGCAGTATCTATAAAAAACAACACCACAACACACTAACTGTCCAACAATTTACTTCACAAAAGTGCACTGCACCTCACGAAACCACAAAACACACACCAATACACAGCTGACGTCACACAGAAAGCTACGTTTCCCCGCAGAAAGCTTGTGGAGATGAATAGTGCACTTACGTCAGGAGTTGGGGTTTTTTGTTGTTTTGGATCTGACTGGGGATTTCATCAATGGCTAAAGAGGCCATTGACATGCACTACTTAATGGAGGAGGTAGGTGGTGAAACTGGAAAGGGAGGGGGGGGGACCCACAGGGGCAGCCATGTTGGCTCCAATCGCCATCTCCTCCTCTGGAGCCAACATGGGGTCGGTTACCAGCTACCGAGACAGACACACACCTGACACACCTGTCAGAGAGGACTTAGCCAGAGCTCCAATCCCATAGGCGTTGGAGTTCCGCTTCAGACGGGGCAAAATGGAGGTGGTGTCCTCCACGGACAGCTGGAGAGAGAGAGAGAGAGAGAAAGAGAGAAAGAAAGAAAGAAAGAAAAGTTTGGGAAGTGGGAGAAAAAACAATCGATTAAAACAATAAGCCACGAAAATTTGGCCTATTACTTTCATTATACCGACAATGATAAAGGACACCATGACCAAGGCTCAATTAATAATTACATTTATTCATCATAATTCATAATAAACAATCCTCCTGTGAAATTAGCTTAACTGTGGACTGTGTACGGTTACAGACATCAACTTAAACTAAAATCACATAAAAGGGTTAGTTTGCCAAAAAAAAAACAATTTTGTCATCATTTGCTCACCCTCATGTCGTATTGATTTTTAATACAAGAAAATAACCATATGCTCGCTCCATACAACAGTTTTCTGAAACTTCTGAAGCTATTTAATAACTTTGCATAGAAATTTAAAGTCATGTTTATCAAGTACAACGGCTTCTCGGACGAGATAAAATGTAGGGTGGGACTTGATTTTGTTTATCAGGAATTGATTGGATGGTTGTGGTTTGCTATCTCATGTGATTGACAGGTTGTCCTGTCCTCTCACCAGAAAACATGTCATCAGAGAAGAGAGTGATGTGCAGTATTGTGCAGTGCCTGGTTGTGGAAGAAGACAGTCATGGATAAATTTTAATGACGTTCCAGCTGATGAGGTAAAACACGTTCGCTTCATTTCACTGAGGATTGTTTTGTAAACAAGACTGGATTTGCAGACCGATTGAAACACACGGACTCTGGGTCGAACATGTATGGGCGAATCATTCCAGTTGCCATTTTACAACATTGGACGTTTTCAAAACAATTTCCCCCAAGTGCATCGACGGGTGAGTTGAAACTCATTACAATATGCAAAACTGTTATCCACTCACAGCAGTGGGGGTTTACTTCCAAGTCTTCAGTGCGAGACATCCATAAAAACCCTGCGTTTTTCAGCTAGGCTCAAAACTAGGGTAGAAAATAGCATTCTAATGTTTTTGAACGCAAAAACCAAATGAACGTCATAAGTTGACCTCAGACAACAACATAATAAAATTAAAAAAAACAGTTCATGACCCCTTTAAGCCCTTTACTGAGAGTTAGTTGACATGTAGTTGCAAAGTTACTTATAGTCAACAGAATGTTCAAAAGAGACCATCAAAATAAAGTGTTACCAAAGAAAGTTCTAAATACTCATAAAAGTTAATTTGATTGAACTAATTTGTAAACTTTAAGTTGGTCCTACTCAAACTAATTAATTATTTTCAGCATTAGGATTTACAGAGGACTACAGAGGATGCCAGGGACAATAAACGTCATCGCACAGAACAGGTAAACCCATCTACTCACTAGTCTGCTTTTACAGCCTTTTCAAAATAGGTGGTGATGTTGAAGTGAAGTCGTGCGACTGCAGTTCTCGTATAACCTGACATTAAGTTTTTACTTAAGTGATTATATTTAGGCTTCAAAGTATGGAAGCTTGTTTCCGCCACAATTATCACAGAATAACACTCAATTGGGAGAAATAAACTCGCAATTCTAACTGTTGTGTCTGTCTTTGAGTTGGGAGTTTATATCTAAGGCTGTTTGTCCACCAAAGCGTTTTTAGCCTGCTGAAAATGCCAGACGCTCTGCTGAAGACGCCGTGCTTTGGGCGCTTGAGAGCGTTTTGGCAGCGCAGCGTTTTTTCCGTTGAGACGTTTCGTTGCTATGATACAGAATATCCGCTGCAGTTTGCATCTTGTGACAGTTGGTCGGTGTGGTATTAGTCCCGCCCCTCCTCCACTGTGATTGGACAGCTGGGTAAAAAGTGACAGTGATGAGCGCTGCGTTTTATCCAAAGTTGAACATTTTTCAACTCCCAGCGAAAACGCTGGCCGCTCGGCACTTCGGTGTGAAAAAAAAACGCTCAGCGCCTCGGTACGCTCGCGCGGCGCTCCCATTGAAAACAATTGAAAACATATGCCAGGCGCATGGAAAAATGCTTTGGTGGACACACGGCCTAACAATTCTGACTTTATAACACACAATTACAACTTTATTTCACGCAATTCCGACTTTATAACACACAATTGTGACATTACATCACGCAATTCTGAATTTAACACACAATTGTGACTTTATATCACATAAAAAATTGTGAGATAAAAAGTAGCAATTAGCTTTTTTATTATTTATTATGTGGCAGAAACAAGCTTCGATATCAAAAAGACCATGGTTGTAACACCTCTTTATTTCAGCATCTGTAACTCAATGAATTTGAGCTTGAGGGCTCAAACTTGTATACAAATTACCCAGATTTGTTCACTACAAAAGGCACCAATTCAAACCTTCTGAGGAATATCATATTTTCGCATTTTTTTACAACCTACCACAGGGTATAGTAGTTTGAAACATACTCGGATAAGTTGGAACAAAAAAGAAGCAAAAATAGAGGCCACATCATGCAATATGCTTCAAAAACATTTTTTAATGAAAAACCGTGGGCAAATTGTAAACAAAACATCATAATTGCAGCACTCTATTCAGCTAATGTGCAATCACATTATCTATTTTAAAACCTCTTCAAATGTGATTCATCCAGACCTTTGTTAAAAATATTCATGACCACATTTCTACTGTCAAAAACAGTATAGCAAGTAAAATTTGATTCGACACTTCCTGATTTATCACTAAAGGTGGTATTAACTGTCCTTTTTAAAATGAGAGCAGACGTCACTAACTCCATGTGAACCAAATTGTGTTATCATCTCTCACATCCAGTGCCACCTACGATTCACAAAACAGGCCGAATCTCAGATAACATGACGTGGCCTATTGAAGACAGCTGGCGGACAGCTCAAACCCCCAGAGAAACCTGCCAGTGACGAAACACTGTGGAGTCACAGCAGATATTTAAGATTGGCCATTTTTGATTTATATTATTAATACAAACCTTTTAGTACTATTATGACATTTTTCTTCACAACATAGCATCGTATATGTTCGTTATTTGGTCTTTAAAATTGTTTAGCACAAAAACGTGATTTCACATTGTGCGTGGAACATTTTTGAAACGGTTTAGTTGGATGTACGTCTAACGTTTTTGGAACGTTATTTTTTGTTTCAGAATGTTTAGAGAATATTAAAACGTAACATTTCGGTAACACTTTACAATATGGGTGCACTAATATGCATTAATTCATGCTTAACTAATACACAGATAATCATGAGTTAATGTGCAACTAATGAAGAACTAAACCATTAATTAACGATTACTGCATCAGCAACTAATAAAGAGTCTGTATGATTAATAGATTAAGTAATACAGGAATTGCTATTAATTCAATGTGTCATTGTGTATTAATTCCTTAATAACATATTTTATTAACTAATAGTGTAAATTAATGTGTTAATTACCACAATTAGTCAAAGCTATGGACTTCAACTTCCAGTTGTCTGGTTTAATTAATCATTAGCTAATTATTCGCAAAGGTATCATTATGTTATGACTTTACTTGTTGAGGCACATCATTATTAACTACTCATTTAGTAATTGTAGTAATTTTCACATGAATTTGCACTAACAATTAAGTAAGTAATCATGTATTAATGCATATTAGTGTACCTGTCATATTATCTGGAAGTTGGAATACAAGGCTTTGGCTCATTCTGGTAATTAACATATTAATTAACACTATTAGTTAAAAAAATTAGTTATTATGGAATTAATCCACAATTAAATATTTAATTAAAAACAATTCATGTATGAACTAAAACATTAACCTTACAGACTCTTAATTAGTTCCTAATGTGGTAATCATTAATGAATAGCTTAGATAATCATTACTTACACATTAATTCAGTATTATCTGTGCGTTAGTTAAGCATGAATTAATGCTTATTAGTGCACCCTTATTGTAAAGTGTTACCAACATTTCTATAATGTTTGCAAAATTATGAAATACAATGTTCCCTTAACGTTCATACAACACTTTTTAAACGTTTATAGTTTTATTTATGCTCCCTTTAAAACATTCTGCTGACTATAAGTAAAGTTGCACCTACATGTCTTTTAACTATCATTAAATTATTTATATTAGTAGACCGGTAGGGTTAGGGCTAGAATAAGGGTTAGAATAAGTTTCAGAGGAAATTCTGAACTTTTTTATAACTGTATGGGTTATCAAAATGTTTTTACAACATTTTGTTAGCTGGGCAGAGAATATGATATTGATTAAAAATTATAAAAGAAACACGAGCCAGAGAAAGTATTAAACGCAAAAGTGTCAATATCACACTTACATGTGATTCCTTCCCAGGAAAACTCGCCATGTCCTTGCTAGAAGAAATTAATTGAAGTATAGATGGGAAAGATACAGTAAAAGAGAAGAAAAGGCATGCTTTCAGTTAGCAGGAAACAGCAGAAGGCTGAACATCAAGCCAAGTACAGAACACTAGATCTGGAAGAACAACAGATAAACAGAAAGCAGAAGAAGGAGGCGAGATGATGTTCATCTGTTACAAACTGTCGTGCAGACCAAGATATATCTTTGTCTGAACCCTTGTTGCGATAACATGGTGTAAAATATTCATGAATGAAGGACCACCTAGGGTATCCATATTGATATCTGCCTTAGAAGTCTTTACATGAGGACAACTGCAAGAGGAGATGGAGGCGACTTTGATGAGTAGCACTAGAGTAAGTAATCTTAGACAACCCAAACATACAGCGAGCAATCGATCGATCACATTTACACCGCACCCAGCGCAGCGAGACAAACACCGGTGCCAGTGAGAACAGCAGTAGCCGCTCATTGTTCATTAAGAGAGAAATCAATATGAAAGGTCAAATGGAGGTCATTGTCAGACAGGCATTGGCGTGCCGTGGGGCAAATGTCTGCCCCTTGGAAACTCTGAACAAACTAACGGCATGGTTCGGCTGTTCAGGGGTCGATCGATTTGTTTCCCACCATCTTAGTCTTTATGGCCGCTTCTGTTACATAAACTGTGGAGCTGGCTCCTAAAAATACACTTTTGAGGCTGGCTTGCAATTACGGCACCCACCTACAATGTTTCTGTGGCGGGCGGATACAGCTAAATGAAAATTAACATCAGTAAATTAGTTTTCTTTTCCACTGCAGTGATAAAGTGATTAATGTTTTGCCTCACATTTTAAGGGGACACCTTTTAAAGACCTTTCAGATTTCAAAACAGCATTTAGGTCACAATAATTAAGGTTTTTATTACTAAAAAGAATGTGGACGTCACAGAAATCACATGCACTGGATGTGTTTCGAAACCTGGATTGGTTCTAGACCCTTTTTAGGGGGGGCTTCAGCTCCCCTGTTTGTCGTCTCAGCCTCCCTAAAACTATAATGGTGGTGATGCCGCAGTGGATAAGACACATGCCTTTGGTGTGAGAGGCCCAGGTTCAAACCCACCCTGAGCAAGACACTTGAGCAACCCCTTGTTGCTCCAGAGGCGTGTGACCTCTGACATATATATAATCTAAATACACGTGTAAACAGGGACTAAAACTTTTTGAGCTTGTCTGCTTTCGAGCAGTTCCAAAGGAAGTCGAAAACCCATTTGACCGGATTGGTTTCATAGTGTAAACGCTCATGTTATTGAATGCGTTTAAACAGCCACAAAAGACCGCCTACTCTCCGTCTACTGACCTAATTCGTAAACATTATGGGCACGCAAGCCAGACGGGATTTAAACTTTGCATTAATACCCAAGTTTGGCTTGAAGATGAAAACGAACCAAGCACAATTTTTCTGTCACCATTCCTGATTTTTAACACACTCGCAGCGTTCGGCATGGTCTTCCAGCTGCAGGGCAAAAACGAAAGTCGAGAAATGTTGGCATCATAAGGACATTGGTCAAAACAACAAATCTTTAGGAAAGGCAATCAATTATCTGAGCTAAAAATTTAATATTTTTAGTTTTTTAGTCATTTTAACTTAAATTAGATTAAACTGAATTAAAATGAGTTACAGCATTAAAAAAGGTTGAAAACTGCTGAAACTGCTTTTGATGAGTTAAATCAATGTAAAAACATAAACTGTCATAACTTTATCATATATATTTTTTTACAGTGTAGTTGACAGTAATACTTGTCAATAAAAATAATATGATGAAAATTTTCTGTTAGTCATTCTGTGATTGCTTCTGAAGAGTGAAATACAGTGTGAAATACAGACTGAACAGAACGTCAAAACATCCCACCGGTATATATGGCCAGATGATACACAAATTGTTTCTTGGCTGGATAAACCAAAGCTTCTTGCTAGTAAAGTTTTGATGGATGAGGATTGCAATCAAGGCAAACACAATGGCAGTGAGGTACAGGAGACGTACACGTGACTGAGTCTGTTGTATTGATGAGCAAACATCCATGTGTTGGCTCTCGATGCACTGAGTGATCCCACATTGTATTTATGCACAGACACATTTCAGTGAATTCAAGTTTTTTCCACACACATTCAGGATAATATTTAGATTTTCTTGTTTGTTGCTGTGTTTAGTAATTCTGAATGGATCTGTATGTATATGCAGTCAAGTTATATGCGTTGTGGTATAGTTTTGTTTTTTGTTTTGTTTTTTTGCCATTTCCGATGTGGTCCTGTTCGGTATCGCACCCTTACTTGTCTAAAATGCAAACATGCTCTACACTTTACACATACAATACACTGTGAATTCTGAAAAAGAACACTGTTTTATTCTGTAACGTTGTTGTTTTTTTCATTCAATTTTCATTTCTGAATTATATGGACTTGTTATATAATTTGTTTGGTGTCTTTTGTCTCCAAAGTGTCCTTTTTTTGTAGTCTTTTGTAGTCTCCAAGTGTTCAAGACACATAAATGTACCTTTTTAAAAAAGCTTGCAGAACACACAGTTTTGTGATAATCACCCTTTAATCTGATGCTTTACTTGGATGTAGCAAATGATGACAAAATGTTTTTCACCCATAAAGCTGTCAAAAGGTCTAAATCCTTAATGAAAGTGGTTCAGTGAAACAAAAAATAGTTACAGTATCAAATGAGGCGGGTCAAAATCAGGAGGATTGTGAAAAATAAACCACTATCCCATTTCTCAGAGAACACCAAGTTAGTTATGTAAGCTTGGCAATTTGCTGCTTACTTTTTCAATGTGTGGATAAAAACAAATGTTTAATTCAAACAGGTTTAAAAACACAAAAAAGTCAGTGAAATTCAGACTCTCTCCATCTGGCCTTCAAATTAACCCTATAATGATTGATTTTAGTGAGGTTTTAGATAAGTTTGAGGGCAATTTGAGATAGCGCTAAGCTAGCTAAAGTAGCCTTGCTACCTAACAACTAGCACCTTATTCTTTTTACAGTTTTTTACATAGACTTTTTTTTTCTTTTATTCTTGTGAATCTTATTTTCGCAACCAGCAAGTGGCTTAATGAATTAAGAGATAGGCCAGAATGATTTATTATGGTAAGGTTTGCTAAGTTTGAGTGCGATTTGAGCTAGCATTAAGCTATTTAGCCTTGCTACTTGCAACAAGCAGCTGATTCTTGAGAGTTTTTCATTGCTAGGAACATTTTATGACTTTTTTTTTCTTTTATTATTATTATTCTTATTTTGGCAACCGGCAATCACCTTTTTGAGTGCAGCTCTCTAACACGAACATATGAAATTACATTTCTCAGAGAACACCAAGTTAGTTATGTAAGCTTGGCAATTTGCTGCTTACTTTTTCAATGTGTGGATAAAAACAAATGTTTAATTCAAACAGGTTTAAAAACACAAAAAAGTCAGTGAAATTCAGACTCTCTCCATCTGGCCTTCAAATTAACCCTATAATGATTGATTTTAGTGAGGTTTTAGATAAGTTTGAGGGCAATTTGAGATAGCGCTAAGCTAGCTAAAGTAGCCTACATAACAACTAGCACCTGATTCTTTTTACAGTTTTTTACATAGACATTTTTTTTTCTTTTATTCTTGTGATTCTTATTTTCACAACCAGCAAGTGGCTTAATGAATTAAGAGATAGGCCAGAATGATTTATTATGGTAAGGTTTGCTAAGTTTGAGTGAGATTTGAGCTACCATTAAGCTATATAGCCTTGCTACTTGGCAACAAGCAGCTGATTCTTGAGAGTTTTTCATTGCTAGGCAACATTTTATGACTTTTTTTTCTTTTATTATCATTATTATTCTTATTTTGGCAACCGGCAATCACCTTTTTGAGTGCAGCTCTCTAACACAAACATATAAATGCACAGCAAAGACACTGTTTCAATTTGCTCCAGCTACAGTGAGATGACACCACCTCTTGGCTCAACTTCTGAACTCTGCATTGAGATATAAAACATGTCATTTTGGTTTGGATCAAAAACAGTAGATTTTGAGCCAAATTCATCTGTGGATGAGTAGAGCAACAAGCCAGGAGCTGCTGCCCTTGGGTAGGACGTGAACATGGATGGCAAATAGAGAAGACAGATGAGGCTACGTCTTCCCAGGGGACAAACCCGTTTTACGGCAATACTGTACGGTAATGGCCGGACTCTGGGCTCTGGCTCCCGTGGCCTTGGTGAGACATGTAATATAGTGGCTTTTCAAATACAGATAATACCGAATGCTTTCTCTGACTGTCAGCACTAGGGGGTGGCAAGACATGAGTTTGGCACACAGGGGGTCCTTGCATTAGCTAAAGACTTCATTAAAGTGCCATGAGGCACAAATGTCAGAACTTGGAAGGAATAATAGCTTTAGACAGAAATGCAGACTTCGCACAAGTATCATCTCTTCAAATGATGTCATTTAGAAGTGATCCTTAAAGCTTGGGACCGATGGTGCCCAAGCAAAACTTAAATATTCAAAGTGGTGTAGTTTTACTTACCTGCTCCCCATCTTTCCGAACAGGAACTGCATCCACCGCTGCAGGGAGAGAATGAAAGAGAGAAAGAGAGAGAGATAAGGGAATAGGCATGTGGCTTATGCAACCTTTACCAAATAAGCTAAGTCAAACTGACAGCTCCTCTCTACATTTTCTGCTGACATTCACACAAAGACCTAAAATTAGATTAATTATCCATCCAAAACTGCCAGCACTCTGTGAGGAAGGAGATTTGTAGCATCATGTTTCTATATCGCATCGTTCCTATAAAATGATTAAAAAAAAACATTAGCGATTGCTCTGCGTGATGCAATTATGCAAATTATTAGGAATTGTATTGCAAAAATAGGCTGAAGAGATACTGAATTTGAGATTAACCCTTAAACAACCACTTATTTCATTTTATATTGTAGCTTCCTCTAAATTTGCACTCTAGCATCTTTTCGATTAAGAAATATGTTGACTGTGTCTGTGTTTACAATGACTCATTCAAACTGACAAACAAGAAATGACATGTAACCCAGTTTCCACTAACATTATGAATGATGTGCCTGAAAAAAATCAACATTAGAGATTGCATAAACACAAAAAATTGTAGCAAGCATAATTACTGTTTTTAAGGCAAACCAATAAATGGAGCCCAATTAAGGCCAACCAGCAATCAAACAGTTATCATGTGCACTGTATGCTTATTTAAATGGTGTTTTTTGTGTGTATGTGTGTTTCAACTGGTTTTGAGAGCGCCACACTTGCTGCTTTTGCTCTCATCTTTAGTGAGAGGAAGGGTATGTTTGCAAAGTGTGATAAATGGCTGTACAAGAGAGGTTGTGCGCATATAGAGAGGATTTGGTTGTGTATTGTTAACTGCAGTGACACTCTCCCTCATTTACAATATCCAGATTCATCAGTTCATTGTAGAATGGGGGTCAAACCTGGTGCATGCTGTGCAATATTGTTGCTTGTCAGATGTGTATAATATGAGCAGAAAAAGAGTCCGCGTAAAGCTGTATTCGACATTGTGCCTGTCGCTAACATAATAATGTCTCTCTGAACAGTGACACAACATATAACTTATTTTTGTAAACAGAATCCAGCATGTCAGAAATAAAAGTCTATTTTTAAAATGCATGCCATTCGACATTTTTCCATAGGACAAATTAAATCTTTTCCGATGCAAAAAGTGCCAAACAGCAAAATTGTGGCCTGTGAGAACCTTATTATTATTGAACGAGGCCCCGTTTACACGAAGGGAAAACGCAGATATTTCCCTGCGGATTGGCCTCTCGTTTACACGAAAACCCCTTTTTATCACAGAAAACGATTATTTCTAAAAACTTCGGCCAAAGTGGAGATTTCTGAAAACGCCGGTTATGTGTTGTCGTGTGAACTGGGAGAAACAGCGTTTTAGGTTTAGGTTTAGAGTATTCTGATTGGCTTGCATGGCTTTTTCCTTCTCCCTACACTACCGCCAATAGGCATAGTTAAGATGGCGCAGTGTGAACGATGTTATTTTTGAAAACGGAGAGGGGGAAAATATTCGTTTTGCTAAATACTTTGTGTAAACGTGGCCTGAGACCCTGCCTAGCTGCACATGCTCTCTCACTCCCCCTTCATTCAATTTAGTTCTATTTAATTCAGCTCAATATCAGTGAAATTGAGTTGAGCATTGGCTTGATTCATTGAACTCATTTACAACAGTCCTAAACTGTTGACGCAATAGAATAACAATATTGTGATGGGGTTAATCACATCAAAACAGAATGTACCAGTCCTTGTTCTATCTGCATCTGATTTTATTTTGTCCACTCCAGACTGATCTCAAAATGCATTAATCGCATCCTGTGCATGTGTGTGTGTGTGTGAGCGTGTGTCTTTTAATTGCTGGTCTCTCTCTGTGTGTAAGTACAGCAGAGCCTTTGGGCCTCAGGGCCATTTCCTCAATCAACCTAACCCACTCTGGAGAGAAGGATAGAGCGATGCAGAGCAGTGCGGCTCTGGAGGAGACCAATGAACCAGAGTGAAGAGTAAACAGAGAAAGACAGAGAATGTGAGTTAAGGTAAGCAGATCTACTCATAATCAATTAGAATGGAGACAGTCAGAACTAACATGCTAGACATATAGACAGATGGACGGATGGATGGATGGATGGATGGATGGATGGATGAGTAGATAGATGGATGGATGGATGGATGGATGGATGGATGAGTAGATAGATGGATGGATGGATGGATGGATGGATGGATGGATGGATGGATGGATGGATGGATGGATGGATGGATGGATGGATAGAGAGATAGATAGATAGATAGATAGATAGATAGATAGATAGATAGATAGATAGATAGATAGATAGATAGATAGATAGATAGATAGATAGATAGATAGATAGATAGATAGATAGATAGATAGATAGATAGATAGATAGATAGATAGATAGGGATGAATCTCTGCACATCCCAGCTGTCAAGACGCATATCTTTCTAACTGTCTGTTCCACCATGATGTTGTTATGGACAAAACACTTCCACTCATGCAGGAAAACACATTGAGAAAATCCCAAGAGACATGAAGGATAAGCCGTCACATCCAAGGTCGCTGAGCGCCACATGGCCGCTGCACTGTTTACTCTGCCCATCTACATTTATGTCTGAATCTGACACTGGGCATTATGAGGGCCCGAGCTTCAGGGCAAAGGAAAGAGAGAGCGAGAGAGACGGATAAAGAAGCAGTCAGACGAGATAAACAAATATCCATGTGACGAGGATGAAAGCTAACGTCGATAGACATTGAATGATGAGGAACAGGAAGGAAGATTCCTAGACACCCAGCGTAAGCGTGACGGTCCCATAGAGAGAAGCAGCAGAAGATCTGCATTGCCAAGGACCAGATGGAGGAACAACTGGACCATGGACAATCTGGCTTGACAGATCTCGCAGCCTAGAGAACATCTTTGAGATTTTATTCTACAGCAAAAAAGGTAGTGAAGAACTAGGAGAGAGGGAAGAAAAAGGGACAAATAATGGAATGCAAGCTGGAACTCTGACACACGGTGACGCTCACAGTGACTCTGATTAGGAGCGAAGTCCAAGAGGCTGACTCACCTCCAGTACTGAGCCAAAAGCACACGGAGAGGGGGGAGGGAAAGGAAAGACAGAGACAAAGAGGATGAGAGAAAGACCAAGACACTCAAGAACACTATAACAAAGACAAAAGGAGAGAGGCGTAAAGAGATTAAAATGACACGGAGTTAGAAGACACAGAGGGTCCTATATTTTAATCTTATTTTAATATTTTAAATAATTTCAATCTGAAACAAGTATCAAGCGCGAAGCCGCAAGTAACTTTGTGGGCGGGCTTAGGCGCTTTTGCTATTTTACCGGCGGGATAAATGGCTCTTGTGCCTGACGCAGGTCTGAAATAGCTTCATTATTCATAGGTGTGGTTTGGGCGTAACGTGAAATAAACCAGTCAGAGCGTCATCCAACATACCATTCAAGAGCAGGTGCGCATGTTGCATGGCGGATTGTTATTATAACGGCGAGTTTACCAGGCGCGCTCAAGGAGAAACCCACCCAAATCAGCGTCGGTTAAAGAAGTAGTTCAATTTTTTTTTTTTAAACGTTTGCTTATAATTTACTCACCCCCTTGTCATCCAAGATGTCCATGTCTTTATTTCTTCAGTCGAAAATAAATTAAGGTTTTTGATGAAAAGGATTCCAGGATTTTTCTCCATATAATGCACTTTACTGGGCACCAAACGGTTCAAGGTCCAAAAGACAGTTTCAGTGCAAACTGTTGAAAGGGCTTTAAACAATTCCAGACGATGAATAAGGGTCTTATCTAGCGAAACAATCGCTCAATTAAAAAAAAAAGTTTAAGTTTTATAAGCTCAAATGCTCGCCTTGTTCTGTTCTGTGTCAAAACGAATGAATCTTTTTCCCAGTCAATTCGTTCATTTCGTTCGTTGAATGAAACAAGTGACTTGAAAATAGATTCGTTCAGTTTGATAAACGAGTTCGAACAGGTGAGTCACGAACGCGCATCACAGAACAGAGCAAGGCGAGCATTTGAGCTTATAAAAGTTAAACTTTGTTTTTTATTTTTTAAATGACTGAATGTTTCGCTTGATAAGACTGTTGTGAATTTGGTCCTTAAATTATACTTTTTATTCATTTATTTATATATATATATATACATATTTGGACTAAATATCCCACAATTCTTTGTAAGCTTCACTACATTACCCATACACCCCCTGGGCGAGGTCTATAAGTAGACCTCACTTCCTCCCTTTTTTCTTTTTTGTATTGGTGAGGTGTGGTGGTTGGGATGGACACCCAACCATGTCCTTTCCTTAGGATGCGTTGAGTAAGTTTGTTTGCCAATTGTTTAAAATATATGTTGTTGATATGTTACTGATGAATTATATGAGTTTAATTTCCTTTATTGTATTGTTTGTAGTGACTATGGACCATCTTGTACATCCTGTTTATCCTGTCCATCCAATAACATCTGTCCATTGGCATCGTTTGTATCAGCTCCATGTGAATTAAGACTTAATCATCCTGAACTGAAAATAAAAGAGAGCAAAGGACTGGTATTTTCCAAGTTTTAATCAGACACGCCATCAAGTTTCTATAACTCCAACGAACTTTGGATACATTTAACATCTGAGATCCAACAAAGACCCTTATTCATCGTCTGGAATCATTTAAAGCGCTTTGAACAGTTTGCAGTTTGCACTGAAACTGTCTTTTGGACCTTGAACTGTTTGGTGCCCAGTAAAGTGCATTATATGGAGAAAAATCATCAAAAACCTTAATTTCTGTTCGACTGAAGAAAGAATGACATGGACATCTTGGATGACATGGGGGTGAGTAAATTATCAGCAAACGTTTTTTTTTATTTTTTTTTTTTTAAAGTGAACAACTTTAAACATTATAAACATATGTGTCTTGCCACAATTGGGCAAACAGGTCTGATCCTTCATTACTATATTAACCTGAAAAATTTGGGTAAATCTGTAAGCTACATTTTGGC